CTCAACGAGTAAAAGGAGAGCAAACGAATAAATAACAACCCACATAACTTAGTAGTTCTTAGGGTACTGCTTGAAAGAATATTGTAGGATTGTAGCTGAAACCACCTGACAATAAATTTCAAGAAAACCTTATAGCCCAATGTTTTACCTTCAAAAAGGAATTAGATGGAATCTTAAGGATTCCAGTGGCGGGTTCCATTGCCTCATGGTTTTGGAAAAGAACTTCAGGCCGAAACCAAGCGCATGTTACATGAACCCACAACATCTCGACATCAGTTGGCTTCAAAGCACCACCTGCAAAGCGTTTCCCCAATATTGTAATAGCAAATTAGCATTGGCCGACAGAATTGACCGTGGCGGAAAAATTATGAGAAAAATAAAAGGCATAATCAAATGGTAAGTGCACAGTGCTAGTACTACAGACGTAATTGTAGGCATATTTGCACGAAGCTTATAAGAGGATTCTCCTTAACTATGTGAAAATGGGCTAAATTGATTGCATGTATGGATTGGTGTAGAGATTGATGATCCAACAAAGTCAAGTCAATCTTGATATGTACGAAAAAACTTGCTCATTTCTCAGTGAAGAATTAGAGTGCTAGATCCATTACTTACTACTTTCATAAAGAAACAGCATATGACAAAGCAAAAACGATCAGACTGCAGAAAAAACTAAATGTAGATGACATGCCTTTTACTGGACAGAGGCAACACTCCCTCTCAACATCAGGAGTTTCACAGACTCTGCAAACCCAGGAAGTAAACTGAACATTCTTTGCCCCATAGCATTCTTGGTGAACTGCAATTTGGCACCTGCACAATCAACAGGTCACATAATGTTTGACATTTAATCCCCTGCGGGTAAAGATCACGAAAATGATGAAAACACCTGTTACAGATAATTATTTTGTTATCTTCCCAGTCTTCAACCCATCTGCAAATGGCACATCTTTCTGTTGTCCATCTTGCATAAACAGGCTCATACTTCTCTGCGCAAAATAAGGTAAAAGTAAAATAAGTTTCTCCCTTTCAAAGATATATTCAAGACAAAACGTGTGACTGCAATGTGCCATAAAACCTGATCATGTAAAAGAAATGAAGGCTTAATTATGTGAAAGTTCACAAGGAATAGACATTTACCTTGCAAAAAGGAGAGCACCTTTTGCTGATCTAACCGTAGAGGAATACCAGGTTGAGATTTGTGCTTCGTGATCTGGAGAAATTTATATTGTTAGTTCAAAATATGAGAAAGAAGCAAAACCTAATATAGAAAAAGAAAGGTACGATACACACACGCCGACACACGTTACACTGTCTAAATCTCCATACTTAAAATTCAGAAATGTTTAGAAATAAAAGTGATGTAGACAGCATTAAAGTAATCCAGGTGAGAGTAATCATTCTTCATGACTATTAATACAAAACGGACCAACACCTAATCAACCAAAAAGATTCGTTATGCCTCTAATATAGCAAGAGTTGATACAAACCCATTTTATCAGCGGTTGCATTGTGCTTTCCACTTTCACACTATATTTCCATTTTTTGGCTCTGCAACCTGCATGCCCTTCCCATTCAATCGGGGTCTGCTTCCTTGAACCACACGAGCCACACTTGCACATAACTCTGCAAGAAAATTTAATAAAAAATAAGCTGCATGAAATTAGTCTAGAATGACATAATACGTAATCACCTAAAGTTCTTTAATTGGTTCAGATAAAAAATTGTTTTGCTTGTGAACCTAGCCAGATTCTTTAACAAATATAAAATCTAGATTCAGGGTAGTTTCTTTCTTTCAACATAATATTGAATCCACCCAATGTACCAATTAATAACAAAATCAAAAATAATATATATGTATATGCATTAGTTGTGAGGAAAAAAAATGTACACACACAGTAACCTTCAGAGAAAACTCCTAAGAACATGGGAGGAAGGATGACAACGATGGAGAGATGGATAGAAAGAATCTCCAAAAATATGTATTTTAGAAAGAGAGCAATACCAAAAACTTCTCTGCACCACGGACGGGAAGTTAAATTATTTAAATCAGGTTATCAAACCCATAATATGAAAGAAATGTTGAAGGCTTACAAATGAAGCTTTGGAATATAAATTCCTTTCATGCCATTGCACACCACCGCCAGATTTTCAGGCAACTCAGGTTTTAGGCTATTCTCTATTGATCTGTCTCAAAAAATAGTATTACATCACATCATAATATTCAAAGAATAAAGTCAAAATGCGTAATGCCCCTAGGAAAAGGAAGCAATAGATAATTACTGCATACTTGATTTTTGACTTGTATGTTTGTGATGCTGATAATTTGCAATTGAATTTTCCCTTGCAATCTGGGCAATAGTAGTCTGTTTTTTCCAGATCCTGCATCCAGAAACCAGTCAGTCATCTTACGTATTTTTTTGAACTAGGGAAATCAAACAAGATAATAGAAAAGAGAGATATGTAGCACCATGTTAATCATGATACGACACCTTGAAAAGTTTGCTGGAAATTTTGTCACACTCAGCATGCACCCAAACATTACAACCATCACAACATACCTGACTCAGAGTTCAGACCCACAAGATCTCAAAATTATGATTCTTCAATGAAATAAAAATAAATTAAATCAAGCAAAAACCTAATTGAGAAGGCAGACAATCTCACCCAATCCCCACCATCTGAATGGTGCCAAATCTTTTTGCAAATGCCACAATATTGTTTCGATTTTAGTAACTGTTAGAACAGAACCAAAAGTATTGAAAATTAAATTTCAGCAATAAATTTATTTAATCAAGAAATTGAAGAACCCTAAAGTGAGTCATTCACATAACCTTCGCACAGGGTTTACAATAATGCTGAGGAGCAAAGCTTGAATCCTTAATCTTCTTCATGGTTTTGCATGGCAACATCAAACCACAGCCAGCACAAGATATTGTACCCTGCACAATTTATTCACTGGATAAAAATCTAGAATTAACCAGACTCTACGAGACTTAAAAACGTTTGCACCAAAAAAGGAGCAAAAGCAGGCGATATATATATATATATATACATATATATATATATATATATATGATTTTGCATTTTGAGCCGACAAAAAAAAATCATACCATGCATAATTTAAAATTGTGGTGTTTCATTTAATGGTCATCGGCAATTCATTTTTCTTTTACATATTATTCCAAGAGTCATGATCAAACATGATTTCCTACTTCAAAGACAAAGCAGTTGGCTGTAACTACTACATAAGAGGCTATAGTGTATATAGCATAGGCACTCCTTAGTCCTTCCTACTAAGATGAATATCGGTTAATGCAGAGTAGCTCTGTTATCTATATTACAAGTTCACAATACAACTAGACCTCTTTCTTATGCTAGACGAAGCTTATAGAAGCTCTCATTATCGGTCATGGTCATACGTAGCAAAAAGTGGAAGAAATTAATATAACCTGATCAACATAGGAACCTGCATACTCCGTAAGCCCACTGGAATGAGCCTGAACATCAGTAATTTGCTCAGCTCCCAAGTGTGAGTCCAAAATGCCATCTTCTGCCAACATTGCCTCCTCCATTGCCATGTGAAAGTCACTCGGTTTGCTCTTGTACAATTGAGTCTGCCGCTGGAATCTGAATGAAGATAATTTTCAATGAGCAAGTGCCAAATATTCTTGCAGAAAAAACTGCAGCCGATGCTGTTTAGATACCCACCTATCCATGAATTCCAAAAAGGGGAATATCATCCCCTGCTTCGCCCATGCATAGTCCTGCCCAATGCCCATCATCATTCCTTTAGAATTCAACACTTAAAACCATAATTAACAATTCAAATTTATGAACACAGATAAGAAGTGGAGACAAGTTTACCCTTTGCTTTCCGTTTTTTGAATAACCAAAGAACATAACGCAAATTGCACCGGGAACACAACAGTTGAGGACGGACTTGGGAGCTTGCAAGATGGGATCAATCACCACAGCAGGCCAAGCAGGATATTGCTTCCCACATTTTGCCCAAACTACATCACCCAAAGCAAAATCCTCTGGTTTGTAAATGCCCTCCCTCTTTTTAGCGTTTCCATTAGGCTTTTCCTTTAGGTCTACACCCTCAGGATCAAAACCAAGTCCAGAAGCATTACTCTCTTTTTTAACCAATAATGAACGACTCCCATTAACTGTCGTTTTAAGCTTCTTGTAATCAAAATCATTGAAACCTAAGCCACCCGATTCTGTTTCCGCCTTCATTTCAGCAGAATATGGAAAACAAAGAGAACTTTTTGAGCCACATTTATTTCTCTTCCCCTGTTTTACAAATCCCGTTCCAATATCTTCTAAAGCAATATCATCTTCAAACCCGAAGCGTTTGCTATCTTTTTTTACTCGTCCATTACTTTTCCATGTATCAAGAACCGAGTCACTGAACCTGGATGGAAGCATCTGAGCTCGACCTCTCGATGACCGCAACAATGGAGGTCGAACCCATTCTGATTCTGAGGCCAACTCTAGTGTTTTCCTACTTGCACCATTCAACTCCATAGAATTTGAATGGCCATGGGAATGGACCTCACCACCCCAATTCCATCCTTCGCTGGACCTAGACCCAGAACCACAACTCAAGTTTTCATTCATCCTCCGCTTCTTCTGAATCGACGAACACTCATTGTCCTTGGAATTGGTGTCTTCTTCTAGCTTACACCATTTCAGGTTCTGCATTTCAGTTTTCATAATCCGCTTAACTATCATCTTGTAAGCACCCCGAATGGAAGAACTCACCTCTGCAACTCCCCACCCCAAAACCCTAATTACACAAGGAAGCACCAGAGACAAGACTCGCGCGATTTGGTACCAAACCACCAACCATGCCCTGGCAATATCCTCCACACCTTTCCAGTCCTCGCAAGACCTAAGTCGTCAACCCAGAACCCCGATGCCGAAACCCCAAATCGAACAATGAAACAAAGAAAATTTGAATGACTCTACACTTTCACGAATCACATAGAAATGATCATGGGACTTAAAGCGTTTATTTATATCTTCGAAAGGATTATAGGTGGAATGCAGATGAGAAATCCCGGGAAAATGCTGACAGTTTTCCCGATAAACAATCAGTTAGAATTGGCAGATAGAAAGAAAGAAAGAAAGTAAGAAAGAAAGCGGAAGCTATGAGTGTGTTTAACGCAAGGAATCGGTCCCTTCAAAATGAAACGTAAGAAAGGAGGGAAATTAATTCATTTATTTATCTATATATAAAAAGGAAAAATATAGGAGAAATTTTTTCTCTCTAAGACATTTATCGATTTTTGTATTTTTTATTTTTATTTTATTTATAATAGATGAGTCCCACACATTATTATTATTATTATTTTTTATAGACAAAAATAATAAAAAAAATTATTATTTCTGTTACATGAGAGAGTTCTCTCTTATTGCATGGAATTAATAAAGCTCATGTAAAAAAGGCAAAATGAACACTTTTTAAAATATAAATTAGATAAATTTTAAAATCAAATAGGAAGGGCTGTGGTGTTAGAATAAGGAAAAGAAATGGAGTGGCACGTTCCCTGGTGTTTTGTTTATTTGGTGCCCGTGATCGTGAAGGAGAAAGACAAGGAGGGAGGGAGAACCAATTCCTAAACTTATGAATCTGAGGAATGCGCCAATTTTTAAAATTTTTGGCGGCACCACCAAATTGTGTGTGACACCTGCGAGCGGTGCCAACAGGTAGGGGTGAAAGTGGGCTGGGCTAGGCCAAGCTTTGCCCTGAAAAGTCCAAGCCTACGTCAAAAAATTTCAATTTGGCCTGGCCCAAGCCTAGTATGAGTCTAACTATTAGCCTGGTTTGGCTCGTTTATAAAAAAACAAATGGCCTGACTTGGCCTGTTAACCTGTTAATTTTTAACTTCTAAGCAGAACCATGAATCAACTTTAAAAAGTACTCAAATTATGTTGCTACACCAGAATCATAATTTCAACGTCCAAACAGAATCATGAATCATAACAAAACTAATACAATATGCATTTAAGTCATTTTCAAAAGCAAAATGCTCAAACTAAATAACATATATTTCATTAGATCCAACAAACAAATTCATACTATGTAAATTAAAATAACTACATGAATCCCACAAACAAACACATCATGATATTTGTAGTAAGTATAACCTCTCCCAAAAATCTTTTAATATATTCATATACACAATCTAACATGTTGAGATATTGGTTCCTCCTATATAAGAAATAAAGTAAGATTTCTATTAAATATAATCGAATATAATTAAGTTATAAATAACTGCAATTGATTAAATTTATATCTTTTTTTTTCTTCAAGGCATATTTACTCTATTTTATTTTATTTAAAATAAATATTACAATATAGGCCGGCCTGTAGGCTTATAGGGCCGGCTTTTTGAAAGTAGGCCTACGACCTTTTTATTAAACAGACTTTTTTAAGGCCTGAGTCCGGCCTATTATACAAAATATACTAGGTCAGGTCTAGCCTGATGTAGGCCGAGCCGTAGGCCCCTGTAGGCCGGCCCGACCCAGTTTCACCCCTACCAACAGGCCTTTTTGACCGTGTTAATGCATTTCGTAATTGTATGGTAATTAAAAATTCGATTTATCATTGATTTTTTTTTATATATTTTTATGATTTTTTTATTAAAACATTTTTATCAATATTTTAAATTTTAAGTACTTTTATGATTTTTTTACGTAAAATCTCGTTTTTATCTCCCTTCTGTTCTAATATTCCACTGGTTTTTATTTTTTGTTTTTATGTTTTTCTAAATAATCTTGTCATTAAAAAATTATGGGAAAAGTGTTTGTCATTTTAAATGACATAAATTTACGTTATTTTAAGAAAGAGATAGACACAGAATTTTATTTTTTTATTTAAAATTTAAATTAAAAAACCACTCACTTTCTCTCTCTCATGATTTTCATTTTCTGTGTCTATCTCTCTCCTAAAATGACATAACTTATGTTATTTAAAATGAAAAACATCAAACCCAAAAATTATATAAGGAAATTCTCTCAATCATTCTAATGCATATATGCATTGTATTTTAAGATATACAATTTTATAAAAGTTAAAAAATAAGTAATTTCTTTCCTCGAATTATTAAATAAGCATAATATGATAATATTTTTTTTCATATAATTTGTTTAAAAATATATACATATAACTTAAAATATTCATAACTTTTTGACTCTACATATATAAATAAGTAAACAAAAATGTAGAATAACGGCCAGCATATTTTATCCATAGCCCAAATAAAATTGAGTTGGGTCCATTACATGCCCACATTATTTTTTATGGGAAGCAAAACAGCCCAAGTAAGCACCCATGATTTTCCAAACGCCTAATCAATAGGTTAAAAAAAAAAAAAAAACCACCTTCATTTTCATCCTACTAGGGGATCTTAATTCTTAATCTCTTTTTGAAAAATTTGATGTGTGCGACACAGACAAGCTTGGACACGCAGTCAACATTTGGGGACACGCGATCAACTCTCTGACCTGTTTCAATATGTTTTTTCGACACGTAGTCAACTTTTTTCGACACGCGGTCAACGCTCGGACACATTTTTTTTTTAAATCTTAATTTTATTTTGTTAACTAAATATAAAAGAAATAATTTATAAATTAAATTTTTTTGTTATGAAATTTGACATGAAAAATTAACAAAGTACGAAAAATTATTTATATTTATATTTATGTTATGAAATTTAAATATTTGATTGGTTATATGACTTATTATGGACTCTTATATGTATTAAATAAATGGGTTTGGTATTTGTCATTTTAAATGAAATAAGTTATGTCATTTTAGGAAAGAGATAGACACAGAAAAATGAAAATCATATGAGAGAGAAAGTTGATGGTTTTTTTTAATTTATAATTTAAATAATTTCTTCTATGTCTGTCTCTCTCTTAAAAGGACAGAGAGTGTTATGTTATTTAAAATGAAAAACACTTTTCCCTAAATATAAATTATATTATATTATATATATTAAAATTTTTATTTAATATCAAAATGTGTCTCAACGTATCGAAATATGGCATTTTTTAGAATTAACGTGTCGGCGTGTCGTGTCCTGTGTCCGTGCATCATAGATCCTAATTATGTTGGATTCATTTTATTGATTTAACATGCATTATAATGATTATGATAAACAACCTATTTTCATTTATAGCCTCTTACAATCATATCTTAAGTTTTTAACTGTGAATTTTCATCAATTAACCGTTATCATTTATTACAAATTAATAATTAATTAATAAGTTAGATTTGCGGAAATGATAATCGTTGATTGACAGAAATCAACGGTTAAAATATGATTGTAAGAGGTTATAAACGAATTTAGGTTGTAAGTATAATATATTATTATTAAGGTTATATTTATAATATATTTTCACTTACAATCTCTTACAATCAAATCTTATATTTCGAGATCACCATTTTTTAAGATATTCCTTAGTGTAAATGAGAAAGTGAAATTGAAAAAGAAAAAAAATAACAGGAATAAAAAGAGAAAAAAATAGTATTGTTTGAGAAAATATCAAATTATATTTCCTTATATGAAGAGACTCCCATTTGCACTTACGCGGCCAATTGTTGTGATTAATTTGTTTTGAAATTTTTGTTTTTCTGAAACTCTATTTTAGCGATGATATGATAGTCTGTTCCCAAACAGTGGATCGTATGTGTCAAAAGTTTTAACACGAATATTTATTTGTTATATTTACATCATTGACCCTATACAAACGTAATCCACTTATACAATTTGCCTCCGAATATAAAAAGTGGTCATTACAATATCATGCCTATCCAAAATGCATTGGCCCGTTCGCGTCAAACGCTTATTCCTACAGTTTGTCAATACATTTTTTTATACTCCGGAAATTTGGAAAGAAATATTATCACCAGAAGGAGTGTGTATTTAAATTCATCGTTTATGATTTATTTTAAGCAGATACTAACATTATATTTATCTTTTTTAATTTATTTATTAATTCATCAATTACTCGATTAATTTGGTTGGAGTTTTAATACAATTGCACGTTCATTGACTCAAGACACAAAATCACAAATTAACAGAAACAACTTCATACCACCTAATCCATATACTCCGTGATATTATGTTCAAGTTGTTTTGGACATTGGTTTATCTGCATTCAATTAACAATAGTTGCAAAAACTTTTACCACATCAACTTGTGTTGCCTTTCACATTTTTAAATTTAGTGGGGGAGATTTAATTTGTAAACATCGCCACAAATTCACAATGATAAGCTCTAGAGCGCATCTCTGGGAAGTTCTTTTAGGCAGTTTATATAAGTGTCAATGTGTCATTTCTATTATATATATTAAGTCAAAATACAAATAAAATAGTACAATACAAGTAATTAAATTATACGATAACTCATTTATATTGTTAGTTGTTTGATGATTAAAACATTTAAATTCATCTGTCTAATAATCATAGTGCTTAATAATAAAAAATGAAGGATCGATGATTATTATTTTTGTTCTAAATACTGTTATTTGATTTGGTGAATAATAAAAGGGAAATACTCTCATGTTGCGTCTCTCATGTTATACTCACACATAAAAACATATGCCTCTCTTTTTGTCTTTTAAAAAAAATTAATGGATCCCATTTTATTTCTCACAACATAAAATAACTATTTTCTTATTACATAATAAAAAAGTAAAATGTCAAATTTTCCCTTGAGGTAATCCATCAAATACTTATACTATTTAAAATATATATATAATGTTTATACCGCATTATCTCTCTCTCTCTATATATATATATATATTCTTCCACCAATTTTTAACACATCTGCATAAATTAGTTCTTTTGATTTCGATATTAAATAAGAAAAAAATGTGTGTCATTTTAAATAACATAAGTTGTATCATTTCGTAGACACAAAGATATGAGTCTCATTGAAAAAAATAAAGACAAAAAAATAAATAAATGTGTGAATCTCACATCTTTATGTTTATGAAATGACATAATTTGTATTATTTAAAATAATACACATTTTTCCTATTAAATAACAGTATAAATACTAAGAACAAAATGTTGTTACATATTTGGCAAAATAATTTTTCGTGTTGGATGGCATAATTTTGTCTCAGCACATAAAAAAGAAGATGAGATCCACTTATTTTTCTCTTTTTTCTCTTTTTCTTAACGGGTTTCACTAATTTTTTTATGTGTGTTTGAGATAAAAATTGTCTTATGTGAGAAAATATATTCCCAAATAATTTATGTGCTAATCAATTATATATTGGGTTACAAACTTACAATGGCGAATTTTGATATTTTTTACAACTTTAAAAAGTTAAAAATATTTATGAGATCTCTTAAATCTTGAACAAGACAAAAGTCACAAAACCAAAGTGCAGCATCAGGGGAAGCGAAAATAAAAAATAAATCGACAAAAAATGTGATAAATCAACCGAATTAAAATAAAAACAGATAAAATATTGAGCAAGTTGATAATTAGGCTGTAAAATCCAGAAGGTGACATCCAATGGCGTTTTATCAAATCGGGTTTCTGTCCGTTAAATCTCAGCCCTTCCTTCCTTATCACACTACCCTTTTTCTCCTCTTCCCCTTACCTCTCTATATCTCTTTGCTTGCCTCGTCCATTTTATGTCCTTCTGAATCTCCATTTCACGCTCATTTCTGTTTTATTATCACTCGCATAATAAACTCATCAACTCCTTCCGTTCCATTGTTGCGCTTCTCATTACTACATAGAGAGCATTGCATTAAAGACCATCATCCACTTCGTGCTCTTTGGTAACTCTTTTATAGCTCTTGCCTCTTCATTTTAACACTCTTTGCTTATTTAGCCAACACAATTTTTGTCTACACTTCTTACCTCATTTGAAATTAAATTTGAATTAGTGAAGAATAAGCTTCAATTTTCTCAAGATTTTCAAAATATAAATTTGGTATTAGTACTGATTATGCTGATAAGAAACTGTTCATATGAATTAAAAACCAATTTAATATATACTCTAACTTGTTCTTCTGTATATATAGAGTGCCTGAAAACTTTAAGTTCAATATTATTTATTTATTTTTTTCAAATTTCAAAGAAGTCGAAAATGGCACCAAGAAACAATCGTGGAAAGGCCAAAGGAGAGAAGAAGAAGAAGGAAGAGAAGCGTAAGAAAATTTTCATCCGAATGATTATATCTTGTTCAAACTGGATTGGCTTGACTTAGCAATTTGTTCTTGTAACTCTGCAGTTCTTCCGGTTGTCATGGATATCACGGTGAACCTCCCCGATGAAACTCATGTTATTCTCAAGGTTTGTTTATTTTATTTGTGAACAGATTAGATTAAAATTGACTGAAGTTTGATTTACTTTGCTATATTTGTTGTGTCTGGTTGTTTATTGCTGTATTGGCAAATTATTGGCAACCACCTTCTGTCTCTTCTTGTTATGATAGTGATAGGTATCTTTTGCAAGATTGTTCCCCTTAGTGCTGAACTTTATGCCTAGTAGATTATTATTATAAACTCAAATGAGTGTCAACTATTAGCTCACTTACTCATTTGAACTTTCTTAAAAGTTTTATTAATTGTGTCAACCATAACTTACGTACTCTATTGTGATGCATAGCAAGAATCCAAAATTCTGAACCAATTATTCAATCCATAAACCTACCTTTTTTTTTTTGGCTTATTATTTGTGTATATCACAGTTGCCGTGCACATGTTAGCGTAGCCTAAAAAGAAGTGGGTGGTTGTAAAATGTTACTTTGAGGATGACAACTTGAACCTATTGACAATATATGAGAGAATCGATTTCAAGGAATCTAAAACGCAGCTTGATTTTTTATACTTCCAAGTCTTTACGTCTTTAGCGTAGAAGTACTTGATATGAATCTAGGATCTCTGATGTAGCTTTTTCCCCATTTTATTATTGTTATCGTCTCTTTGTAAGATGATGCAGAGTACTAGTTGTAAATGATTTAAAATTTTTGTGAAGCAGGGGATATCAACGGACAGAATAATAGATATTCGTCGGCTTTTATCGGTGAATACAGAGACTTGTTATATCACCAATTTTTCCCTATCACATGAGGTAAATTTTGTACCACAGTTTTGGCTATTATAATTTTAACGATTTATTGTTGCCATATGGAGACTTTCTTTATTACAGCTTGAAACTGTCTGAATCCTAAGCCAAAGGAAATAGAGACATAATAAGAAGACTTGGTGATATATTTGACAAAAAAATAAATAAATATAAAAAAGATATAAGCCCAATGAAAGCACACATCATCTCCAGAAAAGAAAAATGTACATAGTATTGGATGCAGGCCTCATATATGTACTATGTTGGACATCGCAAGGCTCCAACAAACATTTTGGATCTTGACATTTTTTTTTGTTTTTTTTTTGGGGGGGTAATATGGAGCTGCAATTTATTATAGATAATTTCAGCTATATTTAATTGTAAATAGGAAACACGAATTGTAGCAAAAATAAAATAAAATAGGAAACACGAACAAATGAGTTACGCTGCGGCCAACTAAATTTGAATGAAGCTATCACGAAGAGAAAAAAAAAAAAAAAACAAGTTTTTGAATTCATTGAGCCAATTTAGTTTTCTACACGTTATACTTATTTTTCAATGACTTTTAGCAGTAATGAATTAATTTCTTAAAAAAAAATTAAAATTTACAAATTATCACAAGGATAGTAAAAAAAATAATAATTAAAATCCTATTTTCAATTTAAAATATAAAAAATATACCACATTGATAAAAAGTCCTAGCTGATTAGTATTAGAAAGTTATTAAAACACTTAATTTTATTTTTCCGTTTGCTTACAACGAATTTTTTTTCTCTTTTTCTCTCTCTCGCATGATTATCCAAAAGGCGAAGTTTAATTACAGTTTATATTTTGATTATCACCGGAGGAAGAGTAATCGCATCTATAATTAAATTATGATTATTTTGTTTACCAAAAAAAAAAAAAATTATGATTATTTTGTTCTTTGTGTATATATATGCTGGTAACAATTCTGTATGAAAGAAGAGAATTAAGATTAAGGTACGTACGTTCATTTCCAAAAAAAAAAACAAAAACCATTAGGGTAAGTTCAGTTCAAGTATGATTTGTTATTGGTCTTGTTAATCTCATATTAAAAAAAAAAAAAAGTTATTTTATATCATAGAAATAAATTTATGAACTTCACCGCCTGAAAAAATAAAAAATGACACCGTTATCAAAAAAAATATGTAAAAGGAAAACTTACTAAATGTAACGTAACATTAATTTTGCCCTTTGTTATTATACTTTCGCTTTCGTAAGCAAGATCTTGTAACAGGTGAGAGGGCCACGACTACTAAAGGAGACGGTGGACGTGTTCGCACTGAAGCCATGCGTCCTCACTTTGGTGGAAGGTATTTTTCAATTATTATATTTAATCAATTAAAAAAATAAAAGAATTAAGTATACGACGTCGTCTTGCTCATGTTGCCACTTGGCAGAGGATTACGACGAAGATGGAGCGGTTGCCCACGTCAGACGGCTGCTGGACATCGTGGCCTGCACCACGAACTTCGGTCCGTCGGCGGCGAAGAATGGAAACTCTCACGCGCCGCCGGCTGAGGTGGTTGACGGAGACTGCGAGATCAACCAGTCGTGCCCCAGGCTTGGGAGCTTCTACGAGTTCTTCTCTCTTTCACATCTCACTCCCCCTCTCCAATGTAATTTACAATCTTTGTCCTCTTCCACTTGCTTTGAATTTATTCTCTACGTTCTCTTCTGATGCTGATGAATTTGAATAGATATCAAGCACGCTGTGAAACGACAAGTTCAGGAAATACCAGAGGCGGATCATCTCTTCTCCCTTGATGTAATTTTTCATTTTTTATTTTTTAAAATTTCGCATTGGCATTGTTTTTGTTTTGGAGCAAGAAAACGGCAAAAGATAGGAAAATTGAATCTTCGTTTATGCTCAGGTGAAGCTATGTAATGGGAAAGTTGTGCACGTTGAAGTTTGCAGAAAGGGATTTTACAGTGTTGGGAAGCAGCGGATTTTAAGTCATAACCTTGTTGATTTGTTAAGACGGCTTAGTAGAGCTTTTGATACTGTTAGTGTTCCTGCCACTACTTAAATGTTTAATTTGGTTTACGGTTTAGGCTAGTTGTAAATTTGGTTAATTTTACATATTATGTTTATTAATTTTTCAGGCTTATGATGATCTCTTGAAGGCATTCTCAGAACGTAACAAGGTATGATCGGCTTTTTGACTTCTTTACTTTTCTTATTAATGATGTGTAACTTGCTATAACTAATGAAAGAACCATACAATACGTTGATGGCTTTTGTTGGCTCTAATCTTTTCTTTTGTCTCTTCAGTTTGGGAATCTACCTTATGGCTTCAGAGCCAACACATGGCTTGTTCCTCCTGTTGTGGCACAATCGCCTTCAGTTTTCCCTCCTCTTCCCGTGGAGGATGAAAATTGGGGTGGAAATGGTGGTGGTCTAGGGAGAGACAGAAAGTTTGACTTGATTCCTTGGGCCAATGAGTTTTCATTTATTGCATCTATGCCTTGCAAGACAGCAGAAGAAAGGCAAGTTCGTGATAGGAAAGCATTCCTTCTCCACTCCCTATTTGTTGATGTTGCCATTTTCAGAGCCATTAGGGCTGTTAAACATGTAATGGGAGAGCCCGTTTTAAGATGCTCAACTGCAGAAAATGATACTTTATACACTGAAAGAGTAAGTGACTTGAGTATCAGAGTCTCGAAAGATGCTTCTGTTGCCAGCTCTAAGGTTGATACCAAAATTGATGGAGTTAAAGCTACTGGGGTAAATCAAAAGGATCTAGTAGAGCGAAATCTACTCAAAGGAATTACTGCTGATGAGAATACTGCAGCCCATGTACTATACATTTCATACAGAAAAATATTGGTTAAAGTGGTGCTTTAGAGCTGTTTCTTTTCCCTCATATAACTGATAACATGTTCCACTTTCTTCGTGCAGGATATTACCACTTTAGGTGTTATTAATGTAAGGTATTGTGGTTATGTGGTTGTTGTGAAAGTTGAGAGTGGAGAAAATGAAAATGTCAATTCTCCTTCTTATCAAAGTACTGAATTGCTTGATCAGCCAGAGGGTGGTGCCAATGCACTCAACATTAACAGGTAGTCCTGAACCATTCAATGTTACAGTAGTTTACGTAATGCTCTTTTACTCATATAAACTACGTGCTCTCTCTCTCTCAATGTGTTGATTGAAACAAGTTCGTTTTGGGTGCTTCTTTGTTTTTTTTTGACGAAGTTTTGAACTTATTCAAGATCGATATAGATAGTTATATATATATATATATATATAGATATATATATTTATTTATTTTGTATTTGGAGGACTTATTTTTTGTTGCTAGCTTTTTCTTTTCTCCTCCTGGGAGCTATTATTCAGTTTTCAGCTTAATTTCTAGCTGGTCTGTTCTTATTTTATAGCTTCTGTTGCAGCTCTCAATGGTTGATCCCTAATTCTCATGCATCGCAAGAAAATTGGCCCTGTAATTATTTATTGTTCTTTGCAGTTTGAGATTACTTCTCAACTCAACACAGTCTGAAAAGTACAGACCAGTGACTCAGATGCAAATGCCTGAGATTGAAGAGCTTGGAGTTTCCCGTGTTTTTGTGGAGAGGCTGATCAAAGAAAGCATTTCTAAGCTTGAGGAAGAGCAACCTGGTTTGGACAATTTCGTAAGATGGGAACTTGGAGCCTGCTGGATACAACATTTGCAAGACCAAAACAATACAGAAAAAGATAAGAAACAATCTTTGGGTAAAGCTAAGAATGAAATGAAGGTTGAGGGGCTAGGGAAACCCCTTAAAGCCCTCAAGAGTAAGAAAAATAAATCCGATCCAAGTAACCCTAAATTGGCATCTGACAACTCCAGATCTTATGTTAATGGGGAGCCTGAAAGTGCTCTATTTCCCTCAGTAGAATCCCAGCATGAAAATTCAGCAGCAGAAAATGAGCTTGTGCTGAAGGCAATGCTGTCCGATGCAGCTTTTACTCGATTGAAAGAATCAGGAACGGGACTTCACAGCAAGGTAATTTCTTCAAGGTCTTACAAAGTATCTCCAAATTTTCCAGTATTTGAATCAAACTATTGCATCCAGTGACTGACTAAACTACTTCATGTTATTATCAGTCAATGCAAGATCTGATTGACTTGTCCCAGAAATATTACATGGACATTGCTCTCCCCAAGCTGGTAATGATAGGGTTTTACGTGCCTCGTTGTCTGAAATGTGTTCCAGTTGATAAGATTATGATTATTCCCATTCTACTATTAATTATATTCAATATAGGTAGCAGATTTTGGATCATTGGAACTCTCTCCCGTTGATGGCCGCACCTTAACTGATTTTATGCATACTAGGGGCCTACGGATGCGTTCTCTTGGACATGTTGTTAGTGTTCTAAACTTGTCTTCTTCACTTTTTGTATTTGTGACGAGTAATGATATCTATGAGAAACTCTGTGTCCTTTTTACTGTTGAATATGTTGTGCATTTTCAAACTTCTGCAGTTCCAATTCATGGCATGGAGGTTGTAAGTATTTAATTAACATCTCACATAATACAATTACTAGCTCTGAAAATATGACTGAAAAACAAATTATGTTTTCCAATCAGATTTCTTCACAAATTATATCACTTTATCATTCTATTGACATCAAAGTTTATTTGCTTACTCTTATACTGTCTGACAAGGGCTAAAAGGAAGGAGGATATTGTGTATTAGGTTTTAAATTTGTGTAGGCTTTTCCATGTTGTGTGATATTTGTCTTTTGTTTTCTATGCAGGTCAAGCTTTCAGAAAAACTATCACATGTACAATCACTTTGTATTCATGAGATGATAGTTCGTGCCTTCAAGCACATCCTGCAGGCAGTGATTGCTGTTGTTGACAAGGAGAAATTGGCTGCATCAATAGCTGGTGCATTGAATTTGCTACTCGGTGTTCCTGAAAGTAGAGAATTAGATAAATCATGCAAAATCCACCCCCTTGTGTGGAAATGGCTAGAGGTGTTTCTGAAGAAGCGATTTGATTGGGATCTTAGCAGTTTGAATTACAACGACATGAGGAAGTTTGCAATTTTACGTGGCTTATGTCACAAGGTACTGGAAGTAGGATATGAAATCTGCAGTTTGTGTTGGGTCTTGCATTGTGGATTGCATAGCAGTGGAGTCACACGTGTATCTTTTTCATATTTCTGTTTCCTAGGAGTACACTTGGCTAAATTTAATTTTTAATTGCGGTAATTACATGTTGATTATTTGTTCAATGTATGCACATGAGCATGAAATAGTTGTATAAGTTAGCTGGATTTCCCACTTGAATATTGTGGTCACTATTCTGATGTTAAAATGGCCTCAAATAGTTATTTGCCACTAGATAAAGTTGGTTTGCATTATCATAATGGTCTTTGATGGTCTTGTCGATGTAATTCAATTTGTCATCTCATAAGAAAGTGTTGCTTATTGAACACATAACCTGATCATTGTCATGAATTCGGCAAACCTACTTTCCTCCTTTACTCTTCTTTCCCTTCAACTGAAGTAACTCCCATATAAAAATTTATGATTTTTAACTCTATCTTTGTTTTAACATTATTATAAATTATCTGCATGTGCTTGTGAATTGGAGAAATAAGAAAAGATGGTGCCCTTCTAAAGGGAGGTTGAGGGGGACCAAAAAGACATGATGGGAGACTATTAAGAAGGATTTAGGATACATGGGGCTTGATGAATCTATGAAATCTAGAGAGAATAAGGTTTGGTGGTTGTTGTTTTCATTGTTTTGTTGGTATACTTGTAAAAGATGTACTTAATAATTTCCCCACATATATGTGTGTGTATAGGTACAGTATAAACACATGTACAGACTTAAATTAGTCAATAAATTGTAGTTCTTATGGTTATCAATTGACAATGCCATTGAGCAGTTGTTCATTGACAATTGTTTCTCACTACCACCTTCTGTATTAGGTTGGCATTGAACTTGTTCCCAGGGATTTTGACATGGATTCTGCAATTCCTTTCCACAAATCTGATATTGTCAGCTTGGTCCCAGTTCACAAGGTAATAAACAAGACAAGACAATAAAGTTATATGTTCTCTCGAACAATGTCTTGAAATTTATTATAAATCCAAATTTGTATCTAATGCACATTCTAAATCTTTGCAGCAAGCAGCATGCTCATCCGCAGATGGAAGGCAGCTCCTAGAGTCATCAAAAACAGCTTTAGACAAGGGCAAGCTGGAAGATGCAGTTACCTATGGGACAAAGGTATCTATCTCCAGAGCCCTTTGTTGGAAAATCTACGAACTTCTGGCAATTTGCCTCAACAGCAAATGCTTTTTGGTATTGTTGTATGATGACCGCAATAATTTGTTGGTGACAGGCTCTTGCCAAGCTGGTAGCGGTTTGTGGCCCCTATCATCGGATGACAGCGGGAGCATACAGCTTACTTGCTGTTGTTCTATATCATACTGGAGACTTCAATCAGGTCTACTTTGTAGTCATTTATGTTTTTGTATTGGGAGGACATTATTGCATAAGAAACCGGATTAGCCTCTATCACATCCATAGCATATACAGATACAATCAAGATATACAGACTGGCAAATAACATTCTGATGAATTGTAATTCTGTGGGACATACACTTAATTAAATTCATCTATAAATTTTTTTGCTTGTACCAGCTATAGTTCTACCGTCTACACACTTATGTAATATCTAATCTACTCCTTTTGTTTTAGTCAAAGTTTTCAAATTTGATTTCAATTCATTAAGTTGTTTACTCCAATCACAGGCTACAATTTATCAACAAAAAGCTCTGGATATCAATGAGAGAGAGTTAGGTCTGGATCATCCGGATACTATGAAGAGTTATGGAGATCTTGCGGTTTTCTATTACAGACTTCAACATACAGAGCTGGCTCTGAAGTATGTTTTGTTCTTATGCAATGTAATGATGATGCACAAGTGTTCATGGATTTTTCATAATTAGAATTCAGTTTGGTTTTTGACCTGATATGAATAACTGTCCATTTTTTATTTGAGAATAGTAATTTATTAGGAGAGAAAAGAGGATTACAAAGAAAGAGGAGGATCTGATATCCTTCTTGTGGTCTACCTAACAGGATCTAGTTTGTTTTTTCTTAACATAACGTTATTAATGATAATCATAATAAAAATAGTAAATAGGGATTTAAATGTTTTCAATTTTTGTGATGATTTATTTCATTTGTTTACTACCTGGCTCTGCAACTTTATTTAATCAGGTATGTAAAGCGTGCTTTATACCTTTTGCATTTAACTTGTGGCCCATCTCATCCAAATACTGCGGCAACATACATTAATGTGGCGATGATGGAGGAAGGTCTGGGAAATGTACATGTTGCTCTCAGATATCTTCACAAAGCTTTAAAGTGCAACCAAAGATTGCTTGGTTCGGATCATATTCAGGTTTTATTTTATTTCTTGATTTTTCCAAAGTATTAAGTTTGTTTAATTTTGGCGATCCTTCATCTTCAATGTTTACTTCAATTCTATGCTGAATGTTGCATAAAATGCAAGTGGTAAAAGGTGGGCTCTAAATTAATGAGTGTGAAACCAGTGGAAATCGTTTAAATATTCTGTACATAGATGAGTTTTAGTACTTATTGTAATCATTTGAATTCATCTAAAATACCAAAATAATATTCTACCCTTAAAAGAACAGCTTATATAATGATACGCACTAGAGGCTGGTGTTATTTATCTAGCAACACTTCTCATCTCTTCATTTTCATGTATGCAAATTTCTTAATTTGAATCTCTGCAGACGGCTGCAAGTTATCATGCAATAGCAATAGCACTCTCTTTGATGGAAGCATATCCTTTGAGTGTGCAGCATGAGCAAACAACTTTACAAATACTGCAGGCAAAACTTGGCCCAGATGACTTGCGTACACAGGTATATTGTCACATTTAAGTATATTTGTCGTGTTGTGAACACCCAATCATTCAGAAGATGAGGAAATAACAGAATAATACAGCACCTATTTGTCATTGATATAGTTGGTAGATTAGAGTCTTAAATGATGTGGCAAAATAGTGTTTGGTTGAGTTAGAGTTCTAGTCCCCCATTAATGGTCTCATAAAGAATTATGTTTTGCATAACCTAAAATTTTGTGATAAATGCTACAGGATGCGGCTGCTTGGCTCGAGTATTTTGAGTCCAAGGCTTTTGAACAGCAAGAAGCTGCACGAAATGGTACTCGAAAGCCTGATGCATCAATTGCTAGCAAAGGCCACCTAAGGTATGGTAGAATTGTCCTTGGCCATCTGGATCTGGTTCTTTATTAGCTATTACTCATTACTAGGTGTGTTTTAATGGATCTCATAGGAGAAATTCTGGTAAAAGTTTTTATTTGGAAATTGAAGTATGTAATTTTATTGGTAATGTTTGCAGCTGATACCTTGTTTGGTGTTTCTTGTTAATGACTATCAATACTGCATTTAATTGTTCTCTTGGTGTTCTTATAACTTGTGGGAACAGCTCAATTTTGTTAACTGATAACAAACTGTCTTCTTTACAATGCTTGAAATCATTGACAATAATAATTTTGAATGGTGCCTATTTTAAGAAGCATATACACTGACGTGGACATAGGACATGATATGGACGTGGACACTGCAACACAGCAAAATTTAAAGTGTTAATTTGTTTTCTGAAGTGTCATGCCGTGTCTTTCAGCTTCTGATATGTGTATGCCACAAATATGACTCCTTTCTTGAAGTTTCAAGTATCTGTGCTTTGTAGAGTGTCATAACTTCCTGTCAGACTTGTCAAAGTTTAGAATGACTGTACTTACATAGTTGAAATTGAGAAACTGTGCGTGTATTGTGACCACCCAGGAATTATATTTATATCAATAATTACATGGGTTTGAACCCTATTAACATGATGTGGGACCAATAACACAACCTATTTATATACATTCTAACATATATATCTATCATACATTCTCACATAAAATTTATGCTGATTTTTTATATTCCCGTGGAATTTGTCAGCGTTTCAGATTTACTTGACTACATTAATCCTAACCATGATGCCAAAGGAAGAGATGTGGCAATAAAGAGAAGAAGCCAAATAACAAAGGTATGGAGCTGATTTACTGGTCTTAAATAAATTTAACTCATTAGTTTGAGATTTTGGCAAAAGAACAATGATAGAAGAGTTGTCTGATTTCTGCTGCCAGCTGTCTACTTATATACAATTTCTTACATTGCTAGTGTTTGGCTAGGGTATTTTTTTTACATTGTTTTAAGATGTAAAAACCAAGCAACATGAAATGAGCTTCAGGACTAATTCAGTCTGTAATTAGAATGAGAAACTGCAATAGAGGAAGCAGACACCTAGTGGAGCAACTTTTTGTTTTTTTTTTTTGTTTTTGCCCTCGTACTGTTACTGCATGAAGGTTCACAATTTTACGTCATTGCAGTAACTGCCTGCTTGTGCTGCCTCTTGCATGTATTCTCATCCTATATGATATAATTTCAATACAAATTTCAAATATTTGGCAGGCAAGAATTGAATCCTGCCAGAACATTGGCTCAGCAAGTTCTGATGAGTCTTTGAAAGAAACTCCAAAAGAGACTTCAGATGAAAAAATACTTGTACCTGGACCAGGTGGTGGTGCAGATGCTGAGCAAGAGACCAACTCTGCGCCTGATTCAGAGGAGCCCATTTTAGAAAAGACCTCATATGAAAAGCCACAAAATTCGGGTGAAATCTTGTCTGAAGCATATGCTGATGGAGAGGATGGATGGCAACCAGTTCAACGGCCAAGATCATCCGGTTCATATGGCCAGCGACTGAAACAGAAACGAGCAACAATTGGCAAAGTTTATTATCAGAAGAAGAATGTGGAGTCTGACGCAGACTATCCGTATGTAAGGAGTACTAATCAGAACAGTAGGTATTACTCTCTGAAGAAGCGAATAATATCCCATGGGGGTTATACAGATAATCATACTGTAAACATAGCCCAAGGTACTAAATTTGGAAGGAAAGTGGTCAAAGCTGTTACATACAGGGTCAAGTCCTTGTCTGCAGCTAATAAGACTACTGCGAAGGATCCATCAGAAATTGGTGAAAAACTATACGGTTCTCATTCAGAACTTAGTTCAAGTTCATCACCAACTGATGTTAATCCATTAAAGACTTCTATAGTTAGCCTTGGGAAATCTCCTTCATACAAAGAAGTGGCATTGGCTGCCCCCGGGACAATCTCCAAGTTGCAGGTCTATAATCCTCAAAGTGAGATTCCTGTTAGCCATGACCTTGGTGTTGGCAAACATGAAGAGGAAGATATTGAAGCACATGCAAATGCTAAACCAACCTTGGAAGAGGTAAACGATACATTAAAGGAGAAGGACAAAGATTCTTTGTCTGTAGATGATTCACAAGATACTGAAGTTTCCGAGAAGAAAGAAGAAACACTGTTTACTGATGCTGTGCAAGATAGTTTTGAGAGTGCTAAGGGGGTTGAATCTGGGGATGTTGAGGTTCATGAAGCAGTTGATAACTACATAATGATTGATGCAGTGGAGGATCCTGCAGGTTCTCACAACCTGGAACTTGACATAAATTACTCTGGCCGTTCTGAATTTCCTAATGATACAAATGCCATCTCACAAGAGGGTGAAGATTTAAGGGTCTGTGTATCTCCATCAAGTCAGGGTGATGCCCAGGGCATCCCATACAAGAAGTTGTCTGCGTCTGCGGCTCCATTCAACCCATCACTAGGCATTGGACGTGCTGCACCAGTTGCCATGAATACAACTCTTCCTTCTGGTCCAGTTGCTGTTCCACCCATTGGCCCCTGGCCAGTAAATATTAATATTCACCATGGACCTGCTACTGTGTTACCTGCAGTTAACCCAATGTGTTCCTCTCCTCACCATCCATACCCATCACCTCCACCAACACCAAACATGATACAACCATTACCATATATGTATCCTCCTTATACTCAACCTCAATCAATACCAGCCAACAACATTCCAGTTACCAGGAGTGCATTTCATGTCAATCATTTCACATGGCAATGTAATTTGAACCCAACTGTATCTAAATTTGGTCCTAATGCTGTCTGGCCTGGTTGTCATCCTGTGGAATTTCCTCTTCCAGCACCTGTCATCGAACCCATCCCTGTTTCCATTTTGGAGACGCAAAATCAGTGTCATGTTTCTGAAAGTCCAAGTTCAGCTTTTGTTCTGCCTGAGGTCATTAATAATGTCAATGAAATTAAGGAAGAGGCGAAAGTTCTAGAATCAGAGACTAGTGAAGATGAAGGGGGTAGAGTTCATTCAGAAAGTGTGAAGGAAAATGGTAATCCTAATTTCTGTGGGTCTGATAATGCTGGGAACAAACCAAATCACAACTTTATGTCGAATGACAACACTAGCAGAAGTGAAAGGAACGTGGATGGTGAGAAAACCATCAGCATTTTGATGAGGGGAAGAAGAAAACGGAAGCATACTCTGAGAATGCCAATAAGTTTGCTAACTAGACCCAACAGCTCGCAGTCATTTAAGGTTATTTATAACCGTGTAGTTCGAGGATGTGATGCTCCCAGGTCCATCAACTTGTCTTCTTGTAAAGATTGTACAGCTACTGTTTAACCCACAGTTCTTTGTTGTTACTAATGAAATGTACCAGAATTACTGCCGATTAAAGAAGAGAGATACCTCATAATTTCACATACAAAAGAAGATATAGTATTTCAATCATTCTTGGAACTCAGCTACAATTTCCCTGCAGCTATAAGTGTTTGGACTGCCTTTTGGGAAGGTTCTGGTAGGTCTTTCACCTCCTAATCTTTACTTTTGCAGAAGTTATATTTTTGGAAAGTGAAGATAACTTGTATACTCGATTCATTGTGGCCCCTATCCCGTGTTCACGATCACACAGAAAAATGTACTGTTTATTGTATGAAGAAACTTTTTTTGCATCACTGAAGTCTTGTTATCGTAGAAATCAGATTTGCCTTTGACCGAATCATTTTGATTAATAAAAACTTGCAGGTTTTCTTCTTTAAGATGGATTGCATGAGGCTTTTCTTCAATTTAAGGTGAGTCCTCCGTATAAAAACTAGAGCTATTTTATTGATTCCGTTGTCCCAGCTAGTCACACTCACAGTGTAATATTGTCTAGAATGCACTTTAGGCACACTGTTTGGTGATTAGTTGGCATGTGGAAATGTTCGTGAGAATTAAAATTACATTGGAGTTGCTGTAGAACAAATGCTAATCATCTTGTTCAGCGTGCAGGTTCATCGCAGTCAGTTTTACGATTTCGGAGGCACCTTCAAGGTGAAATTTTTTCGTAGGCCATTTTGATTTACTGAATTACAGGATTAAAGACCGTTTCTAATTTTTCAATTGTTACATCATTGTCAATGGCTTTGTTAATTAATTTGGCTTATTTGTATATATATATATTCTTTAATTTTTTGCTGGGTATTAGTGGTTCTCTTTTGTTGGTTGACTTGATGCTTAATTTTTACAATTGAAGTCATGTGATGGACCATATCGATGGAGATTGTAGTTTTTGAATTCAATAAGATAAAAGTTTAAATTCGACTATTGAATTTAGTATGCCACCGGGCTCCGTCAATATCTGAAGGTAATGTGAGTGTGTGTGTTTGCTGACTTCGTCTATCTACATACACTTAGATGTGTACGATAAAAAAAATTAAGATAAGTTATTAGGGCTAGCCTAATAGTGAGTGGGGTGGGTAGCAGGTGCTGTATTCGATTCTCAATGTCTTAAAAATAAAATAAAGATACATTACAACTTAGTTCAAGTATAACAAGAAAACAGGGTATATTAAAATTATATTTAATGTTATAAGCAAGCTTCAATAGCAAAATTTATTTTATTTTTATCATCTATTAATTTTTTTTAACTTAGAAGGGGATGAAAACTTGTTCTACCAAAATGAGGATGATTGTTTTGGAATTAACTTAGCATAAAGAAAATCACTGTAGTAGCGTTGATGGCAAAATGATATGAGCATGATGTCAGCTAAAGGTGACGCAAGCAGTGATGTAATCAGAGTGTCGACAGGCACTGTAGCAAAAAATCCTGTAGCAGTTTACTGTATCAGCACGAGTCAGTTACTGTTCATTCAACCACTTTTATTTCCCGAATAAAAAAGGTTGGTGAATTACGCTCAGTAGGGATTATTTTTGTATGCTTGACAAGTGGCATTTACATGTTTAAGTGCCAGTTTATAGGGAAAAACAAATATTATGTTGTAGGAAAATTCTTAGGTCATGTCATAGAGACAACCAATTGTGGGGTTCATTATTTTTAAAATAAAAGAAAAGTAAAAGAATTGATGAACCCATTTTTGTGTTTGTATAGGAAAAATACTTGTGTCATGTAAAATGAGAAAAATATTACCAGTTTATAATGAGTTATTCATTGCCAATGTTTCACGAAATCACATTCCCAATCTCTAGACTCTAGCAGGTTGTATCCCTTTAGATTTTGAGTTGTACGGCTGGTGATGCAGCAAAGGGCTATCGTAAACCTTTTTTCTTGGAAGTTCAATGCCTCGAAGAAGGGTTTCCTGTTTCTAGCAAAAGCAATATCGGTGCAAAGGAACCGTGAATATGCTCATTTGATCAAAATATGATCACTCACCAATATGATTTTAAGTTTCAACACATTTTTACAGAAAACAAAATGTAGATGTAAAAGGAGGCATTACATTCCTGACCAAGCAAGCAGCAGCAGAAACGGAACGAAGAAACCAAAAAAAGTTCAATCTCAAGTTCAGGTGAGGAAGCCAAAAGTTGGGATTGTCCATCTTGGCAAACTTCTACCTGGCTATATATCTACATCAAGAAAGCTCGACAATTCAGTTCATATGCCATAGAATGAGATTTTGTCTGAACTGGTTGAAGGGGACAATTGACCCTGCTTGTGCAAATGCAAAACTAGGAGCGAACACATTCACCCTGCTTCATCAAGTGGCATAAGATACATATAACTAAAATGTTCGTTCTTCAGCTGAAATCTCAATAAACAGATGAAGTTATATAAAACAAGGAAAGAACGTACCTTTAACTAGATTACTTGGAAAGGTGGCTTCTCCTACTGAGTCCATTTGGAAACTCGGAGGAAGAGAGCGCTTCTCTGACCTTTTCAAATATGCCAATACTTCCAGAACGATTACTGCAACAATTATGATACTAACAATGAATCCATATCCTATCTTCCAATCATTCCCTGCCCCCGCAGCTTGCATCCCCAACACTATGTTCAAGGCTGCAAAGAATACTGCCAGTCTTCCAAACCAACTGTGGTACAAATTCCAAATTTTGCGAAACTTGGAATCCTTATTTGGCCTCAAGAAGAATGCCAATATCTGAACTCACATAGCTTTAAAGTCAGTTTCAAATTGTACTTAATTAGATAGAATGCATATATATGAAGTTATCAAGCTTTTATTAGTCAGTTCAAATTTTACTTAAGGAGAGTGAGAAGTAGAGGACTGAACATTGAATATTATTCAAGGGTCAGTGACAGACCTGAAGAATACTTAGCACAAAGACAAAGATGCCTATGCCTCTGTGAGCTGGTATGTGGACATGCATTTCGGCATAGAGTTGTAATCCAAGAAGGACAGTGCCAAGCCCAAATGCGAATCCCACAAATTGAATGACTGAATGGAGATAGAACCATAGTGGATCCTTATGCCTGAAGTATCTAGCAACAATTGCCCCAACAGGCAGTATTAGACCCCACCCCATTATACCCACTATTCCATGATTCTTCCTCATCTTAATCAATTCATTGGTTGCTGGATCCTTAGAACCTGCCAGAAGATTATTTGTCAAGTTTCTTCTCTGGAAAATTTTTATTGTAAGATATACGAAAAATAGGCGTTTGGATCAAAATAATGGCTAATTCAAGTTTTGGTCCTTCAAATAAATAGTTTTCCACTTCTGTACCTGAAAGTAGTAATTTTGAGATAAAAATGTGGTTGTTCGCCTTCATTTATTTTATAGTAAAATACTAAAATGTGCTTCACTGAAGTGAAATTATTCTTTGTTAAAAGAAATTAAAGTGACATTTTACTTGTAAAACTTAGCCGACAAATTTGGAAAACATAGCATGATTATAAAGTGGCACACCTGATTTTTCACCAGAAGAAAAATCAAATACAATTGCTGTTTTGTCATCATGCTTTGACAGATGGTGGTTCTGTGGATGTTTAGTACCAAAAGCCAATAAAATTGGTTGCCTCCCATATGGAGTTGTGGTTTGCAGCTGAAATGCCAAATAAATTTCAGCCCCATTTGTTGCCACAGCGGCAGGCACAGTATTTAGAGGCAGTTCACCTTTGTCTACAACGACTTCTGATGCCTTCTTACCCCTTAGATAAAACTGCTTGATTTTTGCATGACCATGTTTATTGATCCATCCTACCATTGCACTCGAACCAACCATCTTACCATCTTTAGAAAATCCAATTCCCACCCACCCAATAGTGTAGGGAGCAGATAATATGATAGTTGTAATATCATCGTTCTTGGTGTACTGCAACAAAATCTTAAACTGTTAAGTGAGTCTACATTAATGGTTTTATATATTTCTAACATTATATGCAAAGGGACGATCTTGACATTCAGATAATAACAAATCAATTATTTCTTGCTAGATTTTACAATTGGGGCAGTTGTCTGAGACTGAGATTGAGATTATAAAACATAAAAAATTCTAAAATCATGTAAAAAAAATGAGGCCGCCCTGAACCAAAGAACAGATCATAATAATTAATAAACAAGTTTCAACAGTAAAACTTATTAAAAGATTAAGAATATATAAATGAGTAGAACCTACATACGACCAAACATTATAATTCAATACAACTTGAACTTACCCTCAATTCATATGTATGCCAAACAGGTTTGCATATCATAGAGGATATATTCTTATATGGTGGAGGGAGGAAAATTTGATAATTAGTGTTCTTGCACGTACTTTCTGACGCAAAACCACCACTTCCATTATCATCAGCTAATGCTATGATGTTGAAGTTCAGGACAAGATTCAGAATACACACTCTGACAAAAGATGGCCATATCTGAGTCCAAGATCTTAGCTTTGCCATTCATAGACTCGATCCAAGTGAAATCCAAGGCTAGGAACAATGGTGGTTACAAAACTCAAAGAATAAGAGAGGAAATGTGAATACGAAGGCCTAACAAGGCAGTTGAGAGGTATTAGTCTCTTGCGTTTCAAGTTTGGAATTTGGTGGTTGTTGCTTTGTTGGTGGAGATAGTGGTTGGTAGAGGGAGTTAATCATCATCCCCTTCTATTCTTGAGAACTCTACATCCAACTGCATTTCTCTCATTTGGAGCTTTTTCCTGACATTTCTATGATCAGTATTCATTCTTACTCCAATTAATATATTCAAATGTTAAAAATTTCAAATTTCCATTACAAAAAAATAAAATAAAAAAATGTAAGAAGCTCATAGACATCTTGGTGTCAGTAATAATTAACTTTTGTCTAGTTATATTTTCTGGGGAAGAAGGGGGAAAGGTGTTGCTTCAGTAACAAGATAAAATAGAGAAGTGTAAGTTAAAACATTGTTTAGCTAAATAAGATGTAACTGGAACTAATAGGCTGAAGAAATTTACCTAGTTAAACATTGTGCTACCTAGTAGTGGGGTAAACTGACCAAATTTGATGTGGACAGATAAAGTCTTTGACTTTAGGCTCGGTTTTAAAATAGGGATTGACCCTTACTACGATATGGGGTATGTGATGATTTATTTACATTTGGACAAGGTTTGTGGTCCATATAGTGATACTCTAATTATGTTATTCGTCAACATTCTTCAAATCTTCTTTCTCCTTTTGGCTTTTTTAACTAAGGAATGTGCTGTTGGCAAATGCCTTGCAAAAGACAACAATCGAACAAGATACTAATTACGTTCCTTTTTGTTGAGAGGCAGGGGCAAAGGAATATAATGATGCATTTGCTGCTGATTTAGTGAAAGCCAGAAAAGAATATTGGTAAAGTGGGTTTATCTAATGCATGGGCCATGGAGCCAAACTGTGTAGAGTTGAAGATCGAAATTTGCATGTGGATTTGAATGCACACGTGAATAAGTATGTCGGGAAACAGTTGGAAGGTAAATGGATTATCTTAGAATGCAAAAGATTATGGTAGATTAGTTAGGACAAATTATGGTAACTCAATTTCCTTTTATTCATCACCTTCATGTAGCATTACGTGCAGGAGCATTTGATTAACACTCAAGTACTAACCCTGCAATTCTTAGGCTCGCTTTACTATAAACCTTTTGATAGATTCTTAGTACACTGATTCCTAAGTATGGCTAAATATAGAGGCAAAAGATTACTACAGAAGTAAAACAGGAGCTCTGCTCCAATAGACAAATTCATATACTACTCATGCTGATCGAGCCTTATGAGCGTGGATTATAGCTTATTTTGTACAACTTATAATTGAAATCTTAATAAGAGAGCTATTGAGGGAAAAAGATCAATTGTTCCTAAAAATTAATCAAAACCAAACATGCACTGTATTTCCCAACAGCATGTTAAGCACTTTGACACCAAAGGCATAACTATTTTATGGCAGTATTTGGAAACTGCGATGTTAATTCCAGAACAAATCAACCTGCGGTACCCTGAATATATGTTCCTCACCACTCTCTTCGTCAAACTTGGCAACCCACTTGCTCTTGTTCCTTTTTCTGCTATGATGTCCTCTGACTCCAAATAGTCTCATTTCAGCTTCATCATTCTTGCTAAACATAGTAACTTCCATACCTTTCCCTATAGGATGCTTTAGAGATCTTACTGCTACTTTCTCATCCTTTCTTCTTACATAGCCTCCCAAGTCCAACCCTTTTTTATCACCAAACAGATTGTTTGCCACCACTACAGATCTTGTAGGATTAACATCTAGCAAGTTGAGCAACCTTGCATAGTTTTCATATGTGCAATCAACTAGGGAGAAATCAATATTTTCATAGTAGGGCAATAGCTTGGATGGTTCTTCAGTTCTAAATTCTACTTGGTCTTCAAGCCCTGAGTTCCTAATAACATCTTTGGACTCATCAAGGACTGGCTCCGGGAGAATACACACTAGCCTGCCTCCAGTTTGTCGTGCAGCAGCTGCAAGGGCTACTGTTGATGGGGATGCACGAGATGTCACTTCCACTATTAGTTTTGCTTTCATCCCTGCTGCTAATGCTGACACAAATTCATTGCTTCCAGGCTCTTGCATTCTCCAAGAGCCATATTCTCTCTTATGATTGTTACACTGTTAAGAGCAAGGCAATGGATGAGTTAGCTATCTTTTATGTCAGCATCGAATTCTTAATATGAGATTTCAAGTTGAAGCACTTTCTTGAAGTCAAACATAGGAAGGAAAAAAAAAAAAAAAAACCTGCAAATCCTGTAAAATTTTCCAAAAGTCTTAAAATAACAATATAATAAGATATCATAGGTAGCTTTTGGTAAACGAATTAAAAGGGTAGGCTTTTAATTCCTTTATTGAAAATCACAAAGAAGAAGCAAATAACAGATTTGAAAGGAAAAAAAAAAAGAAAAACAACACTCATATTAAACTATGGAATTTTGAACCCACTATTTTTTTTTAAGAAAATAAGATGATGCCCCCAATTGATCATTGATTCATGTCTTCTCTTGTCCGAGAAAAAGGAAGAAGAAAATGAAAAATAAAAATGAAAAAACGTGCTTGTAAAAAAGTAAAAGCTGTGGAATACCAACCAAAATTAAGAAACCATTGAATGCCCAGATATATAAATAAGATATAAAAAAGAAAAGGGAAATGCTGGAAAGGTGAATACCAGTTGAAGGGTATCAAGGTAAGCCCTTGTAGCACATGTTGCGGACCATTCCATCACGAAAACTAACCAAGTTGATCAATACCCCAGAAAATATATAGAAAGAACTTTATCCCAGAACTCCAAGGTTTGAAGTATTAATTAAGGACACAAAGAAAGTGAACGAAAAATGTTTTTGCTTTAGGTTCTGATATTGTCTTGTTACACTTAATTGAATGTTGATGTCTGTGTCATGAGAAGAGGAGGCAAAGGAAATATATAAAGTACATGTGTGTTTGCTAAAAAGGGGTTACGCATAAACCGTAGTCAAAACCGCGGAGTGGCCGAACATAGAGGATTTCTGTTCAATTCTAATGCTAAATTTGTGGTCATTCCAAATTAAATTACACTGTTTATGTCAGCACGATTGACTTTTGACTAGTTATGTTATGGTATGGTGCTTCAGCCTCGTTCCTTGCCTCTAAATTCTAAATGCCCTTATCTATTTGTTTTTGTTCTTTTTTGGTAAACAATGCCCTTATCAATTAACTTATAACTTATAGCAGTAAATACACTGAAAATAAATAAGACGCAGAAACAGTTAGACTCTGAAAATAATAAAATATATTTTAAATAAAAGGTTTCCTAAATTAAATTTTATATTCGTTCATTCATTTTTCTAACATACTAACTGTCTATTCTTAGCTTCTCTTATAAGAAGCAGTTAGACCGCTAGTCACTACTACTGGCAGGGAAAATTATACTTTTTATTACGGTTGCCAACAATTATTCGGTAGACCAAATTGCCATGTTTTTTTAAATTCTTTGCCTAAATGTCACTCTAACATTACTTTTTAGCCACGGTTATAAATCTGCTACCAGTTATAATGAATTTAATTAGGTCATGTATCACGTTCTTATTAGTATATCAAGTTCACTATCAGTTATAATGAACTTAGTTCAGTCTACTTTTTTTTTGCAAAGTGTACACGTGTCACAAAATTATAGGTGACGAAGTTCACTACGACTGGTAAAGAACTTGATACACTAATGGAAATGTGCTACGTGGCCTAACATAGTTCGCCATGACTCATAGCGAACTTGAACTCATAACAGTCTGATAAAAAAATACTATTCACGTGACATTTGAGAAATTTTTTTGAAAAAGTGTGACATTTAAGTCACTGTTCCCAATTATTCCCTAGTAAAACTCAATAATGTACAATTTTTATAAAAACATAAATATAATTATTTAGAAAATAGTTTTTTTCATTAAATAAAATGTGAGAAAAAAAAAGACAAAGAAAGTAAACCAATTGAATAAGAAAGATCATGATAATATTAAACAATGGTAAAAGAATGTTAATTGTTATTAATATGCTGAGACATCATTGGGGGTGTAGCTCATATGGTAGAGCGCTCGCTTTGCATGCGAGAGGCACGGGGTTCGATTCCCCGCACCTCCATTAGTGGAGTTATTTTTTTTTTTTTTTTTTGATAACATTAGTGGAGTTATTTTTAATATTCAATATCTGTACATGTACACGTGGATTTCCTGCATCACGTAAGGGGTACGGAATCGGATGCCTAACCTAAGCCAGTTAGATAACCGATTAGTTGTTATCTGTCAAGACTCAAAGCATGTTATTGGTTCTTGATTTTGATTCTCACAAATCACAATAAATGCTTGGTCTCCATCAATTATAAATTTATAAATAACTAAAAATAACATGTAGCCCTAAAATAAATGCGCAAATGTATTAATATACTCAGGAACAGTATCATAATTTTCGCATACCTTAGTTGCGAAATATTTTAGGTATATTGATGGGCTAATTAAAATGGATTATTTTTTGTGATGTGTATATGGAAAAGAGAAAAAACAATTAATCTAAATATCAATTTTTGAATGGAAGTTATAAATACAACAGGTGTACCAAAAATGTTCTCTTTTTTTAGATGTACAAAGCCCATAAGAAGATGTTTTTTGGTGGAACTGGAGCATGATAAATAAAATAAATTGAGAGGAGAAAAACAAAAAAAAGAGGAATAGAAATAAAATAAATTTTTTCTTTTATAAAAAAAAAGACAACTGAATAAACGGTGTAACATAATAAATTTTCCCACCCATGAGATTAGCAATATGTCTATATTCCGGGATATTAGCAAACGACTCATGCCCCCTTTTCTAATTTCCCCCTAGAAAAGGGGTAGGGGAAGAAACAATAAGAATAAGCCACTTTTTGAATTTGATAACTTGGATTTTAGCAATTATTATACAATAAATAAATAAATAAGGCGACCCTAAACTTATGTAAAGACATACATAAAGCCAAAAGATAACAAAGTCACTAAAATAAGTGCAAGATAATATTTTTACAACATAAGGAAAATAATACTTTTCAAACCTTACTTGTCCATATGATAAATCTTCGTCAAAACCCCAATTGTCCTTTCCCCTGAAAAATTGATAATTACAAGGTATGAACATTAACCATAGAAGGAAAACAATTTTTTGAAACAAAGTATCATCAGCCAAAATTAGTAATCCAATCGTCCAGTCAATTGCTCATAAAAAGCACTTGATTTGTCTGCTTATTATTTAAGATACAACAAAACAAATGGGTGTGTAAACAAGAAGCAAAGAATAAAACTAGAATTACATGGTAATAATGTAGGGAAAAATAAATCTTATGTTGTAGGAGAATTCTAATCTTATGTCATAGATACATTAAGTGTGAGACCCATTTATTTAAAAAAAACAAAAAACAAAAAAAATGAGTGGTACACCTTTTTTTGGTGTGTAGGAAGGATTTGTTTTCTCATGTAACATTAGAAAAACAAACCCCAATAATGTATATGGATGAGTAAATAAAATAAAATAATAAATAAATAAATAAAATAATGGCGAACCAACTTTCCCAGACCCATTAAAGCGAATATGCCTATAAATTGTGCTGCTTTCGTCAGTACGAGACAAAGTAGCGAGTGTGCCCTACAAGTACAATCTTATCCCTACAATATAGAGACACTTGAAACTTAAAACCTGCGCAGTGTGTTTCATTAAGATTCATGTCTCTCGCTCGATGATTCTTGTTCTTTCCCTCTTTTTGAAATGCTGACTGAACCAAAACACACAAGACCCCTCTTCTCTCTCTCATGGATTCTCTCGTTTCTCTAACACCCAAACTCCGATCATTCAATTGTCAACCTCTTTCAACTTCCACCAACTTGTCCCTCAGTCGCAGAACATGTTATTCTTATAAAACTCCTCCTCCTCCTTCAAAATCCAACCTTAAAGATTCCGAAAGAAACCCCATAAGAAAGGTGGCTGCTTTGCGAAGCCAGAAATGGGTTTCGGATGGAGGCGTGTGTTACTTGCAGAACGGAGGTTGGGGTACGGCTTTGTTGAGCGTAACGGTGAACGCGAAGCTTCGGATTAGTCCATTTGTGGCTACATTGGCGGGTAACCCAACCTTCGTTTCGGGGTTGCTTGCGTGGTTTATAGCACAATCCATTAAGGTTTTCTTGAATTTCTTCGTCGATAGGAAATGGGATTTGAGGCTATTGTTTGCATCTGGAGGGATGCCTTCTTCTCACTCCGCACTCTGCACCGCTCTTACCACCTCCGTCGCTCTCTGCCACGGCGTCGCCGATTCCCTCTTCCCCGTGTGTTTGGGCTTTAGCCTAATTGTCATGTATGATGCAATTGGTGTTAGGCGCCATGCTGGCATGCAAGCTGAGGTAACAACTAACAACCACTTATTCCCTTTCTTATTCTCTCTCTTGTTACTTATCCTTTAATTGATGTTTTTTGGTACCATATGGGGGTTGTCACTTGTCAAGCACATATGTTATGTTCATTCAATGGGAAATAAATAATAGTGGATTGGGTTGGTTGAATTTTTTTTATATATTTGGTTTTTATATGATACAATCAAAAGTGAAAAACTTATATCGCTTGGCAACTAAAAGAGTTGTATATATTACCACCCATATTCTGTTTTTTGGACATTAGGAACATATCTCCTTTATTGAACTATTACGAATAAGCCCAACGGGAGAAAGGGGCAAAATGACACCATATAGTACTGCAATTTAACGAAAAGATGAACGAATCAATTAAACGAAAGGAGGAGGAGGAGTAGTGTTTTAGATATTTGCATAAATGCCTCATGAAGAGCATTTACGCAAGCTCAGATTGATTAGAAAAATGTCAAGAAAGCAATGCGAGAGGCTGAAGACAAAGTTTTCACTAGTATTATGCACAAAAAACTTGGAAGCAGAGAAGGAGAAAAAAGTAATCTATTGGCATGTGAATATAAGAAACAACAAAAGTAAATGCATGACCAATGTTAGATGCATCAAGGATGAAAAAAATAAAAAAAATAAAAAAAATAAAAAAATGCAGAAATTACAGAGAGTTGGATGAGGTATTTTCACAATTTTTTTAAAGGGGAAAGTGACAGAAGTGAGGTTGATTTGGAAGATTCTTTTGATGATTTTAACATAAGGTTTGAGCGTAGAATTAAAGTATGTGAAGTTGAAGCTAATGATGCATTAAAGAAAGACCCGCTGGTCCCAATATTTAAGTGTGGAGATGCTTAAGAGATGTGATAATAAGTTTGGTTAAGTAATCTTTTTAACAAGATTCTCCAAGACTCCAAACGATAAGATACCTGTACAAGAACATGTTTGTACCTATCTACAAGAACAAGGAAGATATTGAGAATTGTTCAAACTATAGAGCTTATGAGTCATACAATGAAGTTGTGGGAGAGTTTTATTAAGCATTGTTTGAGAATAGAGACCAAGGTTGCTGTAAATTAATTTGGGTTTGAGTTAGGAAGATCTACCATAAAGGCTATCTTCTGGGTACGACAATTGATGGAGAGATATCGAGAAAAGAAGGACATACATATAGTGTTTATTGGTCTTGAGAAGGTGTATGATAGGGTTCCAAGAAAGGTTTTGTGATAGGTTCTTGAGAAGAAAAAAGTGCCTATAAAGTATGTAGTGACAATCAAGGATATGTATGATGGTGTTACTCCATGTGTGAAGGCTTGTAATGGTACATCAAGTTAGTTTCCTATCACAATAGGTTTACACCAATGTTATGCATTGGGGTTTTATCTTTTTTCCCTAGTAATGGATGAGCTAACAAAAGATATCCAAGATAAGGTGTCATAATGCATGCTATATGCCGGTGATATTGTGTTTATTGATGAGACTAGTGTTGGCGCTAATAATACTAAGATAGAATTATGGAGAAACATGTTGGAGTTTAAAAGATTTATGTGAAGTTGGAGTAAGATTGAATACATGGAGTGTGAATTTGTCACGACAAGAGGAAAAAATAGGGAGAGATTGATAAGAATGTTAGCTGTAGAATTATGGCAGGTTGAATGAAATGACACAATGCACCAAGATATTGTGTGATCCTAAAATTCCTCTTAGGCTTTATAGATAGCAATAAGACCTACAATGCTATACAAAGCTAAATGCTGGCCAACACAAAAAGCAACATAAGCATAAAATGGGAATAACAGAAGTAGGGATGTTAAGGTGGAATAAGATAAGGATGAATAAGATAAGAAATGAAGATATTCGACAAAAAGTTGAAGTAGTACTGGTGGATGAAAAGATGAGAGAACATAGATTGAGATGATTTGGATATGTTTTTACAAAACCTTTAGATGCTCTGGCAAGAAAAGAAATTAGTTACCAAGAGCATGACATAAAGAAAGGAAGAGGCCAACCAAAATTTACTTGGGGGGAAAATAGTAAAACAAGGCTTAATGGAGTGAGAAATAAATTGTCGTGCAATTTGTCTTAGACGTAGTGAAGGAATGCTATTAACATTGTGAAAGCATAGAATTTTTCTAAGTTTTTATTTTATTATTATTTTATATATATATATTTTTAATATATTATATATATGTATTATTTTTATTTTTTTTCAATTTAATTTGCTGTTGTTTGAGATAAGGTGTTGTTGATTAATTGATTAATATGTATTATTTTTTCTTATTTATTATTTATTTTTCTTTAATTTATACTTTTATATAAGTTTTGATTTAGGATAAAGATAATGTTGATATTACTGTAATTTTAGCTTTCCATTTCATACTATGAGAGTATATGCTTTTTGAGATAATATATAGTGAACCTTAGCATGTATTATGGAATGATTGAAGCGCTGACAGTAATTGGTCCTTGTTTGTAAATAAATGTAAAGCGTTCATATAATCATTGAGGGCCAAAATACGTTGGATTCGCTCCAGCGTGATTGTGCCAAGAGGAAGCCAAACATTTTGGCTCATTCCTTAACGCATGGTCGTTCCTTGAATGTACCTATCCAATCAGGCACTTAGTGGGTGGAAATGTATATTATGTTCACCTTGGAGACATTCTCCTTGAATGTACCTTTATTTTTGGTGGATGCTGAACCTTTAACTTGCATACTAGTTTAAGTGCTGAAAGAAACATCTATTGATCGGTGAATATTTGGGTTTCTGCTGTCTTGGTGGCTGTTAATTTAAGGTTTTACAGGATGTTGAAAGCCCTAAACTGAGACTGCTTGAAACTATCCCCCTTGAACTAGCTTGGTTTTGTTATACCACCAAAAGTAGCCGTGTTTCTCCCTTTATAGGTTGCTCTTGTAAGTGTTATTTACTTTTTTTGACTTTTAAAGTATGCTACATTGGTTTTGACAGTATAATGTTATAGGGGGGAGGTATTATTTTTACTTGAATTAGAAACAACCAGAAATTATGTCCGACTGTTTATATATGCTTAGTGGAATCTTCAAAAACAATGACGTATAATTTGCCTTTGTTCCTTGAGTTAATAAAAAATTATGGTATCATATTGATATTTGTGTCCAAATGTCCGCTGATGCTCCTAATTTTTCAGTTTGGTGTGAAAATTTTGACCTTCTGTTAGCTTGTAAATCATCATATATGCAACTTCCATCATCTGCATTTCATATTTGTTCGTTGACAATAAAGTTTTGAATTTTTAAGCATTCCTCGTTGAGGTTTTGTCGAAAATGTCAAAGATATAGAAACTATCTTTTGTACTCCTTTGACCCAGCTTACTCCATTTTTTTATTGCTATTGTTCCTTAGGGGTTAGGGGGATCTCTTAAATGATAGGAGAGATCTGTTGCCATTAGTCCGGTCTCTATGTGGTAATTTGACTGTGCTTACCTTTTGTTTGGAAGAAAATCGTTGACCAGAAAATTGTGTGTGGCTCGACGCAGGTGCTTAATATGATTGTAGCTGACCTGTTCCAAGGGCATCCAGTTAGTGAAAGGAAGCTCAAGGAATTTCTAGGTCACACTCCATCTCAAGTTTTTGCTGGTGCTCTGCTTGGCTTTTTAGTAGCCTGTTTCTGTTGTCAAGCTTGCGTTGTAGGGCTTAGGTGATTGTGTTGCCAGTTTTGGTCAAACTGTATTGATAGCATACTATTTGCTCTAATGCAGCCTTCTGGTCAAACTGTATTGATAACAATACTGTATTCAAGGACAAATACATCAGCATGAGTAGAATGTACATGAGATTCTTTTTTTCTCCATTGTCTTACACTGGAAGGCTGATTATTAAATTGCCATTTGGAATAAAATGTCTTGAGACCTTGCCTGAAATACTTCCCTTCCTCCTCCTCCTCCTTGAATGTGCACCCTCCACTTTACTGCATAAAGCTGGGTTACATGTCTTTGTTGGCAAGGTAGTATGCAGAACTTCGTTTGCTGTGTGCTTGTTTGTTATATGGACTTGCTGTTTAAAGTTTATTTCATAAAATTAGAAAAGGGAAAATAAATGAAAAATGTATGATAGTGAATCTTAATAACTTCTTAGGAATTCAATTTGCAATGGTAGATTTGCTAAAACAGGGAGGCGCTTAACTTTGCCTGTTCCCTCTTGCTGAGTTTGTTAAGCACATATTTTACCTGGAAAAAAAAAAAGTTGTAACTGACCAATTCAACCGAATACCCCACAAAGTTGGAACTACTTAGCTTCATAACTCATAAGGACAAGACTCTTTGAAGTTAGCATAATTTTTTTGAAATAAATCAGACCTGAAAATATAATTGAAATAGATTTGTATCACTAACACTAATTTCAAACACCCCCTCCCCCGCAAAAATAAAAAATAAAAAAATGACATTTAACTAGAATGAAACGAAATTTATTAAATAGATGAATCAATATGTATACATCTCAATTAGGATTTACACGTACATTGACTATGCTTAGAGAGATCTAGAGCAGTGTTTTAAAACAATGGTCGGGAATCGAAGTCAGCTCATTATCGAACTCAGCTCAAAGGAACGAGTAGTGTTGTCATTTATTACTAGGTTATCCTCAATTGCTAGTTAAAATGCATCTTATAATATATTTATCAGAAAAATATTTCTGCGTACAGATAAGTTATTTGCATTTACTTTCAAAATAACGTCGTTTTGGAATTTAAAGATTAACAAATTATAAAGACTACAATAATCTTGAAACAAATTAAAATTACAAAAATATCATGATTTTCGTCCCAAAACGACATCGTATTGGGCTTAATTCAGTTAACTTATCTGCAGTAACTGCAGAAAAAGCGAACCCTGCATTTATTATATAATTTAATATGAATTTAATTAAATCGGTTGAACCAATAATCCAGAAATTCAATACCTCGACTAAGTCATGATTGGGTCGAGTTTTAAAACACTGATCTTGAGAACCATTTTGACCCTAATATTTGAGCAAAACAGAAGTTATTAATTTTTTTTACCTTTTTAAAATTTTTATGTCATTTATTATTATTATCATTATTATTATTATTTCTGTTTTATATTTCTACTGTCTAATAACTAAAAAAAAGTGTTTGAAGATGGTAGCAGACCTAAAAAAATGCTTAAAACAAACATTTTAAAGTAGTGGTTTGGTAGCACCATTGCGGCACCTTAAAATTCAATAAACAAAATAGGGTCCAAGTACGTAAGTATCCAAATTGGGAATAAATTTTTTGTACAACAATTGCACCAAAAATACAGAGCAATCAATCAATGGGAGCATCATACGTTAGTCGATATTTTCTCCTATGATGTGTGTCGACTGATGTGTGATGCTCTCAGTGGTCAGTTGCACCAAAAATTTATTTCCAAATTGACACAACCCAACAAATTCCGTTAAAGTGAAGGGTTATTTAGTTACACACTTTTAATATTTAGGGTTGAATTGCTACCTGTTATGCGAATTCTTATTTATTTTTAATCATTTGTCAACTAAATTGACCCAAATCTAATACAAATGTATCAATATGAAGGCTAGAACACTAAAGCGTTCTTAAGCCCGAGTGTTTTATGGCAAATCCTTATTCTTTATGATACATATTTAACAAATTTCATTTCATCCATTAATCTTTTCTATAAGTCATCATTTTTCTCCCGTGTGTCAAGGGTCCAACCCAGGATGGGAAGAAACCTAGAAAACGGAAGGAGGAGGACACGAAAGGAGCACCTAACTTCCCAATGCTCAATTAATGTTTTGTTGACATTAACTTAGGGTTTTATTAAGGTTATGTGACATAATATAAGGGTAGTTTCCAACTCACACAATGATGAAGAGAGAGAAAGTAGAATGATGAAAGAGAAAGAAAAACATGTAGACTCCACCTCTTTAATGTGTGTGTAGGAAAGTGAAGTTATGTTATGTAAAATAATAAACATAAAACCCATTAACTTATGAACCATCTTTTTTGATCGAGATCCTTTACGTGGAAAAAATTTTTACACATGATTATGTTATATATTTTTTTCACATAAGAGGATTTATTTCCCATCTTTTTACTGTTGTCTATTAATCTTTTTTCATCTTTATATAATTGTGATCTTTTCACATGATTATGTTATGTTTTTTTCCACCTAAGATGATTCATTTGTTATCTTTTTATTATTGTCTATTAACTCTTTTATCTTTGTGTAATTATGATATTTTCACATGATCATATTATATTTTTTTTCACATTATCCCATCTTTTTACTATTGTCTATTAACCTTTTCAACGTTGCACTCTACTCTATGTTATAACAGTTATGTGAATATTATTCTGATCAAGGTGGTCTTATTCCGTGTCCCAGTCTTCTTCATTTCATTTCAAATTCAAGAATGAGATCAATTCAAATCTTTCAACGGTTAAATCTCACTATCTTTCTTGTTTTCACCATTAATTTTAGGACCAATGTTGTTTTGGAGATAATTTTATTTCTTACACACAAATAAAAATGTGTGAAATCTATATTTATTTTTTCTCTTCATATGACTCCAAATGAGATTCACACATTTTTATATGTGTTTAGGGAATAAAATTATCTCCTACAAAAAAAACATTAATCTCTTAATTTTAATATTAAAATGGATTTTATTTATCTTATATTGGTATAAAAATTTTGATTTTGTAGCTGACTTACCAATATTTGTGTCTCATATGGCATGACACAAATTGTGACATGCATGATAATCACATTTCCCTCGTATAAATCCATGAAGGAGTGCGCACCCAAAAACAAATAAATAAAAAATTGTGGCTGACAAAGAAATTGAGGGTTTGGTAAGGTGAGTGGCAATGTAGGAGACATCCGCCACGTCATATCCATGTCGCAACACGAATGACATTATGACAACACTTTTAGTTACGTGTCAATTGTTGATTGGTAATGACACATCTGCTGCGACTGTACATAGTCATAGTGAATGTCATAGCAATGGAGGAACCTTCCTTGTTCATTTTCTTCTTCTCTAAGAAAAGGCCAAAATGGACCTTTCTCTCTGTAGCTTAGCTACGTATAGGTGTATGTATGCGTATGTTTATGTGTATATGTACGGTGCAGAGGAACTTTTCGTTTGGTCAAAAGCTTTGTACCGGTCTCGCTACGTATACAACGCCAGGCAGCTACACGCGTTTATACGACATTTTCTTTTCTCTTTCTTTTTTATTTTTTTATCTCTCTCTCTCTCTCTTTCTTTCTTTTTCTTTTGCTTTCGCTTTCTGTCAGAGTCAATAGAAACCAATAACCATACTTTTCTATTCTTCCTTCCTTCAATTCAATAACCCAATTCTTATTGTCTTGGCTGAAAAAGTTGCAAACTTGCGATCTCCGGCGTTGTTTTGTTTTCCTCTGCTTCTTGGGGGGTAAGTAAGAATCCGATCTCTTTCTCTCTCTCTTTTGGGTTTTTCGCCATTCATTCAGACCCATTTGTGTTTTGATCCGAATTCTTTGGGTTCTGATGGGTGGGAGGGGGAGATGAGGATTTAATGCCTTGAAGTCTGAATCTTTTTCATCTTTTCCTTCAAAAGATTGTACCTTGTTATTCGAATTTGTTTTCTATGCTTATTAGGTGACCCTTGGGAGGAGTGTGATCATCACCCGATGTAACCTAATTGTACAATTTGTAATATGGAATATGGCTGTTTTGTGAAATTTGTAGGCTTTCAGGGGCTTAATTCTTAGTCTCAAGCTTCATTTCATTTGTTTTGTATTCATTTTTCTTGATCAACATCAATAGTGAAAATGTCATCTGCGGGTATAAGTACTCTTAGTCCTGTTCCTGTTGAACCATTGTTGTCTCCGAAGGCATTCCATTTCCCATCACACTTGTCTTTGGAAGATAAATCCATTTTCATATATCTCTCCTTTTCTGGCTCATTGAATCCAATAAGAGTTATGGAATAGGATACCATTGAGTCTGTAAAATTCAAAATCCAAAGGTGTGAGAGCCTTCCTTTCTTAACAAACAAACAAAAGTTGGTCTTTGCGGGCCGAGAATTGGCACGAAGTGATTCTCTACTCAAGGACTATGGAGTAACAGATGGAAATGTTTTGCATTTGATAATCAAACTGTCAGATCTTCAGGTCATCAATGTGAAAACTTCTAGTGGGAAGGAATTCACGTTTCATGTGGAACGCGGTAGGGATGTTGGGTACCTAAAGCAACGGATGGCCAAAAGGGAGAAACAATTTGATGATCCTGAGCAGCAGGAACTTGTGTGTAATGGGGAGCAGCTTGAGGACCAGAAGCTTATTGATGATATCTGCTGCAAACATAATGATGCAGTGGTGCATCTGTTTGTTAGAAAAAAGCATGCTAAAGTTCAGAGAAGACCCCTTGAGTTGTCCGTTGTAGCAACAGATTTGGCTGATAAGAAAAAGGATTACAGTGATGGAAATACTTACAAGAGAAAATATGATGTTGATAAAGAAGATACTATCAGGAGGTATGATGCCATTCAAAGAGTTGTGCCAAGAAAGCCTCCTGACAGAGATTTTGTTTTGGAGCCAATTATTGTTAACCCTAAAATTGAATTAGCTTCGGTGATTTGGAATATGGTAAACTCTACATATGATGGATTAGATAGTGGAAACTATCCGATCAGATCTGCAGAGGGTACAGGGGGAGCTTACTTTATGCTTGATTCAACAGGGCAAAAGTATGTGTCAGTTTTTAAGCCAATTGATGAAGAGCTAATGGCTGTGAATAACCCTCGGGGTCTTCCTTTTTCATTAGATGGTGAAGGCTTAAAAAAGGGTACAAGGGTTGGTCAAGGAGCATTCAGGGAAGTTGCGGCTTATATTTTGGACCATCCAATGAGTGGTCGCCGCTTGTTATTTGGTGATGAGAAGGGCTTTGCTGGTGTTCCCCCGACATTGATGGTTAAGTGCTTGCATAAAGGATTTAACCAACCAGGAGGCTTGACTGCTAAGATTGGCTCCATGCAAATGTTTGTGGAAAATAATGGAAGTTGTGAAGATATGGGACCTGGGGCTTTCCCAGTAAAGGAAGTACATAAAATTACTGTATTGGACATAAGACTGGCAAATGCAGATAGGCATACTGGGAATATTTTGCTCAGCACAGAGGAGGACAATGACCAGTCTGTTCTGATTCCAATTGATCATGGATACTGCTTGCCCACAAGCGTAAGCACCTTATTTTATGCTCTCTTTTTTGTGTTTTAATGCATGTGATTATGCTTATATATTCTATTTCCCCCCTTTCTTTAGCGCGCTCTTTTTTCTATTTTGAATTTTTATTAATTCCTTGATTTGAAGTGTTAAACTTTTGTTTTCTCATGTTTGATAATGGATGCTAGTATATGTATAGAATGCAGAATTCTGTTGTTCCAACCTGTACAATATATTAAGTCGAATTATATTTATGCTTAAAAGGTGAACTGGCTGGGATTCCAGTTAGATTTGTGTGTCTGCAAGTAATGGAGTTTGAAGTCTGCTTGACAAGTAACTGCAAATAGATTTTTCTTGAATCTTGCTTTAGCCAATCATTTGACATTTTTTACATTCCAACAGTTTGAAGATTGTACCTTTGAATGGCTTTACTGGCCCCAAGCTCGCCAGCCATACTCCCCAGAGACTATTGACTACATAAAGTCCCTGGACGCGGAAGAAGATATTGCCCTTTTGAAGTTTCATGGATGGGATCTGCCAGTTGACTGTGCCCGTACTCTTAGAATCTCAACCATGCTTTTGAAGAAAGGGGTGGAGAGGGGATTGACCCCCTTTGCCATTGGAAGCCTGATGTGCAGGGAATCCTTGAACAAGGAATCTGTGATTGAGGAAATATTACAAGCAGCACTGGATTCTGTTCTTCCTGGCACAAGTGAAGCTACGTTGCTGGATGCTGTTTCCCAAATCATGGACCAGTGCCTTGATGAGATCGTCAGTTCCCTTTTATAACTAGAGTTGTATTCTGCAACAGTAGCAGGTATATAAATGTCTATGTGTACATATGTTCACGTACATATGTATAGCTCAAATAATTGGGTTTTTAGTCCATGACAAAGGAATTCTGTTTTCTTTGGTTGGAAAGTTAATCATTCTTAGCTATGACTTTGTAGGTTTTTATTTTTTAGTAGTTTCCTACTGATCACAAATTCTTTCAGGTTTGTAGTTGATTTCCTTGTTAAATTTAAATTCCAGGGATAGTAGAGAAGCCCTTTCCCTATTTGAATTGTAGTTTAATATTCTTATCATGTGGCGAGTGTTGTCTTGTTTCAACTATAAGGTTGTGCTTGCTAGGAGTGAAAATGGGAATGTGGTAAATGAAATGTTTGTTACGTTGTTTGGATTCAATGAAGTTAGATGTGTGTTGTCATTCTCTATCGCTTATATATTTATATATTGGCACAAACCTCTTCTAACTCTTACATTTTTTGTTTTGGTCTGAGAATGGGTGACACCTCTCTTTTATACTGGTACTAATCGCAGCCTCAAAATCCCAGAGGTTGCTTAGCCATTTATGCACGCAGGGGAGGAGTCAGACATGCACAAAAGTTACTCAAATTAAAGGGAGGGATTTATTGAATTAAGATTGCCGGTAAGGAAATGCAATTGACATTACTACATTCTAAACTATTTTAGCTTGCAAAAATTTTGAGGTACTAACTATTTACTTTCACTATATACATTAGATACATGTATAATCTAAGACCTTTCGTAAAGTTACAAAAAGGGGTCTAGAGTATTATCCTTGGATGTATTCATAAATATTATTATTTATTTGCATATTTTTGTAACCTTTGAAAATGTGTAGCCTTTGTAAAAAAGTAGTAGCTATGCAAGTTAAAAACCCTTTTGCTATACTTTCTAATTTTTATTGACTTGGGTTATATTCTTTTGATTTATAAGATGCATTTGTGATTTAATCCGCATCAGAAAATCATTGGATACTGGATTTGATTGATCCATTTCTGGCTGCATAGTATTTCTCCGCTTTAGTCTCTCATGGGAGCTGGGTACGACTCACAACTCCCACTTGAAGTGAAAACTCTTTTCTTGTGTCGAAATATGTAAAGTATTATTATGGACATGAAAGGTAGCGAATAACGTGTGATTTATTTTTCGCTAATGGTTAATAACAGTGAAGGAAACACTTTTCGAAGCATGTTCAATAAATAACATAAAAAAAATCCAATGAACATTGCCAAATTTAAATATTTTTATGATAAAAACTATCTCAAGGGATTTGGTTTACGATACACGTAGGACCAAATATTTGATAAATTATCATGGTTAGAACTCAGAAAGTTTTTATTCTGTTTTGTAAGTTGAAACCTCCATAATCATTCACCAGGCATAGATTAATTCTTCCCAAAATTATCTACAGCAAGAAAAAGTATTCAAGAGATGCAATCAACCTAGCTAAACAGGTTGGGTATGCACACTCCAGCTTCAGGGTTTTTCTGTTCTTTCCATATCCTTCCTGTTACTCTTAGCTTCAACCCTTTCCTGTCCCCTCCTGAGAAGAAAAGCGCCATGTTACGGTATATGATGAGGCCATCATGATTGTCTCTTACTTTCTTATGGCTATCTCTAATGCTTCGTGGACTCCCCTCAAAAGTTAGTTTACGTCCATTTCCTCCTACCTTCAAGTTGTAGTTGTAGTTCCTGGCCTCTCTTTCATCACCCATGAATCGGAGGAATGCCATGTACACAGGAGCCATACCAAGCTGGAAGGCTTCGAAATGGAGGCAAAAATACTGACCAAAACAATGGAAAACCTAACAGTAAACAAAAATAAAGAGTCAACCATAACAATTTGAATGGGATTTCAAGATGCGCAAAATGTAGTTGTGCTTGTGCATGAAATGAAGGAATATCTGCTGCTGCATATGCATAGAAATTAATGTCATATCAAAGATCATTCCACGCACAATACCCCACCCTAAAGAAGGACACGTTCCATTTTTTTCTTTTTGTGGGGTGGGAGGGTTGAAGATATAGTTACCGTTAGCATCCATGTAGCATTTTCTACTTCCAGGGGATTAGACTTGACATAACGATGGTTAAAAGTGCATCCAGAATGCATATCAACCCTGTGGTCGTCCCTTAAATGAGCAACAAGGTATGGAATATCCCCAACAATAGAGCAGTCTGACCCAGCATAAGGGCAGTTGTATGGTCTGAAGTTACAAATAGCCTCATGTTTGAGCTTGCTGTAATAGGGAAATATCTCTGGACAACCAAGAGAGATGTATCTGCAAGGCAGTTCAAGTGATTCTGCTATCTTCTCCAATGCCAGACACCTTATATCACCGAGTTCCTGCCTGCAGGTTGGGCATCGGTTGTGGACCCTTGTCTTACAAGTTGAACAAAGGGTATGCCCATTGTGGCACTGCAGAACAAAATTAGTTTTGTGAATGGTATTGTAAACATCATTAATCAAATTTATCGAGTAACCTGCATTCCTGTACAAGGACAAGGACATAAGTTTTCTATTTACTCTGACAAAATAATATACTCAAAAGCTAAAATATTCCTCACAAGAGAATGACAAAATCTAACAAAATGCACCACAACTTGCTAAAATAAAGTTCAGCACACAATGAAACTTAAGAAATCACCAGATTTGGTTGATGAGTGAAGGGATTTCATTTTGTTAGATTCTGAACTTAAAACCAAATCTCACAGCAAAAATAAAAAGTAACACCTGATCCTTTTGTTTTTCTATTCTAGTTACTTTTCATTAGAAATTGATAAGATGTTGAAATTTTTCATATCTTGTGGCCAGCTGCAATGTATTCATAACAGTGGAGTTGCCTACCAATTCAAGCTGTAAACTTTAGTGCAATGACAGAGTCGTAGAAAGTTTAAATATCTTCCCACCTCGTTGCATGAGATGCATATAATTTTCCTAGACTGCAATCCCAAAGGAAAAGGTTTAGTGTCCCAGGGATTTTACTACTTGCGACAACTTCTGTAATGAATGTATAGAATTTGCCACTTGAGTATATGACTATACGTCCTAATTAAGAATCAGATTTCCTGACTTGTTAGCAGCATCAACAAATTTATTCATAGCCATACCTTTTTAAGTAATAACTCATCATAATCTTCTCTACTTATTTCAGGATATTGTAGGCTTGTAGCAAAGCCAATTACATGCTATCACGTCAAAGTTAGAGAGAAGACCAACAACCAACTTACCAAATCCCAAATTTGCAATCAGTGCATACCAACTAACAAGAAAGATAATATAAAAATATTACCAGGGGGGAAGGGGGACATCAGGCTATGGATCCAAAGGAACACAAATATTCTAAGTAGTCAGTTACTAGAACTAAATAAAAGATTTTCTCACTATGACACATCCCAACCAAAAGAGATTCTCATGTCCTTCTAATGTGGAACTGATCTAATAAACAAGCCACAGGTGAAATATTCACTTTCAAATTAGTCAGAAACAATAACTCCTTGAAGAAATCATCATAAGCCACAAACCCTGTATACCGTGCTTATTTCTTATTCAAGCTTTTTTTAACATCCATATCTGCAAACTCTCTTATTTAGAATGCCACTACGTAGGTTCCTCTCACTACCAGATATTGAATACCCATTGCCTTGATAAGTTAATTAACCAAATTCTCTTGATTGACCAACAGACATTGATTATAGTCCTCGCTCCTCACGGGAATAATCGTAAGTTACATAGCCTTATAAGTGATGCATAGCAGGACTTGTATAAAACCATACCTTCAGTGAGTCTGAAAAATCACAACAATGAGTTGAGTAAATTCGGTAGGGTTTGATTAAGAGAGAGAGAGAGAGAGAGAGAGAGATCTACTCAAATTTCCCCCTTTTCAGTAATCACTAGTCACAAAACTTCGCCGGAAGTAAAAAAGGTAACAGGTAAGAAGGAACTCAATCCCAGAAAAGTCAAACAGATTGCAAGGACCAAACTTTGATCAAAGTAACCCACCTTAGCAATCAAATCCTCAGGATTCAACACAAGCGGAATCATGCAAACTGAAATTCCAGCAAACATAAGATCTATAAAACAAAAAACACTACCCATAATACCGAAACGCAACTGCACATACCCTTTATCCCTATATCGAAGACTTCGAATCCAATCATAAAAAATCCAAACCCTTCATGCCACAAGTGCCCGTTAATAAATACCCTCTCTTAAGTGAGAAAAGAAAAGAAAAGAAAAAGTAAATAGAATGAAGACCGCAAGCAAATCGCATTAACACAACGTAAAAAGAAAGAATAACATCATAATTGGAGGAAGCAAACCCATAAAGCAAAATGGATCAGATAACAAACCTGATGGATAGGAGGGTACATTGAATTGGTGCAAACTGGGCATTCAAGAAGGTCATGGACACTGGTAGTGGTGGGACCATTGTTATGTGGCTTCGAGTTTGAAGAAAACTGATGGGGATGCTCATCCACTTCCATCATAGTCAACGATAATACATTGCTATCAATGCTACTCGATTCCATTCTTTCAGCTAAAACGACAAGGATAACACCAATACGATTAATTTATGGCTACTCTTCGATGGTGGGTGCGATTCACTCGAATCATATATGCAGCAGAAAGGGAAGAAAAACAGCAAAATATGAGTTATGATGGTTCAGCTGGGTAGAACTGCTATGTGTATTTTTGAAGACAAGGAAAAGAGAAGGGGGAGAAAGCAAGGATTTTTAATTTGATTGCTTACAAAAACTGATGCTTTTCTTCCTTGGTCCTCTAAGACAACAGACATAGGAGTAATAGAATATTTCGGTGTCTGAGTCCTAAGGACCCTTTGATTAAAATCAAACGGCTTTAAGGATTTCACCAACAAAAACCAAAGAGAGAAGTTAAAGAGCAATAAATAGATCAAAATAGATCAAGATCAAGTAGAACAATGTGCTGGATAGGAAATGAAGACCATGTAGTGATTAATTGCGTGGACAGTGGGCACTTAGGTACGAGGACTTAGGAACAATAATCATTAATTTAATAATTATTTGAAATAACCCAAGAGTTATTTGTTTAGTGGTGTACTAATTAGATCCTAGTATTTGATAAGTCCAAAGGATAATACGTTCGATTCTTGAGAATCACAACTCTAGAGAGAACAGAAAGGCTCAAACACGGAATCGAATTGGTGGGGGCCATAAAGGTTTCAGATATAAGTTAGTTTTTTTTTAAAAAAAAAATGTTATTTGAAATATTTTATGCAAATTGGTGATGTGTGGTTCACACCAAAGGAAGTCAAAAATGATTTTAACCAAAAAAGCTTTATAGGATAGTAGCCATAGAGCGGTATTTTGACTCACCGAAGAACGAGACATTATAAGTTGTTTCTTCATTTTCCATGATATAGGAGAGGAACCAAGTAAGATGAAATAACGAGCAAGCGACCTACGAGTTTGAGGGCAAGCAGTCTAATCTTAATCACAATAAGTAAGGAACTTGAGATCACAATCTTTACATAATAAAATGTCTTGTCCTAGATTAGTTTTAAGATAACACTTAACTTGAACTAATGCACCATAAAGCTCCATTTTAGAATTTTTCATGAACTGTGACAAAGTGTGAACACCATAACTTAATTCTAGATGGATGATTGGTTCGGTTTACAACCTAACAATCATGATTCATAAAGTATGCCAAGATCATATTTTCTCTGGCATAGAAACGAACCTGAGGATCCACATGTAAACTAAATGCCTAGGAAGTGCTTCAAATGCCCTAAATCCTTTATCTGGAAGCCAGAATTGAGATAGGATTTCACTTGGTTGCATGCAACAGAGTCATTTCTAGCCAGCAATATGTCATCTACATATACAACCGGTCAAGGAAGATATGACCTTTTAGTAAACATTGGAAGTTAGTTTTGGATTGGACAAAACCAATTTTTTTCAAGAGATGAACGGAGCTTGTGAAGCAGTTGCTTGAAGATTGACATAAACCATAGAGAGATTTCTTTAAGCGAAAAAATTTGACTAAAGGAACTTGCAAAAAATCATTGTGGGATTTTCATATAGACTTCTTCATGGAGAAAATTATTGTTAATGTCTATCTAATGCAATTTTCACTCTTTAGCAATTGCAACAACAAGAAATGTGCGAACACCCATCATTTTATTCATTGGTGAAAGTGTTTCCATATAGTCTTCTCCTCCAACTTGGTTGTACTTTATTTTATAGACCCGGGTATAGCACGCTTGCTAAGAGGTAGATGGGTGAGAGTCTATGTCTGATTGTCTTCTTATGCATTGATCTCCTTTCTCATAACCAGCGGGAGTTATTTATAGCTTCTTTAAAATATCTTGGTTCTACCCCATCATTAACAGCTACCAAATAATGTTGGTGCTAGATAGAAAATTAGGATAAGAAAAGTTGCGTGTGTGTATGTGTAATAGGATTGTTACACTTATAATCCTTTAAATAAGATGGTGGCTTTCTCTCTCGTTGACCATGTACAAGAAAGGATAATGGTGGTTTAGAAGCATCTAGAGGAGGTGTTGCACATGATTGATTGCTTGGAGATGGAGAAGTGTTGGCATCTACCTTAACACTCTCCCTATCATTTAGGGAAGATGGCCCAGGAATGAATGACTACAGCAACAGAGTTAGTCGTCAGTTGGTCATGGTCTAAGAAACTACTTTGGTGACCATAATGTGAGAAAGTGGCCGGAAATGTGATGTTGATCGTCAAGGGTAGACTCAGAGGATGCAAATGGAATTTTTTATGGAACCAAACATCTCGGGAAACAAATATCTTCCAAGTCTCAATATCATAAACTAGCCATCCTTTTTGTCCATAGGGGTAACCAAGAAAAATACACTTGCGAGAATGTGAGTCAATTTTGTTTCGTGGATCAGGGCGTAGATGTGCATAGCATAGAAAACCAAACACACACAAATGAGAAGAATTTTGGAGTACTTTTGAACAACATTCTATAGGGGGTATTCCCTTGCAATAAAGTTGAAAATGTTCAGTTGATTAGATGGGCAACAATAAGAACGTGCCTATGTTTGCGTTTGATGTGACCAATTATATTACGGGCTATCTGCACATGAAATTTGATGGACTTTACCCAACTCATCAAATAAAGTAATTAGTTTATGACCTTTGAATTCAGCACCATTATATGATCATGCAACTTTGACACTTGTTTTAAATTGTGTGCACACCATGGTGAGAAATTTCTTAAGAACCGCAAATGTTTCACTCTTCTTGGTCACGAGGGAAACCCAAATAACCTTTCTATAATCATCAACTAGAGTCAAAAAGTAGTGAGCACCAAAAAAATAAATCCGTGTTATAAGGTCCGCAAATATCATAGTGTACAAGATCAAAATACCTCTTGCTATGTTGACTACTATGAGAAAAATTATTTTTTGTCTGCTTAACACAATAACAAGCATCACATACATAGTGATCACATGTGATAGTGGGGAGGAAAGAAAGAACCTTGAAAGAAGGGAGCCTAAGTTTGCGATACCATATCTCCAAGGACTCTAGGATGAATAACACAAGCATAATATTGTACCAACTTGAACACAAACGCTCCACCCTGTTGCTCACCCAATTCAGTTTGCATCCCTGTGCCTAGGTCTTGCATGACACATATTATTAGTAAAAAATAACCTCATTTTCATTGTTGTGATGTATTCAAGTTGCATTCAGATAAGACATGTATAACACATTCTTAATGGTCAGATTATGATTTAGTTGAATTGTTCCATGCTAAACTGCACGAGTTATCATTCCATTCGATAGACCCACAAATCCTAATGATTCTCTTCATAAATGCTAAATAGCTTCTTCTCTTGAGTTTAAATTTTGGGTTGAAAAAAATACATTAAGGGCATGTTTGGTGTGGTGTATAAGGTCTGATAGTATAAGCTTATACTATACGTTATGACATTTTCAGTTGTTTGGTGTGATCATCGTATAGTACAAGCTTATACAACATGATCCCTTAATACATCAAAACGATGTATAACTTAATTATGCATAGGAGTGGTGGATTAGGCCTGATAAGGGATTGATGTATTAATATTGCTTAGAAGTACAATTCCCAAGAACTAATATATCATTTCAATATTTATATATTAAATATTAATTTTTAAAATATTGGAGGATATTATCTTATATAATATCATACTAAACGCTCGATAGTATTAAATTTAATCATGTCTTATACAATCAGATCTTATACTATCATGTCTTATCCTATACTATGCACCAAACAAACATGTCTTAAGAGAGCAGTCTGTTGCATAATTGGATGGTAGTCAAGCTAGATTAGTAAGATTTTCAGTAAACCAGTTGATAGGGGGAAAACTAGTAATTTACCATCAATGATAGAAAGATAAATTAATTTATTAAGAGAATTAACTAAGCTCCCCTACCAAGATCAGGATGCCAGTTTTATTTTTTTGAGTCCTTTAGTGTGTTTGGTACAAGAGAAATTTTTTGGTGACCGGGAATCATGATTAATGGGAATTCAGTAGAAATTGAGTTTACCTGGAATCTTACGAAAGAGGTGTTTGGTTCGCCAAAATATTACCGAGAATATTGGGTAAAAATTATTGATTCCATATTTGGTTTAGAACGAAATATGACTTGGAATATGAGGTTATTTTACAAAAATAACCCCAAACTATTTTTACTTTTGTAATTGATAGATTGGGTCTATATTTTTATGTGTATTGGGGTATTTTTGTCTCAAAATTTATTATTGTGATTTTCCTTTACTTGGTATTCTGATTGGTATTCTGAATTACCATATTATTTTTGGTAATCTGAATAGTGACTTTTCTTTATAAATCAAATTACCGGTAATCCTTGGATATCTGGGAATCGTAATTTATTCCTTCTACCAAACATGATAATTACATTTACCAAAGAAGGATTACCGGTAATCCTCTTCAAAAACATAAAACAAACACCCCCTTAGAATTCTGACATGTGGAGGAAGATACGGTGGTGTGCAGTGGGCATCGTTGAAGGGAGCGCAATTCATTTGAATTAAAGCTGGGGGTCTACACCTTTGTGGTACACCGTATACAGCAGGTCCACTATCAATCATTTTCGCGTGGATGCCGGGCTTATCCGCAGTTTGAAAATAATTTAGTTTTTTAGTTGAGTGTTCACTTTGAAAGTTATTATTAATTCGTGGACTTAATTATCCTAGTCATATTGTTACTTAATTTGAGGACACTCTCTTAACACGTATAAGGAACTGATGTTCTACAAACTATTTAAAAACAGGTATTGGGCCATGGCTGAAAAATTGTTGTTTACTTCTTTAGTTCTATTTCAATGCTTACACAGTTACACTAGTTAAAAAGATGGCCATTTAATTATTAGAGTTAACACCCTTTTTAGTCTCTGTCAATATCTACGAAATCTTTTTTAGTCCCCGGCAATAAAAAAGGACCAAATTGGTCCCTGAAATTACAAAAAAAAAGGTCATGTTAGTCCTTATGTCAACTCCCAAATATGTAGAGTGACCCTTTTCTTGTACTTTCAGGGACCAATTTGATCCTTTTTTATTGTCAGGGACTGAAAAGGACTTCGTAGATATTGTCAGGGACTAAAAAAGTGTTTACTCTAATTATTATTAGGTCTTTCTGATCGTGACTTTATCATTTTTAATTTTTTTAAACATTCTCATAATTTCTTTACTTGCACTTATATCGTGCATATTTTGTCTTATCTGTAAATCTTTCTTTTTCTTTTTCTTGACTTTTAAGCAAGTAAAAACTATCATAAAATAAAATAAAATAACATATTCAGAAATAATTTTAACATTTACAAACTCAAATAAATTAATAAAACATACAAGAAGAAAGTTCTAAGCATATCATAAAATTAATGAGATGATTTTTTTTCTTTCAATTATGGTTCTAAATTCTTGATATTATTGACATGAATATTTCGACTTGCATAGTAATGAGGTTTATTGAGTTATATATGATGTTTAGAATAAGAAAACAATTTCCTAGGGAATATTAGAGGGAACAATGTTAATGAGCGATAAAAAATGTAATTTACTCTTCCTTATTTTGTTCACCGGAATCATGATCAGTGCATTATTGCTTAAAGATATTGGTATCAGAAGTGACGAATCAACGTTACTTCAAGGCAAAATTACCATGTCTAAAGATATACAAAAGGTTTTTTCTTTTCTTTTGTCAAGTTTTGGCTGAAGGGATAATACAGACACAAAATAATACAAAAGATTATTAGCAGCAAAAGTTCAGTTTGGTGCTAACGATATTTCTTTTTTTAGTTCCTAGCAACTGCGCTCCACCATCGTATTTCCATCCATTTTTTTTTGAAATCATAATAAAAAAAATACATCCAAATTTTCAATTTTAAGGGGGATTATGGTTATCTTTGTAAAAACTTCTTGTTGGGGGAATGCAATAATTCTCTCATTAATGATGAAGGTCCATCACCAGCGGCAACCACTTGACTGACTGGTGAACAGCCCCTCCTTTAATAGTAATGGAAACCATTTATGACACCTTTCAGGCTATGCTGAAAAATCAACTAAGATTCCTCATGGGTTCCACGCCTCACGGATATACTACCGCAACTTCATTAATCACCTATGGAACCCAGTGGAAATCCAATGCCAATGTTCATTTATGTCATTCTGACATTTAGTAATAATAATAATAAATGAATTGAAGACTTGTTATTTAGCAGTTACAATTAACAAAGAAAAATTGTAACTTCACGTCAATTGCCGAAGTTGCAATCCTCTGGCATCTACTATATACTAAACGGTTTTACAGAAAATGTGGGAAATCAGTTTAAACATAAAAATACATAAGCAGGCCACACAACCAATGTTGTCACGTAGAAACGGAAAGAGGTGGTACAAACGTAAAATGTAAAAACTACACGAAACGTAAAGCTTATACTTTCTACTACTTAAGGTCAAGATACAAAATTATATATATGCATGTAAAAAAAATTTCACATAATGAACATATGTGTTGAGCCACTTATCTATTTAAAAAGGAAAATTGTTTTTCATAACCAAGTATCAAAATTATAAACAGTAATAATTAACAAGTAATGGATAACCAATCTGCTCTAACTGCTTCATACGCTCTGCAGATTTTGGATCATCGCTCATCAGAATATAATTCAACTTCTTTCAATGCACACAATGATCCAAAAACACAAAACGATTCTCATAGCATAACTTATAATAAAATTGCAGCTTTATAAGACATATTATAAAAAACATATATCCAAACAAAAAGATATCAAGATACTGTGAATATGATTTGGGGAAAACGAAATTTAGGTTTTTTTTTTTTATTAAATTTTTAGTTTTAAGTAAAAACGATCAAAACGGTAACCGTTTTTATGTTTTTATGCGGCGTTTCTACCAGTTTTTATCAAGGATTTTACTTGAGTTTTAACACGCACCACTCTAATAAAAACGTAAAAACGTAAGTTTTTACACTAGTTTTTCACAACAATGCACACAACTACTTCCCTTCGTCCTTAGGGGTCAGCTGGCGCTTATGTCTGCCCAAGAAAAATTAAGAATACAGAAAAACAAATGAGTACATAAGTAGTTTTTTTTCCCTCAATTCAATTAAATCGCCTAGTGAAGAGGGTGAGCCTTGAAATAGTGGTAAAGTTACTCATTTGTTGGTTCAAATCCATAAATAACCTCTTCAGTGCCGGAGCCAGCAAGATTAATGAGTCAGGGCCAAAAAAAAATTTAGCTGGTGCCAATTATTAAATTAGCTATGTCTGAAACGTAGCTAATTTTTTAAAATTAGCCAAAGTCTTGATCTTGGTTGGAGCCAACGTGATTCCGCCACTGAAACTCTCTCTAAAAATATAAAAGTAAAAGTATATACAATCAACTCTTATCCCCACTCTCGGAAAGTCAAGGGCCTTGTGCAAGGTTTGCCCAACTAATAGGCCTCATGACCAACAGGCACGGCTTTACCCAAAATACAGTTTATTCTGGAGTTTGATTCAGACTTCAGAGTAATCAGACAGCTAAAAAAGACTATACCAGTTTACCATTGATTTGGGAAGGCTTCTCGGTATTTGTCATCCTCAGATGACACTTGCTGCCTACCTGCGGTATCCCTTGCCCGTGAACTCAAAAGCTTCTGAGCTATTCTATCTTTTGATGTTACTTTCTTCCGCAGCATGGATGCAAGACTTTGCTTCTTGTCTCTGGCAGACAGTTTATCTTCATTAGTTACCTCCACATCTTCTCCAAGAGCTGCTGATTTAGAAGTTGAAGCCAAAGCAGCATCCCGTAAAACTGCTTCATTGTGTTCCCGAATTTTAGCAAGTTTTGCACGTCTCAATGACTGTTTATCAATTTCTCTCTTATTTGCTACCTCTTTGTCTTTTTCACGAACATTCTTAACCGCCTGTTTTGCTAACTGCTCTATTAAATCAGTCCCTAAATCCGTATTCATGTCTTCTGAAGGGCTCTGATTGAGTGGCTTCCCTTCATCATCTCGATGAATGATAGGTCCATGGAATGGGCAAACTTTCAGATCTCTTCTCTGACAGAGTCCCCCTTTCCTCAAAGGAGCGCGGCATGGTTGGATCTCAATTTGCTTTTCTTCATAAGGCATTGCCTGAACATTCAATTCAGCAATTTTATCTGCTGGAATAACTGCATCATCCTCCACCCTACCCCAGTGACTTTCAAGCTCCAAGCCCCGTTGGTTAGCCATAAAAACCCTGTTTGAATCCCAATTTTCCAAGTGAGAACCCCATCTTACAACAGGAGCTTCAGCTATAAGTTTACTCCTGAGAGGGTTTGACTCAACTTTATTTACTCCATGAAGTAGGCTGTCAGTATCAGAGCCATTAGACTCTTCAAAGTATGAACCAAGATTATCGTTATTCATTTTATGGGAAGTCGATGCCATGTCAAGATGTTTGTTTTTATTATTGGGTGCACTAGACGAGATTTCAATAGCTGCCACATTACCCTCCTCCCAAAAATCTTCTTCCTCTTCAAGTTTTGATGTGTTTAGAAGAGAACAACCTGCCTCTTCGCATTTGTTTTTTACAGACTTCAGACAATTTCGGATATCAATGAACTCCTTCAAAGTGGAATCTCTGAATCTATTGTCTGCTACTTCAACTCTTACAAGAACAGAAATCCACTCTTGGATGGAAGCCAAATGCTTTGTGATCAGAAGTTTGTATAGCTCTCTCAATGCATCAAAAACTACCTTGTTATCGCTGTTCTCGTAAACTTTCTCCCCTTCTTTCAATGCTTCAAGACGAATCTGCTGCATCTCCAAAGAACGAAATTCAATGAGTTCTTCTTCATCTAGGATATCATCCGACACAAGCTCCTCTTTTGAATGCAAAATGTCCAAACACTCATTGATCTCATCCATCGCAGACAGTATTCCTCCCTTTATTGAAGTTGAATTCTCTTTCAAATATTCATACTTGTTCAATAAAATCTCTTTTGACCTCCTCTCCTTTTCCCTCCTCTCTCGTTGAATCCGCTCCACATTAGCTTGTATGTTAGGAAATTGAAGCCTAAGAATATTCTTTAGGTAATCATAACCTAATCTGAGCTGTCTATAATGAACCCCAAAAGACACGTTCCACTTTTCCAAGAATTCAATGGCCTTTGAACGCAAAACAGATGCAACAGCTGGTGGAGCAGGCAGTGGTAGATTACGCCTGAACCCGACACTCAAACTCAGTAACTGGTCCAAGTTCTCAACAAGAAGGGTCCTAAAAAGCTTTGAACGCATGAAGAGTTCATCAATTATTAGAAGTGCAAGGTACCTAACCTGCAATACATATCTGTCAAGGTCAATCAGGGGATTTCATATTGGAGATGACAATCTGAAAGTTAAAATCTTCCATGTAGATGGCTATGCTAATAAGGGGCAGAACCAGTAGCCTGTGGTTAATGTAAATATTTTCGAGAGTGAGTGACCTTTTCAACATAGCAATAAAGCAAACGAGATTTCATCATTTTATCACGCTTATAGCATCAATTAGAACAGAAAGAAAAACAACATACAATTTTTGCTAAGGAATTGTCATTTGAATCAATCTTTTCATTTTCACTGATGCATAATCAAACAAACCGTAATTAGAAAACAACAGACAAGAAATTGAAACCCTATTGGGGACGTACCTGAGAGTGGTCACGCTTCATGAGATCCATAAGGGTTTGGATAGCGTGGCGGAGCTCCGAATCGGAATAGCGGACCACCGTCTTGATGGCCTTGAGGAGGCGGGGATCGATCTCCGGTGCGGTGGAGTTTGTTGCTTTCTCTATCAAAGCCCTCACCTTTGTTCCATTTGCATTGCCTCCTTCTTCCATACCCATCAAATCCCAATCTCAAACCCACACATTCGTTTATTCAATATTATCAGATTTTGAAAAACCCTAAGTTTATAAAGCTCGCAATTTTCCCCTTTTCCTCATTCGTTTGCTCCTTGCGCGCTACGTCAACGGCTCAACGGGTCCCATTTGATGAAACGGGATGTCGTTTACATAAGGTTCACTATTTAGTATTTACTCAGACTCAGGCCTCAAAAATATTAAAAGACATGGCCTTCGTTTGGATTTACGTTCAACCACTTCAAATTCACGTTTGATGATGGCAAACGGGTTTTAAAAAAACAAATAAAAATAGAAGAAGAGATAAGGTATGTTTGATTGTCTCAAATCAAAATTGTTGTCATTATTCTTAAAGCATATTATAGTTGGGATAGGTTATTCTACCTACTCCTATCTTGCCTACCTTTTGCCTACCTCATCATTACTGTTGGATTACAATCTAATCCAACGGTTCATATTTACACAATAAAATAACCCTTTTTCTCATTCTTTCTTCTCACTTCCTCCCACACCCTTTCTCTCTCCTCCCCCTTTCTCTCTTCCTCTCTACTCTATACCTAATTTTTCTTCCTTTATCTCCTCCCCCTTTCTATCAGGTTTATTTTTATTGGAACTTCTTTTTATTTTAATTGCATTGAACCACAGCACCACAACATTATGCGATTCATCGACCACAATATTTTAATTTAAGCATTATGCGATTCATCGAATAATATATGAGGTTTGCAACAATTTGTAGCTCATTGCAGAGAAGGGAACATGGCCATTAATAACCCTAATATTCCAGCAATTTGGCGGCAGAGTTCATGTTCTCTATCACTGATGATATCTTCCTCCCTGAAAGTAACAATAATCGCATTCTATATTAAGGCAAACCTTGTAGCATCCACTTAACTTGATTCAATCTTTTTTCTCCCTGTAAATCCATAACTGCTTCGCATAATGCTTCCGCGTGCGTTCACCTCGGCAGAGATCAGAGATAAAGGGAAAAAAAATTAGGTATAGGGTAGAGGAAGAGAGAAAGGGGGAGGAGAGAGAAAGGATGTGGGAGAAAGTGAGGAGAAAGAAAGGGAAAAAAAATTATTTTATTGCGTAAATATGAACCGTTGGATTAGATTGTAATCCAACAGTAATGAAAGAGGTAGGCAAAAGGTAGGCAAGATGTGAGTAGGTAGAATAACCTATCCCATTTTATATTGAATTTTATCATATACTTATTTTTGAAATAAAATTTTTAAAACGTAAATCATTTTAATTTAAATACACTTGTAATCAAAATCAATTTTATAAATTTAAATAATCCAAAATCAAATTTACAAATATTCATGCTTAAGAGACTAGTTTGAAAACCGTTTTAATATTAATTTATTATTCCTTTTATAAAATTTATTAATCTTACTTTCACTTTTTTTTTTTTTACTTAATTTAACTTCGTCCCTCAAGTAACGGGAGAAGATTATCCCATCATAAAAAACAAAATTTATGTAGATTGATAATATTTTGGCCAACCCACACATGTTTAGTAAGATGAGTGAGAAACCTAATAGCCAAATAGCCAAATAGCCAATAGAGGTCTCATTAGGTAATACTTGGTGAATGAGCTCACGAGTCTCGTCATAGAAAATTCCTTTCTCTTTACATAACTCACCATCTTACACTCATGTTGGTGAGACAACGCCTTACAAAATAGTGGAGACAATGGCGAACAAATTTAGTTCACATTTTCTCTCATTATCATTAAGGAATATTCTCCCTCTTCTCCAACATACAAGCCAACAGAATTTCAATATTTTTATAAGCAATTACTTTATTGGATTTTAAGGCCACTCAGCCTAAACATATAATATCACTCTTCACAATCATATGTGCTATAGTGATTCTTTTTGAATTTAGTCTATATTACTACTTCTTGGAACACCCTCGTAATCATATACTTACTGCTCGAGGGATACTTTCTTCCTCCACAACAATTCAGGTAGTGTTCTGGATACTACTCACTTAGGCCCACCAGATGGGCCCAATCGCTTAAAGCCCATATCTAGAACCTTCTAGAGGACACCCAGGGCAAGTCATAGAGGTTCACCACAGTGACATTTCTCATCCTGCACTGCTGCCCCACTCTCTCCTCTCTAAATACCCTTCTCACACATATATAGAGGGGATCTTCTTCTTCCCCACTCCTCTCATATGCTGTCATACACACACACTTCCCCCTTGAGCACATACATGGGAAGCTCCACTAGTGCCTTGGTCTCTACCATGACTACTATAGACACCCCTATATCAACATACTTCACACTTTATGGGAGACATTTATGTACCACTATGAGTACAAGTAGCAAGGTGCAATTTCCGAAGGCAGTGGGTTTGTGCTTTCCCCACCTCATAATCTCTTAAAGAGGTAGGCTCCAACATGATGGAGAAGAGACTACTGCTTTGCGCTTTCCCAAGCTACCTCCCATTAACCATTTGACAAAGTTTCTCCCTTAGTTTGTACCGATTAATTTTAAGCGTGGCTGGTTGCTGCTCGCATGTTTTGACCTACTACTGCTTTTGGAATGTGCAATGTGGGGGCACTTTGGAACTATGGCACCTAACCATGTGCCTTGCGGCTTCTAACAAGCATCTGAGGCGCTAGATTATAAAGTTTCTGATAAAGGAATAGGTTCAAATTGTACGTGTTTGATTCACGAAGTAGAGGATACATGTAATTTATACAATCAAAAAAAAAATTATAAAGTTGCTTACCCATTGCAAGAGACACTAGATTGTCTGAGTGTAACGCTAGGTTATCTGGGTCTTCAACCTCACGTACCTATTTAAAATTAGGGAAAATGATTTCTACACTTTGTAAAAATCTTTCTCTACCACTCATAGAAAAAGAGAAAAAGAGAAACTAATAAAGAGAGAAAAGATAAATGTGATGAACCTCACTGCGATTTTATTATCAGCGGTAGAAAAATGATTTTTGCAGTAAATGCAGAAATCATTTCCCCTTAACATTATTACATTTTCTATTTTAATCTATATTAACTTGAGTGTAATGGAACATCCTCATCAACCATCATAAAAGATCTTTATTACCTAAAAATATGAAATTTTCAAACTCGAGGGTGGCACAATTGGTAAACAAGTTGTATTCAAGGAGTGGATTGTAGTGGCTGAAAGGTCTGGTTTGATTCCTTAGCAAAGTACTTTGGGTCAATGATAAAGATCTTCACATTTTATTCCATGAAAGAGATTAATTTCATCCAAATGGTAAGAACACCATGGAAACGAAAAATAAAAATAAAATTTTCGTATAAAAAAGGACCGTCATTCAATGGCAGTTCATTTTTCATTTTTAAAATTTAATTTGGTTGATTAATTTATCATATAATAACAATTTATTTCAATTATAAATTAAAACCTACGAGAACTAAGGTGGGATAGGGATGCATCATGCATTAATCAACACCAGCAATTTTTTAAAATTAGCTGGATATTTTTAACTTAAAAGTTATTTAAAATTATAACTAAAAATGTGAACATAAAAATAAAGATAAAATTGTTTGGTAATTATATGATTTTTTTGAAAAGTTATAAATCAATTTTTTAGTAAAATAATTTGTGATAGGTTATACTTACTACAATTTTTTCTTACCACCTCTTACTACCAACTTTGTTATTATTGGATCAAAACCAAATCAACGGTTACAAAATAACATCAAATAATAACCGTTGATTTGATTTTGATCCAACAATAACAAGATTGGTAGTAAGAAGTAGTAAAAAAAAAGTGGTGAGTATAATCTCCCCCGATTAATTTATTAATGTATATAAATTTAATTCTAATTAAAAATATTATAAAGGGTATATAATTACAACTCTATATTATTGAAGAAACTTTAAATAAACACAAATATTGTTTAAAATAAAAATACAATTTTTTCAAAAAAAAATAATAAACATTTATTTTTCAATATTACAATTTAAAAAGGAAAAAATGGGACTGTAGAAGATTTTCAAGTTATCTACCAAAAAGAAGAAAGAAATAAAGATAAAGCTTGTTACATATTAAACAAATTATGTACCTCATTTGATGTTGGTGATGGTAAGGTACTCCTTCATGTCTCTGAAGAAAAATGGGAAATGTTTTCCAAAAAAATAAGCCACTTCAATGCTCGAATTAGTCTGAATGAGGGAGAATATTTACCTAATCTGAGTTCATTGAATAAGGATAAAAACCCCTTATATATGGTAATCATTAGGAATCCCCAAGATTTATGATTTTTTTTCTTTAGTAAATGAGAACCCAACGCTTAATAGCCTTAGTTGAATATACTATCCAGATCAAATGTTAAGGGGGCACAGCACACGTCTATTGACATCTTGAATATATGACAAGATTAGAACAAATAATTCCCTAAAACTAATAATAAGTTAATGGTAGATTAAGTATGTGTATCTTGATTGAGTTATACAAGATGTAGCACTAGAAGGGATTATATCAGTAAATTACCCTTGCAATGGGATTGGAGCAGTAGTTGTGGTATTTAAATAGAAAACAAGAAACTCACCGACAAACGACAACTGAACGATAAAATCCAGAAACATTCTCATTTTGTTTATATCTCAATCTCATAGTTCCCCTCCTCAGATCCAGAAAGATTAAGATCTCATTTTCCTCTTCTAATCTAATTTTTAAAACATAAAATACACACACAAAAAAGAAAAGAAGACAATAATAGTTAATAATTAATAAAGCATAGGAAAGAGTTATTCCTAAGATTCACGCGCAACCATTCGGGGCAAACCCGACCCGTGAACCTGCCAGGTCAAAGACGACCCGGAACCCTTGCTGCTGGATGTTGCCAATTATAGACAAACCGCTCATTGTTCCGGCGAAAGCGAAGCAGAAGCTCCCGCTGGGATCCACCTGAATCAAGTAGTTCGTCGCCGGAAGCGACACGTCAGCATTCCTGAAGTGCAGCACCACCGTCGGCACCTTCACCGTCGTCAGCCCCGACAAGTCGAAGCACGTATCGAAAAGTGAGAACTCAGGCGCCCGCTTAAGATGCGAAGCTCCGACCCGAAAAGCGTCTCTCAGTGCGATGTATGCAGGTCGAGTCAGTCGGGTCACGGACGTACCCGAGTCGACGATCACGCCACCGTTCCCGGCGGGGTCAAGCCGGAAGAGCGAGGCGGAGACGCCGCGAACCGGTGCGCCACCGACGCTGAAACCGAGGAGTTCCACGTAATAGAAAGTGTCGAGCTTAGGGTTTTTTAGCAGCGGAGTGAACCGTGCGGTTCGAGAAACGGCCGAATCGCCAAAAATCAAAGACGAAGGCTTGGCCGAAGCGGACCGGTCCACGAGACAATAGGAGAATTTCTGGTTGAACCGGCGACCGGTTTGAACCGGAAACGATAACCCCCCGCGGCCGAGACCTAACAGACCAGCAGCGCCAACGAATAGGCCTTCATTGTCGTGGCCGCATCCGAACGCCACGCGCTTCACCCTTGTCTTTCGAAACGTCAGCGTTTCGGTGGAGAAATCGCCGAACGTGAACGAACCGTCACCATAGGAAACCTGGTACTGGCAGAGCTTCTTCTTGTTGCAACCGTGAGAGTCCAGTCGCCGGCAGAGTGGGGCCCCACATGGGATTCCGGCAAAGGTCCGAGATTTGGCCGGGTCGAAAACTGGGTCGGTTTGGGAGTAGCATTTTCGGCATGGAGCACATTGGAGCCAAACGATGTCGCTTCCCGTATCCAGAATCATGTACACGTACTTCGCAGGCGTGCCCACGCCCAAGCGCGTGAAGTACTCGCCGCTACCTTGAGCTAGACCCGATATGATGGAGCTGCTGAAATCCGACCCGGATTTGGACACACGGGTCTGATTGAGAGCTCTGACTTTGGTTGCTATGGAAGTGAAGGCTTCGACTCTGGCTGCATCTCTCTGCAGCCTGAGGTGGAAGAGCTCCTCTGTGGTTTTGTTGGAGGAGAGAGCATCTATGTGATGTAGTTGAAGTGAGAGAGTTTCCGGGTCGAGAACTTCGGATTCGGGCCATGAGAGGATGGGTTTTTGGGGGAGAGATTGGACAACAAAAGTTTGGGTTTGGAATTGAAATGGGTCAGTTGTAGTTGTAGTTGTAGCAGTGGAGATAGAGAAGAAGAGGGCCAAGAATAGGAAGAGAAGGCCATTGTTGGCTTTCTTCCCTTCTTCCATTGCAGAGAGAAAGAGAGTACTGTGTGTGTGTGTTGTGAATAAGAAAGAAAGAAAAGTGACAAAGTAGAGAGAAGGTGACAGAGAATAAATAGTAATGATGATGATGATGGAAGTGAAATGAGGAATACAAAGATTAGGCGGTTCTGAGAGTGGGGTGGTGTCATTACATTAACGGTGGAAAAAGTATGCGCAGTTAATTATGATGGTTCGGTTGGGTTGGGTAAGAGTAAGACACCACTATCCTTTTCTCATGCAATTCCCTTTATATTGTTTCTATTTAGTTGCTAGACAGTTGAGTGTCATTCAATATTACTACTCAGGAATTACGAATTTTGTTACTATGTGTACTCCAACACCAAATTGACAACTGGACGTTGAATTTAATTGTACTACTAGCAGTGAAAATGTAAATGGGAAAAGTATCTGTACTTTTAAATTACACAATTTATATCCTTTCACTCTCACAAAGAGGTGGAACTCACACCTTTATTTTTTTTATCAACTCTCTTTCCTCCTTTATTTATCTCTTTCTCTCTCTTAAAATGACACAACTTTATATCCTTTAAAATGACACATACTTTTCCCAAGGTAAATATATGGTTTATGGGAGCAGATTCTTTTATATTTTACTTAATATAATATTACATGGGAGAATTATAATTATATAAAAATAAATTAATAATAAAAAGAAAGAGAAAAAAAATATTATTCGCTTTTGTGGGAGCATGAAAATTATGGTAGTGTTGGTGTTAATAATCACTTTAACCTGTCGTAGTGGAGAAAAATTTCAATATATCGGGCTGATCGAATTCGGTGTTTTTTATTAAAATTAAAAATTATTTTTTACTCATATTTTTTTATAATTCTTTTTAAATTTAAAAAAATTCTTTTTTAATAAAAAAAACCAAATTTGGTGCTACTGATTTATTGATGTTGGATTTAGATCATATCACATGAAGAAGTGATCATATTATTTGATTACAATCACTTATTCATAATAAGATAAAAAAGAGTATATAATTTTTAAATAAATAATTATGATCAAATCACGTATAATCACTTTTCCACATCCAAATCCATTAAAAAAATTCTCCCTGTAGTGATGGGTTAACTTTATCAGTAATTTCTTTTAAAAAATGTTATTGAAAAAGTGGCACATAGGATAGTGGAATATGAGTTTACTAAAGTGCACTTAATATATGCGTAGGGAATTTAATCAAATTTGACTTTTAAAAACTAAAAATAAAAGAAAGATTATCTTATCAATAAAACACTCTTGAATGAAATTTTACCGATAAGTTATAAAATAGTTTGTAAATTTATAAAAGAAAAAATTTATCAATATAACCTTCTTCTAAAAATAATATTGTATCTACTCATTTTTAAAATTACTTAAAAAAATAAAAATAAAACTTATCATCTTTGAAGCATAAGTATTCTCCTAACTTTGTCAAAATACTTTGTTTGGTGATGGTAGGGCTTATAATGAAGTATTAATAATAGAGGAATTCTCGTGATACATTATTTAACACATTTTTTTTAAAAAAAAACTTTCATTATTGTTTAGTAAAATTTTATGTAAGCTTCGGTAAATAATTTCAGTCTCCTACCTATTAGTATGTCCTGCACTGCATAGGAATTCATTCAATTACTAAAAGAATGTGAAAAAAAAAACATATTGCTAGCACTTCCCTTATTAAGGAGCATGTAAAAAGTTATGTCAGTTAAAATGAGTTAGGTCTGAGCTTAGATTTAGTTTATATAAAATATTTTAAATTTCGTATGAAGGTTTAATAGATTAATGTAAGTTAAAATTTGATTTATATTTAAAAAATAAAAAATCGTATTAGCTTGTTTAAACTTATCAAGTTTTTAGTATTTATTAATCAGAAAAATATTTTTACAATTAATGCAGATAAGTTATCTGCATTAATTATAAAAACGATGTCGTTTTGATATTGAAAGATTAGAAAATTATAATTATAAAGACTATAATATTCCTGAAATAAATTAGAATTACAAAAATACTATGATTCCGCCCTAAAACGACGTCATATTGGACTTACTGCAAAAAAAAAAATTCCTTTATTAATTTAGAAAAAAGTATAAGATAGTTTTTTATTAATTAAAATATTTAAATAAATAATTTGTTTTATTTTAATTAAAAATAATATAATATAATCAGCCTTGTAAACCTGTAGGCCGAGACTTGTAAAAGTTGGCCTATGATCTCTTTTCAAAATAAGTTTTTTTTAAGGTCCAAGTTTGTTTTATTTTAATTGACACTTAATAGGTTGCTTGACTTATTTACTTCCTAGTCATGAACAAATATTGCTTGGTGAGTAAATAATTTAGCGGGATAACAATTAATTATGTGACACAATAGCCATGTAAATTAATTAAATTATTTGTTAATTATTCAATTTTGATTCGTTCAATGCTCCATCGAATTCGTTTGTTTTATGAAACAAATAAGCTCAATTTTGATTTTATAGCTGAGTAAATTCTCAAGTTTTATAAGCTTAATATTGAAAACTTATGAATGACTCGTATGAGTGTGTGGGTATATGTGCGAAAGAACGTCTACCAAATATTAAATTTATAAATTTAAAATTAATTGAAGAATAAATTTGACAAAAGAAAATGAAATTAAAAATTATAAACGAACTAGACAAATCAAGTGCAGATTTATATTTTTTTAAACAAGTTAAAGCCTAACGTTTGAATTAATTCATTTAAATAATTAATTCAAGTTTTTTTTTTTTTTACAAGTCAAACTTAAATATTAATTAATTAACTTGACTCGATTCATTTAACCCATAATTCCGACCATAACAATGTGACTGTTTATACTTTATATTGATGTATCTTGTAAGGTCGGCGATGAATCGCAGATGCTGGCAATCATTCTAACAAGGGCACGCCGAATGATTTTACGGAAAAATCACTTCTAATGTTACATGATAAGTGTTTTTTCATGTTGTATCTTTTTGATTTGTGTGTAAATTTTTTTTTCTTTTTTATTTAATAAGTATAGGATCCACAACTAGTTGAGTCACAACATGAACATGAAAATTTAATTTTCATGTAACATGAGAAAATTAAAGTCAATTATAAAAATGCATTAATAGAAAAGGTTCGTTTTAATGTACCTTTCTACTTTATGCCATAATCAAATAATATGAATGGTTTTCAAATTAAAGTCACTTCCTTGCTTTACGTAAAAATAGACAGATAAGCAAAAACCCATATGCATTGTGCAATCCTTCGTCCCTCTTTCCTGCGGACACCTATATACTGAATTCTATTTGTTTTCCTCATAATGTGAACGATGAGATGATCTTAGGCTGTACAGAGAAGCTTAAACAACCACAAAAACAATGCATGTGATTGAACATTGAGGGATTCGTTTTTGTTTGTGTTATTTTGGGCTGTTGATGAATGGATGATAACAACAGCATGGATCCATGTGAGTATGAGGACTTTAAGGCTCAACTCCAGCACAAAATGAACCTCAATGTGACTCATTATCTCCTATTTAAAGGCTCACTTCATGCTAGCCGTTGACCTATTAAATATTTGCAATTTTATATTTAATTTTTTATGTTAAATACTCTTATTTTGTTAACCTATTAAATACCTTTAATTTTTCATTTAATATTGTTTATTATCTAATATTTTATTTATCAAAGCTCTTTAGCATTTGATTTCAACATTTCAGATCATGGACATCCATGACCCTGATTCCAAACCTACACCGCAGTATCCGTCAAAGAGTGAATACTTATGTTTCAGAAATTAGCTTTTCCATGTTTGAGGATTCTCGACTTCTATTTTCCAATTTCACCAATCATTATCATGCATTTTGTATATATACAATTCTTAATTTTTGCATCTCCTTTATTATATTTTATCCTCAAATTCTTAAGTATTTTATTATATTTTGCAACAAAGAATACTTTTCACGACCCTGTACATAATTTTGAATCGTGTATGATACTTATGTTTATACCGTGAACTCGGGGTTAACGTTTCGAAAAATAAGTTAATTTGATTATAGAACATTAGAATAAAGATTACTAAATGTCTCCCATTTATTTTTTGATCATTTAATTTATAAAAATTAGATCAATTAGCCCTGCCACGCGTGGAATTGTTAAGTAAGTCGTATATTATTACAATTAGTATTAATGTATCTCGATTGTAACGATTATAAACGACGGTAGGATTATGATAAGATAATTGGAAAATGCATCCATCATGTTGTAGAAATCACAAATTTTATCATGTTATGAAAAAGACAAACCAATTCATTGAATAAAAAGTCTCATCATTATTTTTAATACTATATATACCTTGTATTTTTCTTAACACGACAACAAAATAGTTACTAATATAATCCCCGTATGCGTAATCTCGTGTCGGTAAGATTAGAGGAGTCTGAACCCAAACAGGCAGAAAGCAGAAAATCTCAAAATGGCTTGGCAAGTGTGAAACAGTGATTGAACTCTCTTTGTATTTATGCAATGATGGGACTGGCACTGTAACCAATGATGAACAAAGACTCTTCAACTACAAAACATAAATTCATGTTTAAGAAAAAAAAAACTTAAATTCACCAACATGTAATTATTTTAAAAAAATTCACCAACCAATGATAATTTATCTTATTTTTTCTCACTTCGATTTTTGCACCTTACTTTTTTTTTTTTTTATAATGGTGGGATCCACTCATTTTCTCTCTACCATATAAGATAACTATCTTATGTGAAAGGAGATTAATAAAACCCTTAATTATATTTCCTTCCAAGTTTGAAATGTACAGGCAAAATATTAATTTATTATTTTTTAAATAAAAAATTGTGATTTTATGATTTTTTTTTAAAATAATTACATATTTATTGCACAATATGACGCCTAACTTAGTGTCACCCAAGAAGCAATCACGCCTAATTTAGGCTTCACTCGTGATGTTGACACGTGTCCCCAACAATTTAATCGTAAAACTTCTGTATGCCACAACTTTTGACTCGGGTATCCAAATCAGGTAATTTTTTTTTATTCCACATAACTTTTTGAGATCTACGTAATGACACCTCATTTGACATATTTTATCTCTCACAAACATAATTTGAATTTCCAACAATGAGACTTTATCTTATAAGTCATGGTCTGAAATTAATGATGGTACCAAAGTGGATTAGTCCATCTATAAATAAGAATATTTAGGGAGTGTATTGGATTAGGATTTTGAAAGACTTTTTTTGAGATAAAAAATCATATAGATTTTAGAAGACTATTTAAAATTGGACGGACTTTAAAGACTATTTTAAAAGACATTTTTTACGATCAAGATTTCATAAGATTGGATTTTAAAGGATTTCAATAGAATTTATAAGATTTGAAAGGACAATATGGATTTATAAGATTTTAAACAACCATATGAATTTTTAACAAACATTCAAAATTACAAGAGTGAATAAAAAAATAACAAAGAAATGCCATGATATTAATAAAATAAGTAAAAACTAATATAATTTTCTCAATCAATAAAAACATAATATAATTTTTAACAAACATTCAAAATTACTTAGCAACAACTCTTCACATATCTAAAATTATACTAGTTCTTCATGCATTACTATTAGCATTTTCTCGTTCATGCTCTTGGGTTTGACCAATGAGTTAAAAATTATTTTCTTCATTTGGTATCAGAGCTATGCATAAATTTACATGTAGAACCTAAAGTTCATGATAAATTTTCGTTCAGAGTATTCATTAAATTGTTTTGGGCTTTTGAAAAATAAGTTTTTAGATAATTTCACATTTGATAATCCAATTTGATGTCATCATTAATTTCAGACCACGACTTCTAAGGTAAAGTCTTATTGTTGCAAATTCAAATTGTGTTTATAAAATATGCCAAATGAGATGTCATTGCGTAGATCTCGAAAAGTTACGTGGATTAAAAAAAAATTACCTGATTCGGATACCCGAGTCAAAAGTAATGGCCTTCAAAAGTTTTACGATTAAATTGTTAATTTTTTATATCACGTGTCAACACCAGATGAGTGACGCCTAAATTAGGTGTGACTGCCTCTTGGATGACGCCTAACTTAAACGTGACTAGTGACGCCCAATCCGGATGTGACACACTGCTATACACCCATAAATATTTTCAAAACAGCCATAAATTTATAAATTTTTATTTAAAATGCAATGTATTAATTTTTTTTTTTTTTCGGAAATGGACAAACTGAGTATGCTACACAGTGGAGCAGTGAGCACCGGTTTAGTTTACATTGTTGTGCCTGGTACCCCAGTTAATCTATACAGCAACAAATCATTTCAATATGAGTCCCACAAACATAAGTGTCTCAAAATGGTCAACTTTTATTAAAGTAAGATAAATTAATAAATAATTTTAAAAATAATATAAGTTGATAAATTATTTTTAAAATAAAGATAAATTGGTCATTCTCCCCCTTTTACCCCTCAAAACTGCTTTTTCCAAAATTTGAATTTATTTACTATTTTTACGCTCTTTCTACAACATTCATCAAAGTCTTCAATCAAAGAGTTAAAACCCAGACGCTAGAGATAAAAAGAATGGAAGGAAGCGAGTAAACAGGAGTTCATGCCTTGCACCAGCCAATGACGAACTCGTGCTCTTGTATCAAGTATCAACCTTGTGAAGTTGGAAACGTAACACACGGGGAATGGACATATCAGGCTCTCATACCACTTTATACAGGATAACCCACTACTAAAAAATCCTAACTCACTCGTTAGTCTTTTGTAATTGTATAATCGAAAATTCTAGATATTGAAATCAGCTTATTGATTTATTTTAATCAGATAATAACATGGCAGTCTTCTATATCCACAACCATATAACCTAACCTAACTGCCAAGATGATACAAAAGGGTAATAATTACCCATCTTTATGTTTGTAACAATAATAATTCCTCAAATTAACGACTAAACCACTTCAAATACAAACAAGACTATCAAGAAGACAGAATCAATCTTAGTCATTGGCCATCATCTGTTCTTTGACTTTTCTAACAGCATGACTTACAGCATAAAGTGTCATCTTTTTAACCTGTAAATGAAGAGAAGTGTGCGTGAGTTTAAAAATTTTCAATGGCACAATATGTATAAATATAAAGACCTGTTCAAAATGCAACGACAATATACAACGCTGGAAGCTTTTGGTGAAAACATGCAACATCCATTAGCTTAACCGAATGACCTTTGAGAAAAGAACACATCGCTTGGCGCTAGGAAACATAAGAATGACTGAGAAGATACATGCACAAGAAATCAATAGCAGAAATAGACAAGCTTGCCTCCAATTTGTCCTCCTTGGCTCTGTGGTTTTTCGGGAGCAAACGAAACTCTTCAGTTAGTTGTAAGCATTCTCCAACATTTTCCGGAGAAACAAAATCAAGCGCAACCTTTATACAAGACTGATCAATGAAAATAAGTTAAAGGTAACGAATATAAGCAAATAATATTTAAATGTATGGTAGATGGAACAATAAGGCTGAAGACCTTCGCAAATAAAAGTTGCTCTTAACGGCAGGCAATGCACATAACTTCAACTTCAAGACAATATTCAATTTCCCGATGTGATATTTAAACATAGATATTACCAAACACTTCCTAAACATCAAGTAATTATAAGTTAAGTTGCCAGGAATAAAGAGTGATAGTGATACAAACCACCTCCTCTATAGCATAATTACGGAATAATTTACGATATACCTTACGGATCATAATATTGACATTTCGAGAAATAATGGTTTTAAGACATGAGCCCTTCTAACCTAAGAGTGATTCAACACCATCATATTCTTCTAAGAGTCATCAAAGGCACTGGGAGGACTCAAATATGTACTATTTATTCTTCTGCACTACTTGCAGATGTAGTACCATAAATTCTTGAAGACCAGAACCACACCACCATTTTTCCACAACAAAAATTATAACTAAGCTGCTTTCTCTATTTCATTCCAATCCGTAACATTTGTTACAACACAAGTAAGCAAGATAGTGCACAATTTTCCTAATTTTTCCCTGTTTTAACCCGATATGAAGTTAGTGTTTACATGAAGGCTGGTCCTTTCTTTTTTTGGTGAGGGAAGGCTGGTCCTTGAAGACTCATTTGTCATTATATTCAAGTTTTCAACATGTAATGCCCTGCTGCCATAATCTGAACGAACCCTTTTTCAAAGACTCTTACTTTGGGGCAGATTTATTGACTGTAAATAGTGTCTCCACTATTGACTTCAAGAGTCCACAATATTTTCAACTACAAAAAACCGTACTGAAAAAGAAGATATAAAAACAGACTGAGAAATCAAATTATTTTCCAGAGATTATGAGAAATGCAGATGATATTTGCTAGAAGTTTAAAATATCACAAGATGATCAATTACTTGTCTATTTCTCACTTGATGAGGACACCCTGCTGGAATGAAAACAGCCTCACCAAGGTGTTGCTCAAAAGTCCATGGTTCAACATCTGCAAAGAGAAAATGATGTTTACCAAGGATGTTGTGGTAGTACTTTTCAACTAAGTCTAAACCAAGCAAATCAGGTGAGCATCTTACTAAACTCCCTTTTCAGCTGTTTCTTATGCCTCTCATTTAAGAATAGAGTCTGATCATGAATGGGATGTATAACCTGAAACCAGCATATTACAGAGACTTAGCTCTCCACATTTGGCTAAAGTTGAATGGAAAATGCTGAATATTATTCTTTGCATATTCATGTATAGATGTTTACAATATATAGAATAATGTGAATAATTACTTTCCTAATAAAAACTTGATTCTAGGGAAACAAATACAAAGCAAACTAAACCTATATTGTCACTCTCAACTTGCTAGTAAGGTCTTGAAATCTCTCAGTGAGAAGTCCCTTAGTCAACTCATCAGTAGAGGGAAAAAACTCTAACCTCGCCTCATACCTGTCAAGTGTACCATCAGACCAATACTTTAGAGTATAGATCCATCTGCAACCAACTACTCTCTTTCCTCTTTGTCAATCAACAACTTCCGATGGAGAAGAATCATCTTTTCATGCATGGCTTGAGTCCATTTCTAGCCTTTTAATGCTTCTTGAATTTATGTTGGAATTCTAGTAGAATCAAGGGACGAAATAAAACTCTTTTGCTGCGAGGGAAGACTTTTAAAAGAAACAAGCTTGGAAATAGGATGGTACAAGATCTTTTTTCTTTTCTCGAGACAATGGGTAAGTTAACGGGATCAGTCTCACAATTATTCAAAGGAATATTTTGCTGGATCAGATTCAATGTTATGAGGAACAATATGTATAGTACTTACTGCAGGATCATATGACTGAAGTTGTTGTTGGACCAATCCAGACTTTTTTCTCCTTGGATACACTAGTTGTGGTGAACCATCTTTGGCCTTAGTTGGCATAGGATTTGATTCAACTGGGTCACCAGAATAAGTCACTAGTTCCGGCAAACTAGTAGAGTTAGATAGTATAGGAAAAGGCAGCTTTGGAAATGACTCAGCTTCAATTGTGAAGCTAGGAATACTGTCTCCCTGTAGAAGAAGAAGAAGACAAGGAAAATTAGATATCTTCATGAAAAGTGACATTTATGGAAACAAAGGAGCGTCAACTCAAATTATATCTCTTCATGTCAAGAGCATAACCCAATAGCACACATTTGATGGCCTGAGGATCAAGTGTATTGCAATGTTAGCAATTGTAAAGAACCATTTCACCTAAAATCTTAAACTGTTAGGTGAAGGCTACATTAATGATTTTATATATTTTTATCATATGTCCCCCCACACAAGAGCCTATTAGGCTTAAAAGTGACCAATGCACAGGCTTACCTAAGTTTTGCTAAAGAATTCTATAGTATTTAATCATTTATTGAACTTGTGACCATTTGGTCAGGAAGCTATGATAGGGATGTCCATTCTTGACACGAAAATTCATGTTCGGGTTAACTCGTATTTAAATTCGTATCGTGTTCGTGTTGACAAAATATAATGCACAAAAATTCATGTCATGTCGTGTGTCAACACGCAAACACGCATTTGACCTATATTTTTTTAGCTATTTACCATTTTGACCAACATGTACATCCGATGACACCTTATGATGTAAGGGTAATTATGTAATGTGTTTCTCGTGTCGTGTCGTATCGTGTCGTGTCAACCCATATAAAAAGTGATTCAAGTCGGTGTCAAGAACTCACAAAATTCAAATTGCGTGTTATCCGTGTCATGTCGTGTCAACTCGTAGAATTTGCGGGTCATATTCATGTTGAAGATTTTGACACGAATAAAAATTCATGTCGTGTTTGTGTTAATGTATTCGCGTCGTGTCAAATTCTTTTCATGTCAATTTTGTGTCGTGTCAACCTGAATTGACACCCCTAGATACCATGTAAAGAACCAATTCACCTAAAAGCTTAAGTTGTAAAGTGCAGGCCACATTGATGGTTTTATATTATATTTCTCTAACACCAATGAATATGGACAAAGGCCACACAAACAAAGATACGAGACAGAAGACTCTGCATAGTAGGAACGAAATGAAACAAAGAACTTATAAGGTGAACAAAGACTGACATTACCGAGTACTCGAGACGACAATCGATTTATCATGTAAACAACTTTTAACATAGCTTTTCCCCAATATGAATTAGGAACAGATATTTGGAGGATTGGAGCTCTTGTAATTTCCAATAAATGTCGACTCTTTCTTTCAACCACGCCATTTTGTTGAGAAGTATCCATAGAAATGTTGGTTGATACACTCTTTACCATTATTAGAGCACGTACACTTTAGCGACTTTCCAAATTGTGTCAAGATCATATAAAGAAAGTTAACAAATAATTTATATACGTCTAGTTTGTCTTTTATAAGCAATAATTAAGTCACTTAGCTACATTCATTAACAATAGACATTATATTTTACTAGAAATGTTAAAAACAAAAGCAAGCCCAAAACATTAGAATGAATAAACGCAAAAGGCTCAACACTTTTATGAGAATTGGGAGAAAAGGTTACCTGATGATGTTTGGCCAATTCAAAAGCATCACAACGAAAAGACTCAACAGACTCCCCTTGAAAACAAAGAAAAAGGAGGGTGCCCAAGACACCAACTTTGAAGGCATATATTAAAGCAGGGGTCTTGAAATCGAACCGATGACAAACAACTAATAGCTTCTGACTAGGACTACCTTTGTTTCTTAGCAATTCCAATCATCCTTCCTGTGAGAAGATCTTAAAATATACAATAAGAAAGGAAATAAGTTACTGAGTAATTTAGGTCTTTGGTAATTTTATGAATAAAAATCAGACTATTGGAAAATTTTGGAATATGGAGAACATTTTTTAAGTTTAGGGAAGGTTGGAGGTAGATATGACCACAACCAGTGACTATGTTATGTGAGTCATCAACCACGTTATAGTATGCTTACCACAAGAAGGTTGATAGTACACAAAATGTAGAGAAGGAACGGTCATATGATCATTAGCATTGGAGTCAGCAAACCATGAATCTTCAGAGGCAATACTAAAAGCATTGAAAATTTGAGAACATAAATCCTTATTGGTCATAGCTCAAGAACAAGAGTGTGAAGATTTACTGAGGAAGTTTGCGAGAGGTTGTCAGCGTGCCAACTCAGCCCTACTAGTGCCTAGTACCTCATCCTCCACCCCTGGGACTTAAGTTTTGGATGATCTTAAAGTCGAACATGGTGGCTAGAGGTGCATTGAGTGGTTAAGCCATGGAGAGGCTCAGACAACACAAAACCCAAGGGAGAAAATTGTTTGGGAGGTGGACCGGTGGTGGGATGCCAAACTAGCAAGGTAATGGCAGATCTGGGTAGAGGAGGTTGAGATGAGATGGATGACACTAACGGCAGTCTCAAAAGTCAGTTGGATGTGGTGCCGAAAGATGAGGTGCACGGATCCACGTGTAGATAGGAAAGAAGGTGGTGGCCAACAGACTGAGGACTCGTGAGTGACTTTCTGGCAATGGTTTACAGGGAATGAAGGCCAAGAAACGACAAACCTACTAGTGGATTCACCGATCACAGAAATAGTTGTAGCGGTTAACAACGTCAAGCAGAGGGAAGCAACAACTGAAGTCTGTTTAAGTCCAAAATACGGTGTTTCAGCACAATGAAGGCTCAAAAAATAGGTCAAGATAGCATAGTTGCAATGAAGGTGGCAGCCGCAATGATCATGGCAATTGTAGGGAAGGCAAACTAGGATTTTGCAAAAGCAAAATCTCCAGAATTGAGAGCTATGATACTAAATTGAATGGAAAAACACTAAATATTATTTGTTGAACATTCATGTACATATGTTTACAATATGTAAACTACTATGAATAATTTCTTTCCTAATAAAGAGTTGGTTGTAGGGAAACAAATACTAAGAAAAACATATCCATAATTTGTCACGTATAATCATGTTAATAAAAAGGAAAAACAAATCTATAATAATTATATAATTATTTATACTATATTTACAACAATAAATAAAGTAAACAATGACCGGGGCAATGTTACTCACAGAATCTATAGGATGGTTGTTGATATGACGGAATTCCTTCTTGTGGTTTCTTAAGTACTCAATTAGCTTCGGGACATCTTGACGACGAAAGATGTCCCAAACAGCACCACCATGGACAACCTCAGGTCCATTTTCAGTTTCCAAAGAATCTTTCCTGAGGCCTTGTTTTGGCTCTCTTAACTTTTGATCGCCAGACATGTTAACATCTAGAAAATCACTCCTCATTTTGTCTTTCTTATTGCTCGTATTAGTTGAAGCTAAGCTGCTTGGAACATGTTCTAGTTCGAAAGTCCTGGACTGATCTGAAACTCCAGTAGATGTTATACCTACACTATCTTCTGCAGAGGAGCTCCTGTCAGCGACATTTCTACAGGTGCCAGAGCAATTTCTATTCTCATCACGTTGTTCAGTGTTCTGTGTTTCTAACTTCCCACTCATGTCTTCAGCTATAGATGAAATGCACTCATCCATTTGGCTACTAGGTGAAATCCTGTTAACTCTATTCTCTGCCTTTTGATCATGATTCAATGATGTAGATTTAGATCTTCCATCAACATCAACTAATGTTTCACCATAAAGTTCACGAGAGTCTTCTTCAGCATATTTCTTCTGCAATTTTTTTATGCTTTCTCTCTGCCAGGGAGCTATATTCACCTTGTTTGTGTGTGTCAGCACATTGACCTAAACATCCATCACAAAATTATGTGACATTAGCTATCGTTTTATATGGTACATGCAACTAAAACAATGCCAAAAATAGGAGGTTACGAATTTTGGGGAGGGAAAATGATTAGGCTCAACTAATATACCAAATGTCTGCAATCAAATTGAACTCATTAAGACAATAAAACCCACAAAAAAAAGTCTAAATCTCTTAAACCTACATTTTAAATGTTCCTAGTACTACTGAACGTTTTGTTGAAAATAAAACAACGTATAAGTAGGAACCACATTACTGTGGATGGGGACATGATAAAGAATTAAAATTACAAAAAGAAATTACTATGATTTCATTATCTCCTCCAAGAGAAAAACATAGAAAGCTCAACGCAAAATCAAGCTAACAGGACTGAAGTGGACAAGATTATCGTTGTCTAATATTTGGAAGATTTTGTAAGTAAATTTCAGATGAGTGGTCTGAAAAATTCTCTCTTTGGTTCAAGAACTGAGGAAATCAGCAAATACTACATCGTAAGTTTATAAATACATACCTTTAAAGAATTAAACCTGTATTCATGATTATAAAATACTTATGGAACGAATTAAGATTATATCGAACTTAGTCCTTTTTTTTATGCTTTTACCACGAAGAATTAATAAATTTTGAGATGAACACAATATATTATAACAACTTTAAAAATTATTTATAAAGGATTACTAATCTAATAATAATACCATGCAATGCAGGGGAACTTGGGTAGTTTTAAAAAAATATCATCATTTTGATAGATTTCTGAATAATGTTCTAATCATTTCAAAAGCAAGTATTAAAAGAAGGGCTAGTCAATGATAATATGGAGCTCAAAATTAAACCTTGAAATCAAAGATCATACTTGGACTGAACAACATCAATCAATCCAGCTGATACTTGTAATATAAGATTCACATAAGAAGAGCCATCACTAAATCGCTGAGTTTCAAACTTTAGTCCAATGATAATACTTCTCAAGATGCAGTTTGAAAGAAAAATAGAAAATGCAAATTTCCTATATACTTTCCATCATCAAGAGAAATTTTCTTCTTTTTCTTTGCCTTTCTCGTCAACCATAGACAAAATAATCCAAAATTTTTCCCAAGACTCATGCATAAAGATTTCTGTCAAAATTACAAAACCTTCACTATAATTTCAACAACAAAAAAATCCAAACAAAGCCCATTATTGTAGAAAAGAAGAAAAAATGAGAGTCAACATGGAAAATATACAGAGAATTTTAAAAATCTTTAAATATCAAAAGCACTAAGCAGAAAATTTAAGGGGACAACCCAACAGCTTAGATGAGTTGAGGGTCTGAGAGGAGTAGTTACTTAGCATAGTTGTTTGAGCGGTTAAAGATTTTAGAGGTAAGTAATTATCTTTAAAGAATAGGGTGGAAGAGGAGGCATTCAGATTTATTAGCATTTGATAACCGAACACTATAGAAATATTCTATCTCTTTCCCCTTCTGTTTTTCTCATCTCTCCCTCTCTCTCTCTCTCTCTGAAAACTCAAAATCTGTTTCAGGGTTCATAACATGTGAAGAATAAAGAATTTGAACAGGGTTTGTTGGGGGACCAATAATATCTAATTGAAGTGCCAAGCCCACATACCAGCAATTAGAGTTATTAGACACTGGTACAGGACTGCCAACAGCAGGTTTCTAGACATAAACTAAACACAAAAGGATTTCCAAAAGCAGAAATTACCGCATCAGACACATCACAGTGCAGTTTTGTGACAGAATCTCCTCTACCAAGCTCTTCAGAAAATCCATAAGCAATATAGGTTTTGGGTCCCAAATCTGGCTTCGGCAAGCTATCAGGAAGTTTACTGGCAAAATTTAAAAGACCTGATTTTGGGTCAGTGTAGTCCCTATAGGGGAGTGCAGCGAGAAATTCAATTCCATGCCTGGGTAATCGCTCTTCGAAAGAGGTCGATGAAGGCCAATCTTTTAATTTCAACATTTCTGGCCAATTATTTTTATGCATTCGACCCTCTAGGTAGCCTTTAAAAAATTGGTGAATATTAATCTCAACCTGTGTAACAGAGCCATGTCAATAAAATAAATTGTCATAGTAGTTGATGAAATTCTTTGAAATGATTTACTTGTATAACTTACCCCACACCAATCGAAGCAATCAATGGCCTTCACACTTCGTGTTTCCTCTTTGAACTTCACTTTGGAACCTGTTTCTCTAAGAGCCCTCCACATAACCATCGGTTCCCAACTAAGACCAGATGTGTTATCCAGAATATTTCTCACAACAATGGGTTCTCCCCTTATCCAGTGCCTCTGGAAATGCTCAATCTCATCATCAGATATGTCAAGGGCATTTGGACAATATAAGAAATTATCATTACTATCATCCCGGTATGCTGCCCTCCGGACTTCAGGATTGATTTTTCCTTCAACCAAATTTGGCCGGCATAAAGAACATCTTTCAGTAATATCCTCATCCAGTGGCGCGCAGTCTCTAGTGAGATCCTCAGCATTATTTAGCAATTTTGCTACCCAATTAGCTTTGAAAGTGCGTCTCAGTTCTAGTATTCCAGTACCACAACCTCCACGCTGCTTTGGAGGACATGGAATATTGCCATCACTATTAGCTTTCCATTCAGGGAAGGGAGATAAGTCATCAGTTTGAGAATCAAAACTAGTAGGTGCAAGTTGGCTCTCCCACCCATATCTCTTACGATGTGTTTTACTCTTATTTCTTGTTAAATCATGAATACGAACTCTCTCTGTAAATTGTTCTTGAGATGTTTCAGCTTCTACGCCTCCAGGTTGGCAACCCTCTCTGAGCTCTTGACAGCACATGAGACAGAGATCATAAGAGCAAGTGGGGTTGGGGCAGCTACGGTAAAATCCAATTATAGATGTACTGCAATTGTCACTGCAATTTATAATGGACGCATTCAGTTCGGGACCACATAGGAGAGACACGGGACTATTAAAATGGAAATAATCCAAGTATCAAAGTGACAAAACCTTGCTGTAAAAAATTTAAAAACAAGTACAGCATCCTATTCCACAAAATCCAAGACAAACCAAAGGTAAAGAAGATGGAACCAATAGTAACAGAAATTCTAATGATTGCATTCTAATATCTGATGACGACACGCTTAGTAAATGTACCAGTACAAGCGCTCACTTTCATCTAGCTTTGTTCTTGTTACGTCAATTTCTTGTAGTTGATTACCTAACATCAGAAACAAATAAAATAAAATAAAAATGTCGAAAGTGAACTAAAATTCTAAACACTGTTTCTCATTACGTTACCCCTTATTTTGGCTTCAATCTCTAATTCAAAGCTCTGCTCCCTGTGAATGTGCCTCAGAACTGGCAGAGCTTTACATAGTAAGTACAGCAGTCGTTGTAATTTGACACTGGGATTTACTTCTGGTTGCTTTGAAAACAAGGGAAAAAGTTAAAACAAAAAAAACAGTAAGCATATAACTGATATAATGTTTAAATAATTTTCAAGTTTTAAATACAAAGGGAGACTGTAAAAAGAAAAGATGCCAGCTACCCTAAGCACTGGAACCTCCCGCAAACAAGCTTTGCAGTTGCAATTGCCCCAACAAAATGGACATACATTCTCAACTTCCTCCCAGGTTTTTCCTGGGTACCTGATTAATGTCAATTATAGTGAGTGGCTGGCAGCATTAAAATAGTCAAGGAAAAAAGCTGTTCAACGTTTATCAATATGGGAAACCAATTAATTTCTTCAAGAGTTTTTCATAGAATAATTTTCACCGTTCCTACAAATATTGAAATCAGTGAGAACAAAGCTTACCACTTCTCAAGGCATTCATAACAATAGCGTTTTGCATTGCAACTTGAGCAAAAGACAACGCCAGTCTTATCATTCCGTTGGCACTGATGACACATTAAACTTCCACTCTCCTTGGTTTTGCTGGAAAAGCCCTGGGGAGCCAGCATTATAGAAAAAGAAAAAGGTGAACATTCATCGTTAACATTAAAATCAATGATCTCTAACATCTGTTAATGCTGATGTTGTAGGAAAGATACTTAAGCAAGTGTATACAATATCATAACCGTTTAAAGGCAAACAAGAAAAGGGCAAACCCCAATACATAAAGGCCTGAAGGTCAATTATACACAGTTTTACGCTTACATTTTTTTGCAAAGAAACTATTTTCTATACTCTGAACTCAATGACCAAACCAGCCAAGGAACATCCTTATCCCTGCTTAAGGCTCGCCCAACTTTAAAGGGAAACAAGAAAAATTCTCTGAAAAATTCTCTGAAAAATGTCTCATGAAGATTTATAAAATCACAATCCCAATTCTTTTTTAGCTTCATATGGTGCATGATGACTTCAAAATTTGACTGGCCCATGATTACTTAAGCAGTAGCTGAGGCAGGCAAATAATAAAACATGTCGCTGAGGTTCAACTTAAAAACCTTTTCCTCATTCCCTCTAGCCTTTTCTCCTACATTATTATTTTTATTACAAGAAGAAGAATATACTTACAACCTAAAAGTTTTATAACCTCTTAATACCAAATATCAAATCTTAATAGTTGATTTTTGTCAATAGAACGGTTATAATTTATTGGATCACACTTATTACTTAATTATTAATTCACAATCAATTATAACCAGTCAGATTATAAGAGGTTGTAAAACTTTTAGTTGTAACTACTTCCCTCCTCTCGAAGTAGTGGATTTCTCACCAGTTGTTTGGTATCTTGAACTCCAATTTTGGCTCGTGAGTCCTTCTTGACCTGAAACACATTCATTAGTGACTTGCCACAACCACCTGCATTGTCCTGCAAAACGAATTCTCACATGTAAGGAAAAGATGATGCTACATCCACAACAGAACATAAAAAAAATTAAAAATTAAAAAATAAAAATCCCTCAACTAACTTGATCAATCACGTTCTTCTTTGTCCGCTTTTGATTTCTCGCCGAATTCCCAATCAACTCAGCCTCCGATCCACTACTGAGATCCGCGACTGTCCTCTTCTTTGCTCTCTGCTCCGCCTTGGAACCTTCGTTCTTGTGTTTCTGCCTATGATTCTTAAGCTGCGTGAGGTGCTTCTCACAGTACGATTTCCCCGGCGACGCAGCTTCGCTGCACCGCCACTTTGGGCCGGCGGAACGCTTGCACCGCCGATCGGACTCGGATTCCATCTGATAGGACGGATGGTTACAAGCTGACGGAAGATGTGAATTGTGGATTGTGGAATATGATGCATCTATATAATTAGCATTCCAACCTACAAATACCAATCCACGTGTAATTTATGATTAGGAATGATAAAAAATATATATATAATTTTTGTTGTAATGAGTTCATTGGTTAAGTTATCATTCTTCTCTTCTTTGTTTTTATTTTTATTATTTTTTATTTTTATTTTTATTTTTGGATAATACGAGGAGGGGAAGTCAGACTTTAAGGATGAATCTGTGCAAAAGTTTTGCCACGTATTTCTCTTTGATCTTTCGCCCTGACCAATGGCCACGTCTTATGGTTTTAGGTGAAAGTCTTCTGGTGGACTATTATTGGGCTCTTATCTTTCATGTTATTTGTCGATGGCCCAATATAATCTTACACCACAAATATACGAGAAAAATTTAATTCACTGTTTTACAAATATTTTTCAACACATTTTTTTATATTAGTCAAAAATTTATTTATGGAAGTCTCATTCTCAATTTAATAAGATACACGTGAAGTTTAACGAATAATAAAAATTGTATTAAAATTTAATTATGAATTTTAACACTCTTCGACTTGTAATTACTAAAAAAATCTAACAATTTAAAATTTTATTATTATTAAATATAATTTCATGTGAATTTCATTAAATATTCCAGGCCAACTGTGAGATTTCACACAATAATGAAAATATTTAAAAAATATATTAATAATTTTTCTCATAATTACACACCATAGATGCACGAAGAAATGGAATTTCGAAAGGCAATTGCAACATACAGTGAGGATAAGCAATGTCTTTTCTCTAAACATGACTGAGTTGCACAACCTATTCTCTCAATAGTAAGGTTAGAGCATAAGTCAAAAGTTGAGATTTGACTCCTATATTATCGATCATTCCAAATTTATGGATTAAAACTTAATTATCTCACTTTGAAATTAATCTTTTATCTCTCATATTTCAAGTCAAATTCAATCCAATCACCGCATTCAAGCATTCAGTTTTTAAATATTGTAGGTCTCTCATGTAAAAAAAAATGATTATGTGATTATATTATTTGATCACAAACATTCATTGTCTTATCTCATCATTAATAAGTGATTGTCATCAAAAAATGTAATCAGATAATTATTTTTTCACACACAAAAAATACAATATTATCACATGTGTAGCATATCACTAATAAATTCCAAGGCTATATCATCTAGGAACCCCCCACACCCAACATTCCCATCACATTGGGAAGCGGCAGAGTTATTATGTTGAAGAATATTTGGCTGCGAAGCTTGTTTGAAAAATTATGTTTTGATATATCCAATTCTATACGAGTGAGATTACAACATATATAAAATCAGTATTAACAAATCCGGATTAGATTGGCCAGTTCTATCGGTCAATTTGAAAATTGGACCTCCAACTCAATTGTTTGTGCATTATTTGACTCGATATGCCCATAAATTGGGTTAAACCTGTGTTGAATCGGGTGAAACTTGTGACCATTTAGTTATATAATTTTAATTTTATCACTAAATCAATACATTTCATTAGATAAAATTCTCATAGTATTATATTTATTAAATACTTATATATAAATTTAATTTGACCGGTTCAACAAATGACATTGAACCAATGACCATTAATTAATACTTTGATCGAGTCAATAACCGATTTGGGATTAATAATATTGTATAAAGTAATCTAAATGTAAAAGAATAAGTTAATAATTATAACAATCAACTCTAAATGAAAAGTATTAAAATTGATTCTATTTAATTCTCAATACTAAGGAATTTAATATATCTCCTAAAATACACAAAATTTAGAATTGGGAAAAATATAATAAATGAGCTTTACCTTGTAACCATTTGATTATTGTTACAATTAAATTTGCTGCCGGGATGAATTGTTGGCCATGAATCTCGAATTATTCCACTTCATGCCTAGAACAACACCTGATAGCCCATTTATTAGGGGTGTTCGCGGTCTGGATTGAATCGATTTTGGAAGCAAAAATTATCCGATCCAATTCCTTCGGTTTGATCATATAATCATCCATTCGATTTTGATTTTTTTTCAAATCCGATCCGATCCAATCCAATTTTTTTCGGTTTGGATTGGATTGGTTTTCGGTTTTTTGAAAATGCTAAAATTTATTTCATGATTATTGTGTAAATAACATCTTTTATATATATTGGCTTTGTAATTTTTTTTTTTTGAAATACAAAGGCATTAGTAAACTATAATATAATTTTTTTAATTTTGACAATGAGATATGAAGCTCTACAAAGATAAAATTGTGTTGATGAGATATGACTAGATTTTTTCTTGGGTTTAGTTGATGGGTTAATGGGTCTTGGGTTTAGAAATTTTTAAGCTAGGATTAAGAAAATATCCAAGTAGGTAGAGGAAAATTAATATATTAGATTGGTTTGAATTTGATCGGTTTTCATCAACTCATCCAAAAACCGATTCAATCCAATTAAAATTTGCAATTTTTAATCGGTTTTCGATTTTCGATTTATTCGGTTATCGGTTTTTCGATTTTTCGGTTCGGTCATCGCGGTTTGAATCGGTTTGAATCGATGGATGGACACCCCTACCATTTATTACACCAATCCGACACAATATGCAAAGCAACAATTATATTATTATGAAGCCAAATTTGTATATGATTGATTCCACCACATGATAATAACGGTATCAACTCAGATTTCCTTAGAAGATACCATTAGTTATTCCTCCACTCCTAACTTTTGTTTATTAGACTTGTTAAATTATTGGATCTGAATTAATTATTTATATGATTTGCAAAACATGGTTTAACAACAGTAATTAAGGGCTGATCCAACCTCTTGAATGCGAATATCTGAAGGATTTAAAAAGTTTACTGGCGCCCAATTTTAACCGAAGCCGTACACGGTCTAGAGGTCAGAACGTTGGCCTCAAACATCAGAAACCCGAGTTCAAATCTCGGGGGAACCTTATTATTCATCTTAATTTAAGACCCAGAGAACCAAACTCGAATGAAAATCGAAGAAAATGAAAGTTTTTGGTTTCCCCCTCCCTAGACATTGTTTTTATTTGTGTGTCCCGTAAGGGAAAAACTCTAGCTAGTTTTTTTTTTTTTTTTTTTTTTTTTTTTTGATTTTCTGCAATGGAAGCTGAAACTCAACGGAAAATCGAGGAGATGGTGATGGATATACTGAAGAAATCCAATATGGAGGAAACCACTGAGTTCAGCATCCGAGTCGCTGCCTCAGAGCGCCTCGGCATCGATCTCTCGTCCCCGGAGTGTAAGCAACTTGTCAGAACCGTCGTAGAGTCTTATCTTGTCACCGTCGCTGCCGAAGGGAAACCACCGGAAGAATCCAGAGAATTGATGAAACCGACTAAGAAAAAGGAGGACACGGAAATGCCTCAAGAATCCAGAGAAGTGGTCAAACACAATAAGGAGGACTCGTACCGTGTTATTTGCCAGGTGAATTTTTTCTCCCTAGAAGATTTTTGCTTCCTTCAAATTATTCAATTGGGAACGTGATTAGTATTATGACCTTAAGAGCACCGTTTCTGACGATGAATAATCTAAAACCCCTAAATTTTTCGTTTTGTTTACACAAGAAATTCTCTCGGAAAAAAGGTGACAACTTTGGCTTTGTCATAATTTGTTGTGTTCACTGGTTTAGTTGTATGTTAGTGGTTGGCAGGAAGTATGTAGGGTAAAGTAAGACGGCCAATACTTTGGATTTAACCCTTATTAAGGTTTATTCGTGGAGGGAAAACTTTAACTTTATTATTTGTAGTATTTAGATTTATTTATTTATTGTTTTAGCTTTGAAAGTTTTGCTGCAAGCCTGCAAGTAGCTTCACTGCCATTAGAATTAAGAAATTGAAAGCTGGGCTCTAAGGTCTAAGGCTGTGTAATGTTTCACTGAATTGATGTAGAGAACAGTTTCGATTTGTAAACCACAGTCATTTATATTTTTAAATTTTCAAATAATATATATTACTTTCCTAGTCAGTAATCTTAGTGGATGACTGGATGTTGCTTGCTTGATGTAGCTGTCAAACAGGAGGAATGTGGTGGTACAAAATTTCAAAGGGACAACGTTGGTGTCAATTAGGGAGTTCTATAATAAAGATGGGAAACAGCTTCCCGGCTCTAAAGGTAATCACTTCATGTGTAGTTGTACATGCTTGCTTTGCTGTTACAGATCCATTTGCTTGCATTAGTTCCTGCTTTGGTGTAGTGCTTTCTTATACTGTAAATGCAGCTGGAATTTGCTCACAAGTACTATAACTCTGGCCATTGTCTTATGCTTCATCTATTTATTAAGTACTTAGTTCACATAACACTCATTAATGAGTATTTTTTAAGGCTTATATATAACTTAGAATGTTCTTAGTTAAGTAACATTCTTAATTATGTTTCCGGCCATTTGCCATGCTTAGTAGTTTATGGTAAGGTAATCTTATTATAATGGAGAATCTCTTTTGTTGTTTATTGCTGGTTGCTTTATGCATAAGTTGGAGTGTTTAAGGTCCTTGATTTAGCTTTAGTATCATCACTTCTGAGATAGAATGTGTCTCTCATCATATGTTCCTGGCTCTATTTTGTTGAGAACTTGATTAATCCGAATTCTTAAACTAAACACGTCCCTTTTCTGTACTGCTGATTCTAGGGATAAGTTTATCTATTGAACAATGGTCAACCTTCAAGAAGAGTGTTCCTTCCATAGAGGAAGCCATCACAAAGATGGAAGGAAGGTTAAGGTGAGTATTCAACGTTGATTTATGAGCGATGTGGTAACATGAAAATTTCTGACTTCAGAATGATGTTCATCACCTAAGTGTCAAAATGTGGTGGTGAGGAAACTGGAAACCAAGATATGCAGAATGGAGAATTTTGTCACTATTCTTTTCTCCGCATGTTGATGGTTTACTAACTGCCAATTATATTATACTCTTTGTTGTGTTAGTTTGGAAAAATTTATGCGTTCTTCTGAATATTTACTACTAACTATTTGGCTTAAAAGAAAGCATTTTGCTAGGTATTTAGTTATGCATAAGTGCATGGTAAAAAGTTGCTTTTGAACAGCAGTGAAAGCATATATTCATAGACTGGTCTAACCCATAGCATGTAATCAACACTATGTAGATCAGAGCTTAATGGTAAGCAAAATGGAGATGTGACGAATTCAGTTGCTGATGTTGCTCCTGTTGAGCTTGTCCCTATTGAGATCATCCGTTTTGATGGGAAAGATTACCAATTATGGGCTCAACAGATGGAATTACTCTTTAAACAGCTAAAGATTGAATATGTGCTTACTGAATTATGCCCAAATGCTACATTAGGGGAAGATGCAACTGCTGAAGAAATTGCTGGAGCCAAGGCTACAGAAAAGAGATGGGTGAATGATAATTTAATGTGTCGTCGCAATATCTTGAGCCATTTATCTGATCATCTTTTCAATCAGTATGCAAACAGAAAAATGAGTGCTAAGGAGTTATGGGAAGAGTTAAAACTGGTTTATCTGTATGAGGAATTTGGAACCAAGAGATCTCAAGTGAAAAAGTATATTGAATTTCAGATGGTTGATGAGAGAGCAATTGTTGAGCAAATCCTGGAATTCAATAGCATTGCAGACTCTGTTGTTGCTAATGGAATGTTTATTGACGAGAACTTTCATGTTAATGTCATCATTTCAAAGCTTCCACTGTCCTGGAAGGACTTTAGCATCAAGTTAATGCGTGAGGAGTATCTACCTTTATGGAAGTTAATGGAAGGTATAAGGATAGAGGAAGAGGCTCGGAATGGTATCAAACGGGTGGGTGAACCTTCTAATAGTATAGTATTTCACCAAGTCAATAAAGGTGGACCGAGGTGGGCTGACAATAAGCCACCGGGGATGAATAGGCATAAGTCAGAAATGAATGCCAAGAGCGTAGCCTGTTATATTTGTGGCAAGAAGGGGCATCTTTCTAAAAACTGCTGGAGAAGATATGACAAGCAAGCTAATGAAAGGAAAGCAGAAGAGGATATGCGTATTCCAACAGAAGTTAATACAGCTGGGGTTATGGAGTAACTTGCACTAACAAGCTTTGTATTTTGAAGGTCTTATTCTTCAGGGTCAGAATGTAAGAAGCGTTTGGTAGAGGGGTAGGTTTTTCCCTTAGTAAGGTGTATCCCTGGCAAGACCTGCGCCAGGGCATAACCATTATACATTTTCCACTTAGGCAGGGTATGATTTTTATTTATTTATCTATTTTTGGGATGCACGGTATGGCCCTTGTATACCTCTAGGTGTTTCTGAATTACAGAGATTTATCAGTTTTTTTTTTTTTTTTTTGTGATTAAATGTCCATATCATTGATGAATTTAATTTGTGATATCAAGCTATTCTCTGATTGATTTCTAAACTTGCAATTGATGTAAAATGGCGTCGCAAAGCAACTGTGCGTAGGCCATGCTTATCAATATCAGCTTAATTGATAGCAGAAACTCAACTGAGCTGCACTATCAAGTAAAACAGTTGGAAGGATGTTACGACAATTGGAAGTGATATATTTGAAAATGTTTACAGAACAAATTCAGGACTTAATAGAAATTTGATAGTTTAAAAGAAACATATATGTATAATTAAAAGTGGGGGAGTCTAAGCTAGTCATACTGTAAATTAACTCCATGTAAACTTATAACGATATTGGTCAGTCGAAGAGATGTTGGGTTTAATAATACTAGGTTGGGTCTATTCTTGTTGGAATTTGGGATGAATCTGCAACAAGATGGTCTTTACCACAGGATGGTTGTGCTGGTGTTAAATAGCTTTGCTTGGCTTGGACAAATGAGAAAAATACCTACAAGACACTCTAATGCTCAAGTTAGATTTTATATAAGTAGATTTAAGTATACCTTAGCATTGAGTCCTCTTTATAAAGTGATGGCATGACTTGTTCACCTTAGTGTGGCGACATTCAATCTCATTGAAGGGTTCAAGTGGCTTCTACAGTCTATCTTGTTTATAAGATGGCCTCTTAGGCCTAGCTAGAATCACATGTTTATCCTTCAGTCATTGGCTGTTGAGGAGACTTAGGAACTCTAAACTGTTATTAATCCAGTTGTGTGCTGGCGGGACAACATATATGCCGAATAAACATATTTTCTTACTCCTTAAGCCTTCTTTATTTGGCACGTTGGGTTGTAAAATTGGTTGGACGCTTGATCCTCCTTAATATAGGTGCAGATCAATAGTATTTTTAAAATCGTATTTTAACATAAAAAGTTGCTTTTGTGCATGTGGATAGATTTATAGCATCGGTCTACGGTTGAAGATGGAGCAAACCTTAAAGAATAGATATGAAATTGCCAAATTTGATGTTTTCAAGTCAACCAGCAAAAGCATGCTAATAATATAGTGGAAGGTACCATTTATATTATGCCTTAAGGTTTACATTCTAATTAAAATGACCTTTTAGTGCAAGTTGGATGTTATTTCAAGAATATTGGATGTGAAATTTTAATTCATTTTGTGCACTATTGTGATTAGAGGTCCAGTCCTGCCTCGAGCTAATTAGGTCAAATTAGAGTCATGAAAATCAAATGCAATTATTTTTAAAATTGGTTTCGGGACATAATTCAGCCTTTCAAGTAGGCCAGACTCAGCCTGATGTTTGATAATATTTATAAACAATTTAAAAAAAATAGTAATAAATTCTAAGATTTCTTTATTTGAATTGGGGTTTAAATTCAAATTGGTTATCTAATTATCTTGTTGATAGTTCTGTTTTGCTATTATAAAGATTGGATTTTATAAGAGTTATATTGTAGGAAAAGTGAGTATGTTATGTTATAGAAATTCGTTTTGCGTGCCGAAGTTTTTTTTTTTTTGCTGCGGACCCCACAAAATGTTGTGTGTAGGAAATATTTTGTGGTCATGTTAAATGATAGATGATAAACCCATAAAGATTATAGGAGATCTTTAATAGGCGGTTAGTTTGTTATGTTTTAAGGATAGTGCTGTTATTGTAAATATATATTAGAGTTCGCTTTTTCTACCGTCAATGTAAATAACTTATCTAAATTGAGTTCAAAATGACGTTATTTTGAAGCAGAAATCAAGATATTTTTGTAATTATAATTTATTTCAAAATTATAAGAGTCTTTTTCATTATAATTTTTTAATTTTTCAACCTAAAACGTCATCGTTTTGAGAGCGAATGTAAATAACTTATCTACATTAAAATCTATATATTATACGAAAATCTTTAGTAGGCTATTAGTTAGTTTCCTAGGTTTTGTTACTGAAGTACAGCTGCTAATTGAAGTCGATCATTTTTTATGTATATATACAGATCTCGGTTGAGGGAGAAAAATAATGGGGAATTACTGTAACTTATGTTCCATATTTTTTACAGTAAGTGAAGCCCCACATATGTTGTTGCATATCTATAATTTATCACAGAACATGTTGGTATTGAAGGATAAGAGGGAAGAGATCATAAATAAGAAGTCAGATGCTCATTTGCAAGGAAGTAGCAATACCTGGCAAGTTACAGCATTCAAACAGAGAAGCAAAATAATAGCCTGTTTGAAATCTGTTTCGAAAAGCAGTTTTCTGATTTTCAAAACAAAAAACTCATTTGATAGGCCTGTTTTGTTAAACACAATAATTAAAAATTGTAACTTTTTTTTTTTTTTTAGAATCAAATTTAAAGAACATATTTGAGTTGTTTTTGTTTTGTGTTTTAACTTTTAACTTTCAAAACAAAAAAACATAGACACTAATTTCATTAACTATTCTACAAAACAATTTTAAGAACAAAAAAAACCAGAACACAATCAAACACACCCATATCCAAGTTTTCTCATGATTGAAATCAGTAATCTAATATTTCAAGACAGAACCATAGCTAGGCGTTTCGGTTACAGCATGAAGGTTATCACATGTCTATTTCTGCATACCTTTATAGATTCTTTTGGACATTCCCTCTTGAGCTATGTCAGCAAAATTAACTGCTAATGCACACAATTTGATGTGGTAAGTTGTTACCATGTCATGCCAACCAATTTTCAGTAAATAACTTTCTAGGGTTGGCTTGTGAAGTTGCCCTTTCTATAATCCAATAATTGCTGCTCTCTATGTATATCTGCAGCAAGTTTGGAGCTTTCCCATTTCAGCTTCCTCACCATATCTTCAGCTTCAATATAGTTTGGAGGTACATCAGATTCTCCGGAAATTAGAGGAAACTTCACTTCTACAACTTTCCTACAGCCAGAGAAGAGTGTTGTGAGAAGTTTCATTGATAATAAGACAAAAATTTATAAATAAATTATAAGTTAGTCCTATCTATGATTACAGTAGTATATTTAGATGAAAGAAAAAGAAAGCAAACAATGCTTTAACTTAGAAAAAAAAATAGCCATAACACAAGTTGTCAAACGGGGAGAAAAAAGAAGTCTGAATAAAATCAATTCTAACTGCTATTTATTAGGGATTTCTTCCAGTAATCTAATTTTTCATGAGTACCAATAGTGAAATTGCCAAACATTTATAGCTCGTAGGCTATATTGAATGGAATTTAGAACATTTCATATGGAACCAACATTAAATAAAAATTTGACACCTCAGCATAGGTATGATACTCATAAGGGTATTATGTTAGGATTGAGTAGTTTAGACTGAGAAAAGGGAAGGGGAAAGGAAAATTTTCATTTTCAGTAAACATTCTCTTTATTTGACAGTTATTATAATTTATAAAATGAAAGATTAGTACGTAAACTCCCAATCACACCTAATTCTTTTAAGATGAAGGTTATAGTTACAACCTTTTTTTTTACAACCTCTTACAACCATATCTTAACACCGTTGATTTCCGCCAATCAACGGTTATGATTTTCGTAAATTAAAATCATTAATTAATTATTAATTCACAATAAATGATAACCGTTGATTGGTGAAAATCAACGATGTTAAGATATGGTTGTAAGAGGTTGTAAAAAAAACAAGTTGTAACTATAACCTACCTCTTTTTTTTTAAATAATATATATATATACATTTAAATTTTTAAATGAAAAAAATAACTCTCTCCTCCTTCCCCTTCCAAATTCCTGCATCCGGTACCATAACAATTTCCTACCTAAAAGTATTTCAATTACCTATCCACTAACAGGCATATCACGGCAATGCATGAAACATTTTCATTTTTCAATATGTAGAACATATTTATATACCCGAGTAATGCAGACATGTGGGCTTTTCTTTATGTCTAATTGGGAGATACTAATGAATTGGATCAATGAAACAACTTTTTATGAGATTACTGAAATGAGCAAAACTAAACAACAGAATAATTTATCTCTCAAAATTTATAAACAAAACTAAAAATACTAGCCATCATAAAAGGGGTAATAAAAGGAAAGAATCATATAAATCGAACATACATTAAAAAGGTGAAGGTTAATTTTTCACTGACCTACTACCAAGAGCAAACATACCACATTTTCTAATCATCCCACCATCTAATGACAAGGCTCCATCATTAATGCATGGGAGAGAAAGCAGCATGTCATTCCGCGTTTTATATAATTGTAGGCGAGAAAAAAGGCCATAAAACAGTGTCTCTCTAAGCCCGTGACCACTGGCAGTAAGAAAGGAAAAATTGTTTGAATCCAAATGGATCATGTTCACTGCATAATCAATAAACCCAGGTGGGCACTCCCCATTAGGTAATTTTGGCTTTGGAAGAGCCAGCTTCTTTTGTGGATCATTGGGTATAAAACCTCCGACAAATGGTCTGAAAAAAAAAACAGGTACAGTAGTGCTTTTAAAATTATAAGCAAAGAGCTTCAGCTTCTTTACAAATTATAAGTGTGTACAATTGGATCCAATGATGTGAGTTTTTCTCATATCTTAAAAAGAAAGTGATAGACCGAATGACCCTGCACAGGGCCCCAAGAATTTAGTCCTAGATAGTGTCTCTTTGTATATATCTCTCTGCATGAACATATCGTGTGACAAACTCACATAAGAGGAGCCAAATTCATATATATTGCCTTATGAGTTCAAACTTGCCTTAAGTCTTCAAGACATATGACAATAAATCGGCCATTTATTCTCCTTCCGATTGAAGATCCAATTCCATGCAAACCATCATTACAGTTTATCATGCCTTCAGTATTGTACTTCTCGAGTGCATTAACACCTTCATATGTACTGCAAACAATTGCAAGCATTGTCTCCAGGCCCAAATACTCAGAAAGGATCCTACATTTAGAAAAAAATTCCCAGTTTTTTTAAATCAATAATAAAAAATAGTAGCTTCTTTCTTGGTCACTATGCTAGTAAGAAAGACAACGGGAAAATGGGAGTATGCTAGTCAAGTTTAAAGATTCAGACAAGTAATAATGTGCTTGGAAACTTCAAAGATTATGTTACATGAATGGCCTCAAATATGTCTTTTAACGATTGTATTAAAAGAACTATTAGATTCTGATAGGATCTGGAAAAATGCATCAGAGATAGCGCACAAACACCAAGGAAATGGCCCAGAATCAATCTGGATTTTCTGTATTTTGAACTAAAAAAGACAATTACAATGAATACAAAAAACAGCGATGGAACAGTAGAAAATTACAATGGAAAAAGAAGAAAAAACAAAAGATAATTTCAGAGCAAGTAGAGAATGCTATGATTCTCTCCCAATCTGGTTTCCCAGCCCAAGTCCCAAGTTCTAATCTCAATCCTTCTCCACACAACTCCACCCCTTTTATTTCTTCTAAAAACCTTGCCACCTCAGCAATTCTTCTAGAATATACTAACTAACAAACTTGTCATACTCTAATAATCCCCTACTACCCAACTTACATATATCTACATATACTTACATGACTATATTCCTATCAATACTGCCCCCCTTAAACACTCACCTTGCCCTCAAGGTGAGGTACCCTTAAGTACCTTCCACCGGGATCCCATTGCTTGAATTGTAGAGATCCACATGAGCTCAAAGTAAGATGTTGTCCACCAGGATCCCATATTTGTCCAACTTGAATGGCTTTTACCACAACAAACAGGAATAAATTTAGCCCAAGCAAGGGCCTCGAAATGTTTGTCAGCAACTGTTGGTAGTGCCTCTTACTTAATCCAAGTAAGGAATTCTCAGATTTGTCAAGAAATAACTCGTTGGGTGTAAGGTTTGATTGTGACTGCAGCCCCACTTTCTTTTGAGAATCCTCAGTGATGACTTGTTCCAATTTTTCTTCATATATTGAAGACATTGAATGAAGTTTCAAAGGAAAAGAACGAGAATCTTTTTCTCTTAATGTGAAAGATGTTAGACTAGAATGATTAACATACTGAGAAGGCCACCCTTCAGAGAGAGTATTTTGCATCCACCTTGTCTCAGAAGAGTCAGAAAAATACTGTTCAAAATCTTCTGTTGCTAAAATGTTGGTTGTCTCAGAATATGATTCAGCCCCATTATACAAATCCACTTGAGGAGCACTACCCAAAGTAATTGACGAAAATCTCTTACAAATCAAGGAAATGTCCAAATCACCTAATGCATCTTTAAGACTCATTTCAGATTTCATTTCCTCACTGCCATTTCCAATTAAGTCAGGAAGGTTGTAATCCATAAGGACAAATACCTTGCATCGAAGACTTGGGTTGAGTTGTGGGATCGCCACTGCCGTATGTCTTTGTTGCTCCCTCTTCTTCGACGATCTTCAGGAGGTTGAGTGTTGGGATCATACAGAAATGGTTTTGACACGCACGCTCCACACCCTCGATTATGTTCGATCTCTCATCCTGCAGTGTTTTGTGATCATGGCCTTCGTCTGCTTCAGATCTGTATTCCGATTCAGAGGAATCTAGATTTCTCTTGCGAGAACAACCACTACGATGGTGCTTGTCTTTGTTTCGTCTACCTGCCCTTCCTTGTCGCCGTTGAAGGACCTGCAAGATTTCTGTCAATTTCTGATCAATTATGCGACTCCTCACTTCTGCAATTTCTTCATCCCTCCTCATCCTCTCTTCTATGATCTCAAATCAGTTGTCCATGTTGTGCATAAGAACCCGTTCAAAGCACCCCTAAGATCGGAGTGCTCTGATACCAATTGATAGGATCTGGAAAAATGTATCAGAGATAGCGCACAAACACCAAGGAAATGGCCCAGAATCAATCTGGATTTTCTGTATTTTGAACTAAAAAAGACAATTACAATGAATACAAAAAACAGCAATGGAACAGTAGAAAATTACAATCGAAGAAGAAAAAACAAAAGATAATTTCAGAGCAAGTAGAGAATGCTATGATTCTCTCCCAATCTGGTTTCCCAGCCCAAGTCCCAAGTTCTAATCTCAATCCTTCTCCACACAACTCCACCCCTTTTATTTCTTCTAAAAACCTTGCCACCTCAGCAATTCTTCTAGAATATACTAACTAACAAACTTGTCATACTCTAATAATCCCCTACTACCCAACTTACATATATCTACATATACTTACATGACTATATTCCTATCAGATTCATACTCAAAAATCTGGAAAATTATATGAGATCACAAGAGATATTGACGGCTGCAAGATTGGAACCAAATGACCAGAAGGGTGTTAAAGATTGAAAATAAATAAATAAATAAAATTGATATTGACCTGCTAAGATCATCATTCTCAACCCTGGCAAGGGTTGCCACAATTCCCACAGCATCCTTTGCAAATGCCAAATTTGATATCTGAGCATTAGCTTTTAGCCAACAAAATATGCCAGCAGCAGAGTTCTCTTTCTTCAATATCTGTTCCACTGTTTCCTCCTCTGTATGAAAGGCACCATTTCCATTCTCTGACATAATTACATTAGCTGAATGGTACCTTCCAAGACTCACTAAAAACTTCATCAGCCAAAAAATGTTGGAGAAACTTGCAAAGGAAATGCTTAATTAAAGCAGTTCACTCAACTAATGAGTAAAGATATGCTGTTGTACTAGTTTGCCTAGTTAATCTTAATTTAATTACTCCCCTTATATTCCCCACCCACACTCCCAAAAAATTAATTAAATAAATTCCGTCACTGGTGACAAAACAAGAAGAAAAAAAAGGATTGATTTGTGAGCATACCTTGTAAGTCAAGTATTGATTCAGCAAAGCGATTTGATAGAGAATTAAGAAACTTTATGTTATCTTCATGCTGCTTGATCTTATTCTTAAAGCTCTCTCTATTACCATCATTTAGATTCAGCTGAAAAAGGACAAACAACAAAAGTTCCAAAGTTCTGTAGGACTAAATTAATGATGTGGAAGAAATAACTTGAACAAAAAGTTGGTGCACGTTACAATATTTAAGTTCTGAATAACATCAAGTTATGAACAACATGTAATTCAACCAATACAAGGTTCTAAAAAGAACACCTCCAGTTATGGGTGCATTCAGTGGAGGAGCCAAGATTTCATTTTAGCTGGGGCCAAAAAATTTGACACATCAAATTATCAAAATATTTATCGTAATTACACAAATCTATTAGAAAAAAAATTTACCATGAATTCTAGCATACTTATCTAAAAAGCCATCGAGATGCTGCAAAATTTCATAATTTATCAAGAGAGAGTGTATAAAGTCATAAAGACGATTCAAATATTTAAGGAAACATGAAAGACCAAAACACTCAAAGGCACTCCACTCTAACAAGCATATCTTCACAAAGTAAAATCAATCACAGGGAAAACTAGAAAAATTTCAGAATAAAAAAGCACCAATTTAAGAGCAAATACCATTAGGGTTTCTAATTTTGAGAGAACAGCAAACAAATACGAAGACACTGTTAGGGTTTCCAACTCCACTCAGAGTGTATTAGGCTATTAGTTTAGAGAGAGAGCAGAGATGGGGCCAAATTTTAACTTTAGATGGGGCCAAATTTTAACTTTAGAATATATAATAATAATTTTTTAAAATAATCAGCAGGGCCCAGGCCCCATCTAGCAACAATGTGGCTAGGCCACTGGGTGCATTAAAAAGTACTGAATCACATAACAAAATGTAGGTCCTGGAACATATCAGTTTTGGTCCGTAATATACTGACCGAGAAAATTGTTTGTCATTTTAAATGACACAACTTTGTGTCATTTCAAGTGAAACCACCGTGTGTTGGTGCATATTCTTTGTTTTTTTATAATTTCTCCTCCACAATACTATCTATTTCTCGAGTAAATACAATGTAAAAGGCCAACAAATACCGTTTCGAAACAAAATTATGTCCTTTGAAATTATAAATGTTTTTCCCTATACTGTAAATATGTTATTCGACTGAAGAATGTTAGAAAGATTCCTAGTCATGTTCAGAAGAAGAGACACATATCCTTAACTGCAAACCGACATGCAATCTTTAATCAAAATGAATGTAGACTCCAAAATCTTGCTTTCAAGTATGTGAATCAATAAATTAAAGAGTCCATGTCCCCTAAAGTTATAATTAGTCACATCCTTCATTCTCAAATACTGAACTTAAAGTTGAGTTTCAGATGCAGGGGTTTGGTGCATGTAAAAAAGGTTATAGATTTAGCTATAAAATGGGTTACGGCTTGATCCATGTAAAGATTTTAATTAATTTGTAAAAAAATAAAAAGTGTTAAGATATAGAACTCAATAAAGAAGGGCAATAGAAGAAACCTCACCTGGCGATTAGGTTGAGACATGTATTGTGAACCAGAGAGACGCGATGATGACTCTCACACTTTCCTTCTCTTTCTTTCTCTGTTTTCAAAATCTAAAGATGCAAAATTCCCAAACTTGCTCTTACTTGTAACAATCTTTTCTATTTCTTAATCCTAACACACCATTGCACCGCAGTGGTAGTTCCGTAATTTCGTTCAACTTCTCCGACATTACAAGAAGTCCAACACTAACACAACGCAATTGTATCTTCTCGTGTGCTAATTAACACGATCATATTATGTGACTCAATCATGCTCAATACATAAATGAGTTAACGATGATAAAGAAAAATAAAATATAAATATAAAAAATTATACAATTATCACTGTTGATTTAATTATTAATGATTAAGATAGTCAGTCCACTTTACCTTACTTCGCCTACTTTAAAATTTAAATTATAAATTAGCTCACATATTTATGTCAAAATATTGGATACCTATGATATCCGCATCTAATATTTCAATACCTAATAGCAATGCATGTTTTAAAAGTAAAATTTTCAATTTTGGTTTGGTTATGTGAAATGAATCTAGTCTTGCTTTAATTTTTAAGAATAAAGTTAAATGAACAACTCTAATAAACATAAAAAATGACAACTAATATTCAATCAATAATTTTATGAAAATATTAAATATTTTCTGTAGAACTACTTGCAGTATCTTTAAATGTAAAAAAATTAGTAATATAAAAAATGTATGTAATTGTGCTATATTATTATATATCCACCATTGCTTCAAGATGAAATTAAAATTTCTTTCTTTTTTCTAAAAAACAAGACTCTCCTGCGATCATATTATTTTATTTTATTTCATTGCTAAAAAAAATCTACACTATCACCTTCAAAGAAGCGAAAGTTTATGGGCTTGGGCTTCTTCATCAAATTTAATCCTGAAAAGGTATAGTTGTATTGAGTCAGGCTTGATTTGGAGCAATCTAGGACATGGCTTTGGTTCCGTGTATATGGATTCCAGATTTTATCATTGGGGCAGCAATAAAAATAGATCTGAATGGGGTATTATTTATGAATTTGTCATCACAAAATCATATTCCAATATTCCATTATTTTTTCTTACATTATATTGAGCAGTGTTCAGTTGAAGAGCCTTTTATTAGATTTAATAATAACATGAGGATGAAACTCAATAAGCAATACTCATCAAAGAAGTCATAGATTCAAGTGCGAATTGGATCCTCCTCAGTTCAAAAGGAAACTGCATGATATCTAGTTTTTAATTCAACGATTCATATTTATTGAGTTATGTTCAATTTTTATTTAAAACTATCAATAAATCATTCACCATATCTGTGATCATGTTATTATTCTCACCGCCGAATTTATTGAGAAAATTTATCAACGTTTTAGGTCCATGCTTGTGGGAAAACAATTTTTTGAAATTCTGCAAAAATTAAGGGCTATTTGTCAAACTCGAAGCACCAGATAATTAGATATACTAGGACCAGAGGACCAGTTTTTAAATCTTAAGTATTTGATAAGAACTAAAAAATTACTTTAAGTTTGGACGCTTAAATTGCTTTTTAACTCGAAAATTAAGTTCATGCTTACTAAAGGTAACCGGGGTTAGTACGGTTGTAAAAATAATAATTCTTACATTAAATTTTAATCGTTGATTTCTCTCTATTTAACGGTTATAATTTATTGATAATTAATAATTAATTATTAACTATGATCCAATAAATTATAACTGTTATTAAGATTTGGTATAAGATTTATAATTCTTACACTTGTAAAAGTTGATCTTGCATATATATATATATAGAGAGAGAGAGAGAAAATGTTTCTCAAGCAGCTTGAGATATATTTATCTCTGTCCATCCAAAAACTACATCGTTTTGTTTATTTATTTACTAATATTAATTGATTCACCTTTGAATGGTTATGATTTTTTTTTCTCTCTTTTCCTTCATTACCATTATTCTATCTTTATACGATTATGATTTAGTAGATAAAGTTATCTCAAGCAACTTGAGAAACGATAACCCTATATATATAGGATTTCATTTTTCTACTGTTAGTCTGTTGCAAGAGAGATTATCTGTAGCAAAAAAAAAACTATCTACTCCGGGTAGTACATAGTTGTAATCGAAAAATTAATTTTTCTCTCTTCGTCACGTTAGACGACAATTATGAGGAGAGAGAAAAAATTTGCAGCTTTAAAAATATAAATATATACTCCCGGTAGTACACTGTTATATTTTTAAAGCGTGAGATAAATCTCTTCCCCCAAAAGAAAAAATGATTCCCTATGTATATATTGCCAACACATCTATCTTTCTTTTCCTACACACACATACATATATATATTGAGAAATTATACTCTTATGTTATATGAGATTGATCTCTCATATTGCACATCGAAAAATGTGTCTATATATCTTTTTTTTCTTTTTCTTTTTCTTTTTAAATTGATAAGTCCTACCTCATTTGTCACTCAATGTCACAGAATTTTTCTCTAATTTTTATTTTTTTTGGTGAGGAACACATCTGCCTTTTTAATTATTCGTAGATCTAGAGAGACAGAGAGAGAACGGATAAAGGAAACGAATTGGTGGGTTAGGTCACTTAGGTGCTCATCATTCACCCGCACCGCCATGTCGTAAGCGTTAGCCCTAAAAATAGTGAAAAATAAGAAAAACATGCGAGAGTTTATTCCTCATTCAACTCATGATAATTTGTATGGTGTTGTGGACCATTCGAGCTCTAATCGGAGTCTCTAGACCAGTGGGAGGCATGCACTCACCTTTCAATTGGTACCAAATATACGACCAAAATGAATGTGATTCCCTAATGTGAGGTTTTTTCAGTACCTTATCAGGTCAATCATGTCCAATTCTATCCTCATATAGAAATGATTAGTTCTTGATATTTTTATTTTTTGTTGGCCTTAATGTCGATATGCATGCACCATCACACACACACACACACATTACAAATAAGGACATATATTATAAATTATTGACCAATGACCGCTGCCACACATGGCATGCTTGGTAGTCGTGTTTTGCTAGACAAACAAACCCCACATCCCATCCTTAGAATTGATCCGTCGCTCCTCCAAAGGGAAAGACACTGGATGGATGCTTTAAACATTTGAATTTAGGATTTTCATCCAGACAATCCTAAGTGGAATAAAGGGCACCTAGGTGCGAGTTATGGGCATCGGAAGTTAAAGACCCCAAAGATACACCATGTTCAGTGTTGTGCTTTTCAGTTATTTAAGGTTACTTTTCGTATAAATAATATACACGTTTGAACTCATGTCCTTGTCCTCAGGACCAACTATAATTTTCATGCTAAACATTGATAGTATAACTACAAGAAGTTTTAATTATAATAATAGTACAGCACTTGTTCTTACAAAATAAAAGAAAAATTTAAATTAAATAATTATCAGTGGACTCCTTAGTTGCATATGTCAAACATAGTACATGGTACTCTCTCTAAATCATTTTTGAAATTTATTAGAGTCCTACTTATGTAGATATTATTTGAAATGATATCACGTATATATGTAAATAATGTAATGTACCAAAAAAAAAAAAAAAAAACACGTAGAATTGGTATTTCACTACAGAAAATCACGTTGGAATTGCCGTGACGACGTGAAAGTTTTAGGAAGAACCGAAACACGTTGGCACATTTCTCAGAGCACGTTTGGCCCTTAAACGTGGTTCACATCTCGCAGAGACAAATGCCTGTCCTAATAAACATTATGTGGTCAATATGGCTCTAGACTCGTTCTGTGTGATGTTGATGAAATAATATTATTCACACACATTTAGACATATATTAATTTATGAGAATAATATTTCTTATATATAGGAGTCATGCGAGAAAAAGAGAAAAAAAAAATAAGTATGAATCTCACGTACTTTTATGTATATGTAGAAAAAAAAATTATTTCTATAACATAAGAAACATTATTCTCATAATATATATAGAGGAAAGTTATACTTATAACCTTTTTTTTTTACAACCTCTTACAACCATATATCATAACCGTTGATTTCTGTCAATCAACTGTTGTCATTTATTATGAATTAATAATTAATTAATGAGTTTAATTTGCGAAAATCATAACCGTTGATTGGCGGAAATCAACGGTTATGATATATGGTTGTAAGAGGTTGTAAAAAAAAAATTGTAACTATAATCTCTCCCATATATATATATATATGTGTGTGTGTTTTTTATCATTTAATTATAAATTATATGTGTCATTACACCTGCACTTTATTGCCTATGCCTAATGTGAGGTAATTCTAATTCACAAATTGTGCGGTAAACATGGTAGATGCAGATAACTGGCTCGATACATCTTATTAATAATTATTATCCCACCAATTTGCTGGGCCAGCCATGCCATCCCAGCTATCTAAGTGACAAGCCATTAGGGAGACTGAGTGGGTCAGCCCTCGCATAGAAATATTATGAAATGAAAATTAATAGGTTAAACATCAAAGCATGCGAAGGAGTGCCACTTAACCCCTAATCTATCTATATATATATATATATATATATATATTGCTGGTTAGCACACCTAACTCATCACTTGTGAAGGGTTAGATTGGGTTGAATATTTGGTGGCTAGGCCAGACCATTTAATGGCAATGAAAGGCAGATTGATTCATTTGACAATTATATCGACACCCATCCAAGGACATAAATTATGATTTAATGATTCATGTACTAAACTCAAATATTCGAAACTTTTAGGATGTGCTAACAAAATCAACAATCAAACTCTACATATTTAAAAAAAAAAAAAAAAAAAAAAAAATAGACATGCTTATTATATCCTATACAATTGAATTGACTATTGATTTAATTCGCTCTACGTTTCAGTCTAGTATTATTCAAGTTCAAATTCTCCCAACTAAATAAGGGTCATTGCTTAAAAATATGTATAAACAATACAAGAAGCAAAAGCAAAAAGAAATATCATCTGATACAGAGTAAGGATGTTCGCGGTCTGGATTGGATCGATTTTGGAAGTAAATATCATATGATTCAATTCCTTCGGTTGAATCATGTAATCATCCATTCAGTTTGAATTTCTTTTTAGATCCGATCCGATCCAATTTTATTCGATTTAGATTGGATCGGTTTTCGATTTTTTGAAAAGCCTAAGATTTGTATGCTAAATATTTGGCAAATAACATATCTTTTATATGTATCGGCTTTGTAAAGTTTGTATGATGATTATTGTGCAATCTAGAAGCATTGCAATAAAAAATTAAATTATCATCTTTTACTTTCAACAAAAAATTTATAATATGGTTGCCTGAGATATGAAGTAACCCAAATTTTCATTCTATAGAGGAGCTGTTGTACAATATTAACCTATGTAATAAAAATATATTATGTATCTTACCAAAAAAAAGCATAACATAGATCAAGCACAACTCACTTTCTTCTATATGATTTTTGGGCTATGATTGGGGAAAGACCTAAGTAGATAGATGGTAAGGTTGGAAAATAATTGGATCGGTTTGGATTGGATCGGTTTTTACCAATCCATCCAAAAACCGATCCAATTCAATTAAATTTTGCGGCTTTTTTGCAGTTTTTGATTTTTTGATTTTTGGTTAATTCGGTTTTCGATTTTTCGATTCGGTCGCCGTGGTTTAAATTGATTTGAATCGGTCAATGAACACATCTAATACATCTAATACATAGTACTTTTTTTAGTAAGCATCTCATGAATTATCTTTGACCAATTAATTTATTTATTTTTCATTTTCGCTAAAATTAGAGAGAGAGAGAGAAACACCTCCTCCTTGCACACTTTTGTAGCAACAAATTCGCAGACTTCGCTTACCAAACAAAAAAATAATGCAGACTTTATCATTATTCAAATACAAAAAGCATGGGACGATAGTAGCATTCAGCCGTGGTTTTTGGTTGGGAAGCAAAAAAACAAAAAACAAAAAACAGAGAAGCAAGTAGTCCACGCAAATTTGACTCGGCACGCGCTGCGGTAACAACTACAAATCTACAAATGAGGTGAGATGAGTTTTGTCACACTTTCTTTCCCAATATTCTCTTTTAATTTTTTTATTTTTTTTTTCAAGATCCTAACTTTCAATCACTTTTAAAAGGAAACACATGCACCACATGATTGTTGTCAATGCATAACTCGTTAGTTGTTCAGCACGTGAACGTTTTACACAATTCAAAATTCAAAATAGGACACGACGCGTATTCTGCAGGACCACTGAACACATTGGTAATACCTTTTTTTTTTTTTTCACAATGGTACTTGTGTTTTCATTTATTTTATTTGCCGCCTGGGAATATTAATTAAATAACAGGAGAAGTTTAACCCTTTTTTTTTGAAAAAAAAAAAAAACCCTTTAAACTAAGGTTCTTTTCTGCATGAATTAATTAAAGCTACCTCAAATCCGACATAGAAAGCAAGTAATAACACAGCAACGGTCTAGAGTTTAAGATACTTTTCTTCCTTTTCATGTGTCAAAGATTCGACCTCATTTGATTGTTGAGATAGAGAGGAGAGGCGAGGAAACAATAGCATAAAAAATAAAGCGATGCTTGTACCTGAGAATGCAATCCATTTATTATGGTCTTGCAGCTAGATGATCTGATAAAACCAAGGATCAACTATGCGGATGTGTGTTGCCCCCTTTTTTATTTGTATCCATTTTCTAACTTCCAAACAAGTGATGCAACTTTATTATTATTATTATTATTATTATTTTCCGTCTTTCTCTTTTAAGATAACACTCACCGTTCACTTCGCAAGCAGAGACAAATTATGTCCATGCTCATTCAATTGCCATTGTATCTGATTTCCCAGCACAAGACCTATGAGATTTATTTATAGTCAAAAAGTTAATCCTAATGCAAATTGCAGAGATGAGAAAGGCAATTCTATCAATGAAACCGCCTAAACCATAAAACCAAAACCACAGAAAAGTATACTTGCAAGAGGGCCCAAAAAAAAAAAAAAAAAAAAAAAATTTACAATTATATATGTCTCCCCCAAGGAAGAGAGCATAACGAGAATATATAAATTTAGAGAGACAGGACCTCTTTACAAGTGACAAAGGAAGCAGATAATAATACTTTTCCTCTTATGCACAGAACTTGGTAGAATACAAGAAAGAAAATAAGAACTGAGAGAGAGATGGCCTAAAAGACCGAAACAAACCCTTTTGACCATGGTGGCTAGATTGGTTAAACTAAATAAAACAATTGACATTGCAGGAATTATAATATTTCTGATAAACTGTGTATACTGTAAACAAACATAAATAAATAGGCTGGCCCTACACGGTTAATAGGAGCTATTATTCTACTACTCTAGTTCCACTGCTTTTCCTTTTCCTTTTCCTTTTTGATCCTCCGCCGTTACAAAATTTTTGAGGAAGCTTTAGAAATTGGTTCTTCTCTATGTATCATGCCTATGGACTCTAATGTTAATTGCTACCCAACAGATGACAATGGCTGTAAGGAGTTGGATTCTCGGGAAAATGCAGCAATCAACTTGTCCTTTGTAAGCTGTTCAGATCCTTGGGACTTAATTACAAATGTATGAAACACTGTATCATTTGCGGCAGCGAGTTTTGACTCTACAACACTGATTTGTGCCTCTTTGAATGTTTGTATTACTCTTGAAACTGGGTGAGTATCAAGAGGGCAGGTCACCCTTACAATGACCTCATCTTGAGCAGCTTGAATATCCACATCAGGAGCTCTATTCTGATTATCTTCTGATCTTGGGTTTGCCTCCAAGACTGATCCATCCCTTGAAGTGCTTCCAAATCTCTCTCTCTCAGACTCCATGATCTTGAGTTTTGCCTGTAGCTCATTGATATAAGCAATGGCATCACCAAGTAACGATGCCTTATCCATCTTGGAGATGTTTGGCACAACAGATCTTAAGGCATAGAAACGCTGGTTCAGCTTCTCACGCCTTTGCCTCTCTGCTTCCACATGATTAAGGGGTTCGTCCCTTCCATTAGCAGGCTTCCTGCCACGCTTCCTGGGCCTCCTTTCATCGGTAGCACTCGGTTGCTCCTCCTTGCAAGAGGCCTCAACATCAGAAAGTTCTGATTCAGCAATGATTGGTCTCAGAGAAGGCCTTGAAGTGGCTCCAGAAAAGTCAATTTGCACCTGCCTTTGCGGTTGATAGTTGTTGCTCAGCCTGAAATCCTGTCTCGCACCATTAGCTAGCTCCTGAACATTGCTTGTGGAGGACCTAGGAGCAAAAATTTCAGTAGGGTTAGGCTGTCCCCAACTTGAACCATGAAGACCATTTCGAGCATTAGGAAAGTTAATGGTATTATTTCCATTGGGGTGGCCGTGGCCTCCCCATGGCCTATCTTCCATTTTCCTAACAGCAAGTTTCTCCCTGAAATGAGTACGAGCAGTGTTCAGATAACCTTTAGGAACTCCATCTGCCAAACCAGGAAAAAGGGCATTCTCGTCCCTTTTCTTCTCATTCACCGCAGCCACAGCAGGTAAAGGTGAAAGTGGCTTCACCACAGGGTATGATGATGATTGGGTGGAGAACACAGATTTGATGGCCTGCAACAATTCAAAGCTCTCAGGTAGCATTCTCACAGAACCCAACTCCACAACTCCCAAATCAGTAGGGACTAAAACAACAGTCTGAATTCCAGCTGATTTAGCCAAGAAAGATCTCACGCAGTAATCAGATACAGATTTCAGCCACAAATGCTTCCCTGATGCAAAACACTTACCTGGGCCACCATGCCCGCGAGGAAAAGAGAAGTACATGGAAGCAAGAAAGAACATCTCCGTGTCAGTCACACGGTCAAGCCCAAAAGCGTAATTGTCTTCATCTGAACCACCAAAAGTTGTGTGCAGCTTCTGCAGAACCCTCTTCCTCATCCTCTGTTGCGTCTCTTCCTCGATACGAAGGCTCAGGATTCCTCTAACTCCACCCTCTTCTTCCTCGTTGGGTTCCCTGCAACAACCATCTCCCCAACCCAGAACCCAATCCCCAGATTTTGACTGCGAAAGTTGCCAGAAAATAGCATAGTTCCAGCTGAAATTGGACACGTTCGGACGGTCCACGAGATCCGACAGCTTCATCTGCAGACCTTCGTCACTCCCAACAGCCATTAACATACTCTCATTCGACACAGAGTTTGTCACCAAGAAATCGAAAGCTCGAGCGCCCAGAACAGCTGAAACCATGGCCTTCTCATCATCATCCCACAACACGCGCCCTAAGCCAACCTCCACCTTCATCTCTATTTCTCAAAAAAAAAAAAAAACCCCAATTTTTCAACCCCTCAATCCTACGCACCCCGCCAATCACAGAAATACAATTTTTTCTCTGCTTCCATCTCATAAAGCAACAAAACCTCTAACTAGGCACTGACACGATCTCAGATCTTGTAAATTTCTGGTCCAGAGAAATCCCAGAAAATTTTAATATATAAAAAGAAAGACAGAAACAAGAACTGGGATTCAAACCAAAACAATCTTCAAAGGCAAAGCTGGCAAAAGGGGAACAAAACAAGGCATGGGCATGGGCATGGGCATTACAGGAATTGTCTATGGTAAAATAGACATTCTGAGTAAACTGAGAGTGCAAGGAAACAAAAAGGATGTCTCTAACAAGGTATTTTCACAAATGAAAACGAAGGGGGGGGGGGGGGGGGAAGGCTCTTGTTCCTTCGTAACAAAGTGAAGTGTGAAAAATGAAGAAACAAAGAATGAATGGGTATATGGTAGGGTAGAGACACCACACAAGTGAGAAATGAACCCTGCGCGTTTCGCACTCCAACTTCTAACTGCAAACCTCAAACCATGGTTGGGTCAACCTAGGATTAAAATATTACTATAGTTATTTGGTTGGAGGTCCAGACTTCAGAGTTAGTCGGCAACAATTATCATGCTTTTTGCTCGTTTTGCTTGCTTTTGTTTCTCTACTCTGCTCCACAAAACAAACCACGGAATTATTAATATAATAATAAAGAGAATTTATTATCTCTTCCCAATTGACAAATAAAACACGGACTCCGCTAGGTTTCTTTGAATGTTGTTTTTTACTATAAAATATTTTTTATCAATTAAAACTCATAAAAAAATACATTTTCCACTTAAACCATCATTATGGATGACCCCTCAAATTTATAGCTTTAAAATAAAAAATAACATGGCAAAAGGATGTATGATTCGGATTTAATATATTATATGATTAATGTACCACTTTTCGTCTCTTTAGCAATTTTTCTTTTATGGATGAAGTTATAAATAGATGTCATCACGTATTAACAATATCTAGATGAAGAATTGTTTGTTTGAAGTTTAGATTAGGAGATTATATATTGCCTTGCAAGGTTAGGGGGAACCACTTACCTAAATAAAGATTTATGATAGTGTTCTCTATTTGTGATAGAAATGTTCAATCAAATATTGGTAATATTTTTGTACGAGTGGGTGTCCTCTTTCATATATCTATACACTATAGTAACAGTATAGCCAAATGGTGTGATTTGTGTACAGTGATAGGCTGATGGCTAAGAAAAAAAAAGGTTTAGAGTGTGCATGTATGTTTATAGATGACATATCGGCCAGAAGTGGATTTCTGGACCTTATAGGAATATCGAGGTCCAATTTTTGATTGATCATTGTCGCATTAAGATTAGTATAATTAAAGAATCTTTTCTTAATTTTCCTCTCAGCTGTTAGCCTTTTTTGGACCTTATAAAGTATGAGTCTTTATGTCAGGTTCATAACGTGTAGAATCTTATATTGCTTACCAACAAAGAAAATCTAATAAACGAAACTAAATCACAGTTAGTGTGGGCAAAAGATATTCTTCTAAGTTGAGATTATTTATTTTTAATACATTTTTTTATTGGTGTTTATAAAATTTTTAATTCTCAAATAAATAAAATATTATTACTGATTTTCAATTTATTTATTTTTCATTAATTTATTGATTAGTTAGTGTTTCGAACATGTGAAATTGATCATTGTACGGTCCATCTTTTTTGTTAAGTGTACGGTTCATCTTTATTACAAGACAAAATATCACTTTCACTAAATATTTTCTTATCCTCAATTTATTCATTTTTTCGTAATTTTATTGAAGAGTTAGTGTTCTGGAAATGTGGAATGGGTCATTGTACGGTCCATCTTTATTACAACACAAATTATCACTTTTACTCCATATTCTTTTGATCCTTCATTTCCATATCTTGACATAACTGTACGCATCACTTCCATGACAAACACAAAAACCACGTACAATAACTGTGTATATGAATAAAATATTGTCATTTTTATTTAATTTATTGATTAGTTTGTGTCCCGGACATGTGGAATGGTTCATTGTATGATCTATATTTATTACAAGATAAAATATCTCTTTCACTGAATATTTTTTTTATCCTCAATTTATTCATTTTTTCATAAACGTATTGATAAGTTAGTATTTCGGACATGTGGAATGGGTCATTGTACGGTCCATCTTTATTACAAAACAAAATATCACTTTCACTCAATATTCTTTTGATCCTCCGTTTCCATATCTCGTCATAATTGTACATATGACCTCCACGACAAACACAAAAACCTAGTGCAGTAAATGTGTATATGAATAAAATATTGTCACCGCTATTCAATTTATTTATTTTTTATTAATTTATTTATTACTTTGTGTCCCGGATGTGTGGAATAAGTCATTGTAAGGTCTATATTTATTACAAGATAAAATATCACTTTTACTGAATATTTTGTATCCTCAATTTATTCATTTTTTCATAAATAAATTGGTGAGTAAGTGTTTCGGACATGTGGAATGGGTCATTGTACGTTCTATCTTTATTACAATACAAAATATCACTTTCACTCAATATTCTTTTGATCCTTCGTTTCCATATCTAGTCATAATTGTACGTATCACCTCCATGACAAACACAAAAACCTCGGGCTATAAGTGCGTATATGAATAAAATATTGTCACTGCTATCAAATCTATTATTTTTCATTAATTTATTTATTACTTTGTGTCCCGGCATGTGGAATGAGTCATTGTAAGGTCTATATTTATTACAAGAGAAAATATCACTTTCACTGAATATTTTTTTATCCTCAAATCATAAATTTATTGATGAGCTACCAATATAATTAAGAAATATTTTCTTAATTTTTCTCTCAGCTGTTAGTCTTTTCTAGACCTTATAAAGCATGGGTCTTTATGTCAGGTTCATAATATGTAGAATCCTATATTGCCTACCAACAAAGAAAATCTAACAAACGAAACTAAATCACAGTTAGTGTGGGCAAAAGATATTCTTCTAAGTTGAGATTATTTATTTTTAATACATTTTTTTATTGGTGTTTGTAAAAATTTTAATTCTCGAATAAATAAAATATTATTACTAATTTTCAATTTATTTATTTTTCATTAATTTATTGATTAGTTAGTGTTTCGAACATGTGAAATTGGTCATTGTACGATCCATCTTTTTTGTTAAGTGTACGATCCATCTTTATTACAAGACAAAATATCACTTTCACTAAATATTTTCTTATCCTCAATTTATTCATTTTTTTCGTAATTTTATTGATGAGTTAGTGTTCCGGAAATGTGGAATGGGTCAATGTACGGCCCATCTTTATTACAACACAAATTAACACTTTTACTCAATATTCTTTTGATCCTTCATTTCCATATCTTGTCATTACTGCACACATCACTTCCATGACAAACACAAAAACCACGTGCAATAACTCTGTATATGAATAAAATATTGTCATTGTTATTTAATTTATTGATTAATTTGTGTCTCAGACGTGTGGAATGGTTCATTGTATGATCTATATTTATTACAAGATAAAATATCCCTTTCACTGAATATTTTTTTATCCTCACTTTATTCAATTTTTCATAAACGTATTGATAAGTTAGTATTTCGGACATGTGGAATGGGTCATTGTACGGTCCATCTTTATTACAACACAAAATATCATTTTCACTCAATATTCTTTTGATCCTCTGTTTCCATATCTCGTCATAATTGTACATATGACCTCCACGACAAACACAAAAACCTAGTGCAGTAAATGTGTATATGAATAAAATATTGTCACCGCTATTCAATTTATTTATTTTTTATTAATTTATTTTACTTTGTGTCCTAGACGTGTGGAATAATTCATTGTAAGGTCTATATTTATTACAAGATAAAATATCACTTTAACTGAATATTTTGTATCCTCAATTTATTCATTTATTCATAAATAGATTGGTGAGTAAGTGTTTCGAACATGTGGAATGGGTCATTGTACGGTCCATCTTTATTACAACACAAAATATCACTTTCACTCAATATTCTTTTGATCCTCCGTTTCCATATCTAGTCATAATTGTGCGTATCACCTCCATGACAAACACAAAAACCTTGGGCAATAACTGCGTATATGAATAAAATATTGTCACTGCTATTAAATTTATTATTTTTCATTAATTTATTTATTACTTTGTGTCTCGGCATGTGGAAGGAGTTATTGTAAGGTCTATATTTATTACAAGACAAAATATCACTTTTACTGAATATTTCTTTATCCTCAAATCATAAATTTATTGATGAGCTAGTGTTCCGGACATGTGAAATGGGTCATTGTATGGTCTATCTTTATTACAACACAAAATATCACTTTCACTCAATATTCTTTTGATCCTCCGTTTCTATTTCTCGTCATAATTGTACGTATCACCTTCATGACAAACACAAAAAACTCGTGCAATATCTATGTATATTAATAAAATTATTGTCGCTGTTATTCAATTTATTATTTTTTCGTTAACTTATTTATTATTTTATGTCTCGGATGTGTGAAATGGGTCATTGTAAGGTCTATTTTTATTACAAGACAAAATATCACTTTCACTTAATATTATTTTGATCCTCATTTTATTCAATTTTTTCATGAATTTATTGAAAAGTTAACGTTCCGGACATGTCAAATGGGTCATTGGATGATCCATCTTTTTTTTTTTTTTGATAACATTAAGGGGCGAAGCCCCAAACAAAAACAAACTAACAACCAGAAACAAAAAATAACTATCCAGGGTCTATACCCCTACAAGAGGAGATTCCCTGAAGATCGTGATCAAATAACTGAGCAAGGTGAAACGGCATAACTCTATGACTCCAGAATCCAGTATCTTTGTGAAGAGCAGACTTGGCTAACCAATCAGCACAGGAATTAGCTTCTCTTGGAATATGAGAAAGCGTTACCTCCCAATCCTGACCGATGAGTGCTTGTATCTTAGCCACTATACGAGGCTGACAAGCTGCATTGCAATCAGCAAGCAAAGAGAATACTTCAGAAGCATCTCCTTCTAGTTCCACCTTCTTAAATCCCAGTTGCCAAACCAATTCCAGACCTTTTAGAGTTCCCCAAAGCTCCGCCATTAAAGGAGTGCAAGCACCAATATGATACTCAAAGCCTCCCAACCAAGAGCCATCATCAGATCTGATAATTCCACCACAAGCAGCCACCTCAGTATTCCTTTCAACTGCCCCATCAATATTAATCTTCACCCAATTTAACCTTGGAGGTTTCCATAAACTCATACGAGTTGGATGAATGCTAGTAGTAGCCATAGCCTTCCTACCCATGCAGTTACGAACTTCCTCTATATACATAGCAATTATGTGCGTTCCATGGGTTGT